ATTGGAATTTTCTCATAATCACCAATTAATTCATCCCACCTGTTAATGAATTCCTCAGGTAAAATTTCATCCCAAGCACATTTAAGTTTCCATGCTTCCTGTATTAATAATTTCCCTCTTATAGTAAGGGGTGACACTAAACCTAGTGGATCAAAACATTTGGAAACTTCAGCAAGCAAAACTCTCTTAGTTAATTTATTGGGCATACTGTAATTATTAGGTTTTAACATTAACAAATCTCTCTCAGTATCCCAAGTTAATCCCAATACATTACTACATTTTTGCACTTCATCTCCAGGGAAATCTTTACTTATTTTGTTCTTTAATTTGGACGAATTACTATTCCATTCCCTCAGAGGCATATTTGCACTTTGCATTATTTTATTAGCCTCTCCATAAGTCATTAACAGTTCCTCTTCAGTTGACGTCACACCCAGGAAATTGTCCACATAAAATTGTTTGCTCATTACTTTACTCAGTGGACTTTCCATACATTTAAGGTGTGCATTTATCGTCGCTTGAAGTAGGAACAGACTGGATGTAGCACCAAATAATACACTCCTAAAACGAAAGGTTTTCAGAGGGTTAAGTGGCTCACTAGGATTCTCAGGCCATAAGAAGTGGGTACATTCCCGGTCAGCTTCTTGTAAACTCACTCTTAGGAAAGCTTTACTTATGTCAGCCGTAAAGGCATAATGCTTCACTCTGAAATTTGATAAGATATCTCCTAATTTTTCCGTCAACGACGGACCTGTCATCAAACAGTCATTTAAACTAGGTACATTTTTGTTACTCCTGGCACTACAGTTAAACACAATTCTCAGAGGAGTGGTCTTAGAATTCTTCTTCACTCTGTGATGTGGTAAATAGTGACCATAAATTTTGACTTTCTCAGGAGGTACCTCTTCTATAAATTTATTAATTAACTGCTCAGCAATTATATCATTATAGGCAGTTAACAATTTTGGTGTCTTACTCAGTTCGCGAAGCTGAGCCTTTAATTGTCCATATGCCATTCTGTAATTAGTGGGCAATTCTGGATGGTTCAGTCTCCACGGAAGTCCTACCCAGTATTGTCCAGATTCAAATTTTACATCTCTCAGGTACTGTTCTTGAGTAAAAGAATCATCTGACTTCTTCATTTACATTTATTCCAATGCTGTCTAATTCCCACAATTTATGCACTGGCTCAACACCATCCTCTATGGAAGAATTATGCTGGGGTACGATTTCATGAGTAAGACACACAGTTATGGTATTTGTACTTTTCTCTAGTCATGCATTATTATTACGAGGAATCCTACCATACATTACATGACCTCCTGCAGTCTTCAAAAGGGTGACACCACATTTCTTTACCATACCCTTTACAAAGGAGGCATAATAGTCACTACCTATCAAAATATTTATTGGGCCTACAGAATCATCACTTACACCAGAAGGTGCTAAATTTACAATATGTGAGAGTCTTTCTGTAGCTTTACTAAGCCCTACTGTAGATATTTTCTCTGGAAGTCTATCTACAATTACTGCATTAACCCGTTTTTTTCTCATTGCCCAACCTGACAGTTACATAAACAGTGTCATACAATTGAGACCTTTTATCCGAGAGAAAACCAGATAATTTTAAAGTTGTGGGATCTCCCATCTGTACTTTCAGACCATCAAGACATTTACGTTTTATGAAAGTACGCTGGGATCCCTGGTCCAATAATGCATTTACATTTTTTGATTTATGCCTTTTATCATCAATTTTTAACTGTAACACAGGTAAGGCTACTTCAGCAAAACCATCATTATTAACAGCAGCAATTTTTACATTAGCCACTGTTGTGTCAGGATTGTCAACATTATCATTATTATCAACATTATCATATAGACCTTTACACATAACTATATGGTGTCTTCCTTTGTGACATTGATAACAGTTGTTTAATTTGGCATGACAATCCTTTACATTTTGATTACCTAAACACCTGATACATCTGTCAAGTTCCTCCAATCTTTCAACTTTATCATTCCATGAACTGTATGCATTGCAATTCTTAGAAAAATGAGTACCCTTGCAGAAAAGACAATCTCTTTTCTCTGACTGGTTTCTTATTAACTGGGCTACTCTTAGGAGGGTACTTATTCTTCTTACCTAGTGGAGAATCATTTTTTCTGATTCTTGCTACATGATATACACCTATGTAACTATTTTTAGGAAATGAATTTTGATTATTACTATTGGGATAATTTTTCCCTTTGTGAAACTTGACAGATACCTCAGAGTTATTATGTGTTGCATCTTTAAAATGAGTTAGCTGGCTGGTCTGCAACTGCACAATTAATTCTTGTAGACCTAGTCTTATTTCCTCCAGACCAAAATAACCTTTGTGATATTTGTTTGAGAATCATTCAAGTGTTTTACAGCTTAATTTATTCTGTACCATGGCACTCAATAACCAGTCTGATTCCTTCAGATTATATTTATTACTTAAAGTTTTGAGAGTGCTCTCCAGTTTAACTCTAAACTGCTGTAAACCTCTGTAAGTTTGATCTGGAGATTTTAAATTAACAATGATATTCACTAGATCCAACCTACTTTATTCTATATTACCATAAGTGACCTTCAACAAGTCAACTGCTTCCTTGTAAGAATCATCTACATTGGGAAAGGCTTGTATGAGTATGTGAGCATCTCCTCTTACCTATCCTTTGAGGTAAAATAATTTTGTTACACGGGCTAGGTCACTCCTGTCATGCACAGCTGCTTTAAAAATTGACCAAAATTCCTCCCAAATTTCTCCAGGATTAAATACAGGTAAACATAATTCTGGGAGTTTTGGCAAAGACAAATTATTTGTTGGAGCAGACTGACCAACTGCCTGGTTTACACATTTTAATTTATTCAAGCCTGACTTTTACAAGAAAGTATCTTTTCCTCTAATTCATAATACTGATTAATCATGAGATCTACTTCAGTCTCATCTACACAGTTTACTAACAAATCTCCTTCATATTTGTTGTAATATAATTTGTATGAATCATATCTATTCCCTAAAGCATCTAAATACAATTTTAAATCATCAGTATTCACAGTTTCTTGATTCATTAATTCCAAACATTTATTATATGCCTTGGTTACATGACCCTTTTTAGCTTGCAGTGACGCTTTCTTTGCTCTATATTCCATATGTTTGTCTTCTATATTAATTTCCTCATTTTCAGCCATGATACAATGTCTTAAATTCAACTTAATTAATAACACTGATACAACTTACCTTTGAATAAATCCTAGCTACTTGAGCTTAGCAATTACATGCAAAAATTATAATATAAATTTTAAATGTACGTTAATACAAACAAACCTTTAGCCAGACTTGGCTTATCAAAATTATTATACAAATTAATATAAATCCTTGCCAGAATTTGGCATAGCAAAATTAATATTATACACAATATAATCTTTAGCCAAACTTGTCTTATCAATTACACATACACTGATATAAATCTTGGCCAGAAATGTCTATCAAATTAATATTGTAATAATTATAATCCACTACACATTAAGTAAATTTGTGAATTTAACATCCACCTCCTTCTGTCATTTCACATATAATTATTAAGTAATTAACTAATTAATGACTTCACTAATTACCTCCGGTTCAAGAAGACCTAACGGGCAAATTAAATGTGGAAAATTACATTTAGCTGAATGTGTCATTATGTACATAACAGTAAATGAGCAAAGATAATTATTATTTATCAGTTAGACAAGTAGGAATTTGGGACACCTAGGTTGCAAAAAATGTCTCCCTTCGATACCTACCACTGTCATATCCACAAGTTGCTCTGGACCTATTAATTATAAATAAAATATACATCACTAGGAATGCTGGTAAATATATAAATTTGTGGACTGTATATTAAAAATAATAAATGATTATATACATACACATATACATAACAGAAGAAAAATATATGTTAATATCACTTGCCAATTTGACTGGAGATTAATGTGTCATGTACAGGACCCCCCCCCCCTTTTGCCTACATTTATGAAAAATTTACTGGCCAGAATTTAAACATAAATTAGACAGCTTATCTGAGGTTCCTGGAGTTATCCTGTCCTGTCGCCTGATATCTCAAGTTATGCAGTAATGCACATCCAACAATTTCGTCTCCTATTTGAGAGGTGTCAGCCCAATTTTAACCTCTAGAGCACGAAAAATTCTTCCCATTACACCAACGTTTCTAATCCAGATTCAAACAACAAAATGGCGACTGTCTTCTGCGCAGACTCAGGCTTTCTGTTTTCTATGACATAAATATTATTAAATACAGTATGGCCATCTATTTACATATAACTACTGTATTTCTGGAAAATATATACAGTATTTTCCACATTACTGATGTCTACCTGACTGCCAGTTTCCTCTCTTGACATTTTTCTCGTCTCTGGCTGTTGTGCAGCGGTGTGTGATCCGTATACAGGAAATAGGTTTTAAACCTGATACACTAAAAACCAGCAGGGCAGTAAATACGTTTCATGAGGGTGTCAAGGAAACCATTACTACTGCCCTCTGTGACTCAGCATTATGAAGGAGACGAGTTGCCTTTGATGTTGAAGGGCCCTTGATCCAAGGGATTGGTGCTCTCCTCCATTTCTTCATGGGCCTAGCTTTCGTGAATATAACAACAGATCTTTAGATCATTCAATAGTACAAAGGGTAACCTTTTAGTCATATACGATACCCATAGCTTTAGAGTGAAGAGGTTGAGCCTGATATCCATTATGGACTGGAAAGAAATTCTACAGAATTTGAAACAGAAAATAAGGATTATGTTTGTAATAAATGCATGCATGGTTATTGAGATTCGTGTATTGTTCTTTTTTAATGTTCTCTCTTTTTTTAATAAGATCTCCGATAAATATTTACCTCATAGTGATCTCTGATGAATAATTACCTTATAGTTTGGTCAGTAATTAACATGTGGTCTATGTTTTCCATCAGGTATGCTACTGTGGAGAGTCTGCTTGAACTGTGGGAATCCCTCAACATCAGTAATGGTGTGAGTCTCTTAAGAGAAATGGGCTTCCCACATCGGTCACATGAACGTCTTTCTCTGTGCGATCTCTCCGTGGCCCTGGAGGAAGAATGTCAGATTACAGAAGAGCAGGAGTCAGGTACTGCTGCCTCCACTCTCAATGTGGCACTCCTCACTTACCTCCATGATATCAAATACCTTCGGTCAGTGCCATGAGGTTGTTCAGTATTACAATTACTATAACAAGGTTGTGCTGAGTGAAAAAGTTTCATACATGTAAATGTTTTGTATATCGACTACTAAAAAAAAAAATGTATTTGATATGAGACACTGAAATATTACATATATCAGGGAAGTATCTATGGCAGTTTTGATGTCAAGTGATCTATGAAGTTTTTTCAAAATTACATTTTCCTTTAAAGTGTAAAAAAAAGTGGCAGGATTATACTTAGATATTTACATTTAAAGACAATTAATTCTTGATCCATGGGATGGTTAAGAAATGAAAAGCTAGGAGGCATATAGGCTGTAAGTGCTGTTCAGCAAGTGACTGATGAAAATAATGTAAATAAAATAGCTCTTGTTCTTTTTTATTTCTTCTATTGTCCATGGGGAAGTGGAAAAGAATCTTTCCTCCGTAAGCCATGCGTGTCGTATGAGGCGACTAAAATGCCGGGAGCAATGGGCTAGTAACCCCTTCTCCTGTATACATTTACTAAAAAAGAGAAGAAGAAAAACTTTATAAAACTGGGTTGTTTAAATGTGCGTGGATGTAGTGCGGATGACAAGAAACAGATGATTGCTGATGTTATGAATGAAAAGAAGTTGGATGTCCTGGCTCTAAGCGAAACAAAGCTGAAGGGGGTAGGAGAGTTTCAGTGGGGGGAAATAAATGGGATTAAATCTGGAGTATCTGAGAGAGTTAGAGCAAAGGAAGGGGTAGCAGTAATGTTAAATGATCAGTTAGGAAGGGGAAAAGAGAATATGAATGTGTAAATTCGAGAATTATGTGGATTAAAGTAAAGGTTGGATGCGAGAAGTGGGTCATAATAAGCGTGTATGCACCTGGAGAAGAGAGGAATGCAGAGGAGAGAGAGAGATTTTTGGGAGATGTTAAGTGAATGTAAGGAGCCTTTGAACCAAGTGAGAGAGTAATTGTGGTAGGGACCTGAATGCTAAAGTAGGAGAAACTTTTAGAGAGGGTGTGGTAGGTAAGTTTGGGGTGCCAGGTGTAAATGATAATGGGAGCCCTTTGATTGAACTTTGTATAGAAAGGGGTTTAGTTATAGGTAATACATATTTTAAGAAAAAGAGGATAAATAAGTATAACACGATATGATGTAGGGCGAAATGACAGTAGTTTGTTGGATTATGTATTAGTAGATAAAAGACTGTTGAGTAGACTTCAGGATGTACATGTTTATCGAGGGGCCACAGATATATCAGATCACTTTCTAGTTGTAGCTACACTGAGAGTAAAAGGTAGATGGGATACAAGGAGAATAGAAGCATCAGGGAAGAGAGAGGTGAAGGTTTATAAACTAAAAGAGGAGCAGTTAGGGTAAGATATAAACAGCTATTGGAGGATAGATGGCTAATGAGAGCATAGACAATGGGGTCGAAGAGGAATGGGGTAGGTTTAAAAATGTAGTGTTAGAGTGTTCAGCAGAAGTTTTTTGGTTACAGGAAAGTGGGTGCAGGAGGGAAGAGGAGCGATTGGTGGAATGATGATGTAAAGAGAGTAGTAAGGGAGAAAAAAGTTAGCATATGAGAAGTTTTTACAAAGTAGAAGTGATGCAAGGAGGGAAGAGTAATGGAGAAAAAAGAGAGAGGTTAAGAGAGGGGGAAGCAATGTAAAAAAGAAACAAATGAGAGAGTGGGTGAGCTGTTATCAACAAATTTTGTTGAAAATAAGAAAAAGTTTTGGAGTGAGATTAACAAGTTAAGGAAGCCTAGAGAACAAATGGATTTGTCAGTTAAAAATAGGAGAGGAGAGTTATTAAATGGAGAGTTAGAGGTATTGGGAAGATGGAGGGAATATTTTGAGGAATTGTTAAATGTTGATGAAGATAGGGAAGCTGTGATTTCGTGTATAGGGCAAGGAGGAATAACATCTTGTAGAGTGAGGAAGAGCCAGTTGTGAGTGTGGGGGAAGTTCGTGAGGCAGTAGGTAAAATGAAAGGGGGTAAGGCAGCCGGGATTGATGGATAAAGATAGAAATGTTAAAAGCAGGTGGGGATATAGTTTTGGAGTGGTTGGTGCAATTATTTAATAAATGTATGGAAGAGGTAAGGTACCTAGGGATTGGCAGAGAGCATGCATAGTTCCTTTGTATAAAGGCAAAGGGGATAAAAGAGAGTGCAAAAATTATAGGGGGATAAGTCTGTTGAGTGTACCTGGTAAAAGTGTATGGTAGAGTTATAATTGAAAGAATTAAGAGTAAGACGGAGAATAGGATAGCAGATGAACAAGGAGGCTTTAGGAAAGGTAGGGGGTGTGTGGACCAGGTGTTTACAGTGAAACATATAAGTGAACAGTATTTAGATAAGGCTAAAGAGGTCTTTGTGGCATTTATGGATTTGGAAAAGGCGTATGACAGGGTGGATAGGGGGGCAATGTGGCAGATGTTGCAAGTGTATGGTGTAGGAGGTAGGTTACTGAAAGCAGTGAAGAGTTTTTACGAGGATAGTGAGGCTCAAGTTAGAGTATGTAGAAAAGAGGGAAATTTTTTCCCAGTAAAAGTAGGCCTTAGACAAGGATGTGTGATGTCACCGTGGTTGTTTAATATATTTATAGATGGGGTTGTAAGAGAAGTAAATGCGAGGGTCTTGGCAAGAGGCGTGGAGTTAAAAGATAAAGAATCACACACAGGGTGGGAGTTGTCACAGCTGCTCTTTGCTGATGACACTGTGCTCTTGGGAGATTCTGAAGAGAAGCTGCAGAGATTGGTGGATGAATTTGGTAGGGTGTGCAAAAGAAGAAAATTAAAGGTGAATACAGGAAAGAGTAAGGTTATGAGGATAACAAAAAGATTAGGTGATGAAAGATTGAATATCAGATTGGAGGGAGAGAGTATGGAGGAGGTGAACGTATTCAGATATTTGGGAGTGGACGTGTCAGCGGATGGGTCTATGAAAGATGAGGTGAATCATAGAATTGATGAGGGAAAAAGAGTGAGTGGTGCACTTAGGAATCTGTGGAGACAGAGAACTTTGTCCTTGGAGGCAAAGAGGGGAATGTATGAGAGTATAGTTTTACCAACGCTCTTATATGGGTGTGAAGCATGGGTGATGAATGTTGCAGCGAGGAGAAGGCTGGAGGCAGTGGAGATGTCATGTCTGAGGGCAATGTGTGGTGTGAATATAATGCAGAGAATTCGTAGTTTGGAAGTTAGGAGGAGGTGCGGGATTACCAAAACTGTTGTCCAGAGGGCTGAGGAAGGGTTGTTGAGGTGGTTCGGACATGTAGAGAGAATGGAGCGAAACAGAATAACTTCAAGAGTGTATCAGTCTGTAGTGGAAGGAAGGCGGGGTAGGGGTCGGCCTAGGAAGGGTTGGAGGGAGGGGGTAAAGGAGGTTTTGTGTGCGAGGGGCTTGGACTTCCAGCAGGCATGCGTGAGCGTGTTTGATAGGAGTGAATGGAGACAAATGGTTTTTAATACTTGACGTGCTGTTGGAGTGTGAGCAAAGTAACATTTATGAAGGGATTCAGGGAAACCGGCAGGCCGGACTTGAGTCCTGGAGATGGGAAGTACAGTGCCTGCACTCTGAAGGAGGGGTGTTAATGTTGCAGTTTAAAAACTGTAGTGTAAAGCACCCTTCTGGCAAGACAGTGATGGAGTGAATGATGGTGAAAGTTTTTCTTTTTCGGGCCACCCTGCCTTGGTGGGAATCGGCCAGTGTGATAATAAAATAATAAAAAATTAAAGCACCGTGTAAACAAGAAAGGAGACTTGATGTGGAGATTGAAATGACATGTAGCATCCTTGATTGAGACATTCACTGTAATTTGATTTTTTAAAAAGATCTTTAAATTTTTTGTATGTTTACTTAAAATTTTTTTGGGCAGATTCAAGATAATAATATAATAATAATAATTTTATTTAGCATGATACATGTTTGTACAGAGGATGAGTTACATGCTGTATCTTGCAAATTAACTGCTGTAAGGGAATTCTAATAAATATCTTTGTGCTTAAATATTTTTTTCCTTTTCAAGCAATTAATTTTTTTTTTTTAGGTTATCTTTGGACTCTGCTCTTGGTGAGAGAAATAAACTTCGCCTTGATCTAAATGAAGCCAACCAGCGACTGACCTTACTGGCTCAGGAGCTCGATGAGCATAATGCTCACATGGAGGCTACCTCTCAGTATCAGATCCAGTAAGTGGGCTCTGACTTGGATTAATGTTCTTCATGAGCTTGCAGTGTTTATATTTGAAAGCCTTTTCAGCTCTAGGAAATGTTGCTAAGTAGCCCTGACCTCATGAGATGATGCCCTATTGACCCATTGATTCCATTGTGAGTCCTTGAATTACTTTGTAAGACTGTTAATCATTACACTTTTAATGGGTTTCATTATTTTTCTACATCCTATTAGATTTTTTCATCTATTCCAAGATGCTTATTTTTTCTCTCTCTCAGAGAGAGAGAGAGAGATTGAGTGGAGTATACTTTAGTAATCATGTCTTTGTTGCACTGCGGGTAAGTTTCGTAGCTATTTCAGACACCCTGCAGGCATATTTATGGCTTTTTCATTATGCTCCTCTAAGCCAGCATGCAGAAAGATGACTAAAATATCTTTTACGTGCAGAGAGTTAGAAAGACAGTACCGGGATCAGGTGAGAGAGTTACAAGAGGCAGTGACCCATGAGCGGGACTCAGCGCGGGAACAAGTATCTACTGTTGCACGGGAAATGCAAGCACAGAATACTCAGTTGCAGCAGGAAGAATTTAAATTGAAGGCAAAATTGTCTTCGCTTTATACTGTAAGTTTCTTACCAGTACTCACTTCTGTAACTGCTGTTTCAGAATGGTTCATATTTGTGCTGTCTTGTATTTACTCCACAAACCAATAGTATTAGGAATGATTTTAACTCATCCCTTGATGCCAGTAAGGGCTCTAGATATAAGGAATTGGAGCTACCAATCCCTCCTTTAGGTCATATCTGATTACTTCCTATTTCTCACATACTGTATGATTCCTAGAATTCAGCACATCCCCATGAATATAATACTTCTTCTTTCAATAAACCGGCCATGTCCCGCTGAGGCAGGGATATGGCCGGTTTGTTTCTCTTTTTAACTTTAGTAATGTATACAGAGAAGGGGTTACTAGCCCCTTGCTCCCAGGATGTTAGTTGCCTCTTACAACATGCATAGCTTATGGAGGAAGAATTCTGTTCCACTTCCCCATGGAGATAAGAGGAAACAAAGAGGAACAAGAACTAATAAGAAAATAGAAGAAAACCCAGAGGGATGTGTGTATATATGCTTGTACATGTATGAGTAGTGTGACCTAAGTGTAAGTAGAAGTACCTGAAATCCTCCACGTTTGAGACAGAAAAAAGACACCAGCAATCCAACCATCATGTAAAACAATTACAGGCTTTTGTTTTACACTCACTTAACAGGATGGTAGTACTTCCCTGAGCGGTTGCTGTCTACCAACCTACTACCTAGGTTGAATATAATACATACTACCATATTTCATTGATTTAAATGGCACTATCTGTGGAAGTGTATTATGGATTTTCAACAACATTGAATGATCACTTTTTTTTATTATCACACTAACTGCTAAGGTTCTGGATGGAGCAAGACCTCTGGATAATGTTGGGTGCTAAATAATGATCGCTGAATCAATGATCCACTGTGATATTAAAACTTTTTCCCAGTCTTCTACTGTGGTAATCTCTGACTCTCAATAAACATTACAAGCTCTTCAGAGCATTCACTCATCACATCCCATCATCCTTCACAGTACTGACTGTATTTTCCCTTCAGCAAACATAATGTCATTCTGAACAAAAAGGCACAGTAATGTGACTGGAACAATACTTTTACTGGTGCAATACACAAGTAAGCTGTTAAAGGTCCAAATCAGACCGAAACCTCATTCTAAGTTTCTTTTTCCTATATGTAGGTTATTTGTGTATAATATCATTCTTTGAATTATCATGTAGCAATGGATGTTACATATTACATGCAGGAGGATCCCATGTATACAGCACGAAAATGGTGTTTCACGTTTTCATTGGTTTTCAGTTGAGCCATTGTTCATTATTGTTCATTTTCCACTTTTCTGCCACTTTTTCTGTTTTCATACAACAGTTCATTGAGGAAAGGGCAACCAGCACCATATTTTAAGGTAAGTATTGTATGTACTGTGTATTTATTTTATCTGTTTTTTTTTTATTCCCAGCTGTGTTGAAAACTTAATACATACATGATGGTGTAAACACGTTATCAGTCATTTTAGGCGCATTCAATAATGAAAAATATGATCTTTTTTCACCTGTCGGCAATTTTTGCTTACTGTGCGGGATCATGAATTTAAGAGCCATATAAATGAACATGTATCACCCATTGCTACATGATAATGATGGTATAGTTATTTCACCTCTCATACTTCCCTGAAATTTTACTGTGTCTGTAAAAGAAAATTTTCAACATTATCCAATATTTTTCATAATATCATTGGATGAAGTAATTTATTCTGTCATTTAAGGACATAAAACGCTTAGAGGCTGAAAACTTTGAGCTGAGTGAGAAGTTGCGAGAGGCAGAGCGGCAGTTGTCTCAGATGGAAAAACAAGTGGCAGATATGCAGACTCTGAAGAACAAGGTAAGTCAGGTGCAGTTTAAGTGAGGAAACATCAGTATTTCATGATCAGTATTGTATATATTGTGTATTCAGTATTGTATACTCAATTCTTTGTGTATTGTATATTCAATGTTATATGTACAGCCTCTCCTCACTTAGCGACGTACTCATTTACTGATGCCTCAGACTTATGACAGGCTCTCTGACCAGTATTTATACATAAATAATGTATATTAGAGCTGATTTCCTCTATTCTGCTTATTTTAATGTACAGTATACTACTGCATAAACATTTAAAAATATTCCAGAAATGTTATAAATAGTGCAAAGGTGACATTAAAACAGTGTCACAGGTGGTTGACACAAACTCACTACCAGTATAGTATGCTCCTCACTTAGCGACGAATTCATTTAATGATGTGGTCTTAGGAACGGAACTGCATCGTTAAGTGAGGAGAGGCTGTATTGTATATTCAACATTGTATGTTTTTTTGTTTTTTTTTATATGTCGACTATCTCCCACCAAGGCAGGGTGCCCAAAAAAGAAAAAAACACTTTTACCATCATTCAACACTTTCACCATTATTCACACATAATCACTGTCTTTTGCAGAGGGGCTCAGATACGACAGTTTAGGTGTCACTCCAAATAGCCAATATCCCAAACTCCTCCTTTAAAGTTCAGGCATTGTACTTCCTATCTCCAGGACTCAAGTCCTGGAGGTGGAAAGTACAAGGAAAGAAAAAAAAAGCTCGGTTTTTCTTTTCAGGTCACCCTGCCTTGGTGGGATATGGCCAGTGGGTTAAAAAAAATTATTTTATTAATACTTATGTATTTTTCCCATTTTTCTTAAAGCCCATAGTTATGTGGAGCAGTTTTGGCTGTGGAATTATACAGTAATAGGAAAACTAAAGGAAAGAAAGGAAAAGGTTTTCCAGATATGTTCCTTGGTTAAAGTAATAAATTTAGGAATAAAGCAGTATTTTCTACCATTGGAAAACACAAGTTACAAACACAGATCCAGATAAAGACTGGAGACAGATTAAGTAAATTATGCCAACTGATTAGAAAATGGAGACAATTCTTAAGTACTGTTCTGTGCTGTGAGCATATTGCAGTTTGTTATATTGTCAACAATATACAGTGGCACCACGGGATACGAACAGCTTAAAACTCTAACATTAATGTAAGGACATTTATGTAAGTGCTTTTGTAAGTGTATTTTTGGGAGTCTGAAACTGATTAATCTGACTTACGTTATTCCTTATGGGAACAAATTCATTTGGTATCGGCACTCAAACAGGCTTCTAGAATGAAAAAAATTCGTGTCCCAAGGTACCACTGTATTCATAATTTGCCATCAGTAATGCTAGAGTGATTTTATAAAATGAAGTAAAATTTCCAAAACCATGCAGGTTGCAGAGTACGAGTCCATGAGTCCGAGGGAAGAAGAATACCGTCAACTTTTGGATCGGCTAGAGCGGGTCACTGCAGAGAATCAGCATTTACGAGACAACAATGATGAATTGTTGTCGCAGATTGACTCCTTCCCCATGCGCCAAAACATGAGGAACAGGTATGTACGAGAGAACGTATGTGCTGTACTTGTGTACTGTATGCCTGTGTATGTCAAATTCATTCAAAAATATTTTATTTCCTACTTTATTTGATATAGTACTGCTGAAAACAGAAGCTTATTGTGATTCTGTTTGTCTTGAGAAAATATTGTCTGTACTGCCATATATATTTTTAAGAAGCTACTGAAGTCATTGCTAAATGTGAAAAGATGAAATACTTCTGTTTCTTCTTTTTCAGGTCACCCTACATTGGTGGGAGACAGCCATTGTGTTAATAAATGTATTAGTGTTTTTTTTAACACATTGGCTGTTTCCCACCGAGGCAGGTTGACTCAGAAAGAAAGAAAAAAAAAAAACTTTCATCATTCAACACTTTCACCATCACTCATACATAATCACTGTCTTTGCAGAGGTGCTCAGATATGACAGCTGAGATGTCCCTCCAAACTACCAATATCCCAAACCCCTCCTTTAAAGTGTTATTAGTGTTTAAAGTGTGTTAGTGTTATTAGCATTAATTAAATATAATGCAAGCTTTAATGGCATTACTTGTTCTTTATTTGGAATCTGAGCATGTGTGTTTGACTTAACAGTGATAAGGAGAGCAGCTTGGATGGTTCCTGCCTTGGGGATTATGTAGATCAACCTATGGGTCTTCTGGCACCAGTGAAGCGTAGGGGATCAAACAGTGGCTCTGGAGATGATAGCTGTGAGGAAGAGAGTCCACGAGGCAGCAAAGTACGGCGTTGTAGTAAAGGACTCAATGTACACTATGTTGATGTTGGATGTAAGTTGAAGAGTTTGATTGTTTTGTTTTAGTAAGAGCATTATATATTAATATAAAGTAATAGTGTACACTGTAAGAGTAAAGAGATGAAGTGGGCTGGACAATGACACAGGTGGATAAAATGTAAATATGACATAGCTAATTCACATCACTTGTCATGTATTAAAAAGGTGAGCCTAAGAGCCAGAACTCCCCCTTTCCCTCGTTCCTTCTTTCCACTCATTGCAACCTCTTAAATATGTAATTTTGCATGTTTATTGTTCATATAGTTGATTTATTTAAAAGTTCTTGAAGTGTATTTATTCCAGCATATGTTCAAGATTCTTTGATTTTTTTTTTGATAAGTTTAGTTATTTCAACTAAACCTGAATTTTCAGCATATGATGAATCCTTCTTTGACTCAAGCATGAGTAGTCTCTTGAAAAGCTCCCCAGCACCGTCCACACAACCGCTCAACTCATCCCAACCTGCATCACTGGAGGAGCTGATTGTCAAGGTTCCTCGGAGAAGCTCTGGCGACAGTGTCAGTAACTTTGTTTGTAGGCAAATTTGAAATACCTGATTAAACATGAGTTAGAGTTCAGTATATCTCATATAAACTTGATTACATTGTCTGATGATGTGTAGAGAATACTAGAGATTATAACTATTCTAGGATTAGATGAAGTTATTTCTACTAAAATGCTTTTATAAGTCTGTTAAAGAAGATACGGCATGCTATCAAAAAATTCTTCCACTACAGCGAAAAATAATATGTAGGGTTACTAATCAGCTAGTTGATGGTTCTTTGTATCATTACCAATGTGACCCAGTTTCTAAGCATCCTTCTATCCATTTTAACATTTACAGATTCTTTTAATTCCCCAGGCACTATGATTCCTGTGTGTTTACTTTAATGTAAAAATAATAATAATTTGAGTATGATAACATTTATGAAAGAATTTGCAGAAAACTAGTGAGCCTGACTTGAGTCCTGGAGGTGGGAGGGGCAGTGCTTGCACTCTGATGGAGGGGTGGGAATGTTGCAGCTTGGTGGGGCATCTGAATTGCCATGTCAGCACACTTCTGGCATGACAGCAGTTGAGTGAATGATAGTGAATGTGCTTCTTTTTTTGCAGGTCATACTGCCTTGGTAGTAAATGGCCAGTAAAGTAAATAATAATAACTAGTAATAATAATAAAAAGTGATTGTAAAAACCTTAGGAGAATAAGTTTACTGTGTATACCAGGTAAAGTGTATGGTAGGGTTATTATTGAAAGAATTAGAGGTAAGACAGAGAGCAGGATTGCAGAGGAGCAAGGAGGCTTTAGAATGGGTAGGGGATGTTTACATTGAAGCCTATACATGTATCTTCTTTCAACAAACTGGCAGTATCCCAGCGAAGCAGGGTGGCCCAAAAAGAAAAACAAAAGTTTTGAAGCATATATGTGAACAATGTTTAGATAAAGGTAGGGAAGTTTTCATTGCATTTATGGGTTTAGAAAAGGCATATGATAGAGTGGATAGGGGAGCAATGTGGCAGATGTTGCAAGTGTATGGAATAGTAGAGCTTTTATGAGGATAGTGGGGTCTGGTTAGGGTGTGTAGGAGAGAGGGAGATTACTTCCCAGTAAAAGTAGGTCTTAGACAGGATGTGTAATGTCACCATGGATGTTAAACATATTTATAGATGGGGTTGTAAAAGAAGTAAATGCTAGGGTGTTGGGGAGAGGGTGGGATTAAATTATGGGGAATCAAATACAAAATGGGAATGGACAGTTACTTTTTGCTGATGATACTGTGCTTATGGGAGATTCTAAAGAAAAATTGCAAAGGTTAGTGGACGAGTTTGGGAGGGTGTGTAAAGGTAGAAAGTTGAAAGTGAACATAGATAAGAGTAAGGTGATGAGGGTATCAAACGATTTAGATAAAGAAAAATTGGATATCACATTGGAGGGAGGGAGTATGGAAGCAGTAAATGTTTTCAGATAATTGGGAGTTGACTTGTCAGAGGATGGGTTTATGAAGGATGAGGTTAACCATAGAATTGATGAAGGAAAAAAGGTGAGTGGTGCGTTGAGGTATCTGTAGAGACAAACAACATTATCCACGGAGGCAAAGAAGGGAATGTATGAGAGCATATTGGTACCAACACTCTTATATGGGTGTGAAGCTTGGGTTGTAAATGCTGCAGTGGGGAGGCATCTGGAGGCAGTGGAGATGTCGTGTCTAAGGGCAGTGTGTGGTGTAAATATTATGCAGAGAATTCGTAGTGTGGAAATTAGGAGGAGGTGTAGAGTTACTAAAAGTATTAGTCAGAGAGCTGAAGAGGGGTTGTTGAGGTGGTTTGGTCATTTAGAGAGAATGGAACAAAGTATAATGACTTGGAGAGCGCATAAATCTGTAGGGGAGGGAGGGCGTGGTAGGGGTTGTCCCCGAAAAGGTTGGAGGGAGGAGATAAAGAAGGTTTTGTGGGCGAGGGGCTTGGACTTCCATCAAGTGTGCGTGAGCGTGTTAGATAGGAGTGAATGGAGATGAATGGTTTTTGGGACCTGACGTGCTGTTGGAGTGTGAGCAGGGTAATATTTTGTAAAGGGATTCACGGAAACCGGTTAGCCAGACTTGAGTCCTGGAAATGGGAAGTACAATGCCTGCACTTTAAAGGAGGGGTTTGGGATATTGGCTGTTTCGAGAGACATCTAAACTGTCGTATCAGACTGCTTCTGCAAAGACAGTGATTATGTATGAATGATGGTGAAAGTGCTGAATGATGAAAGTTTTTTGTTTTTCTTATTGGGTCACTCTGCCTCAGTGGGAAATGGCTGACATGTTAAAATAAAAAATAATAGTAATTGCTGAAGAGGAGTTGTTGAGATGATTTGGGCATTTTAGAAAGGCTGGAGCAGAATAGGATGACCAGGACTATGTATAAATTGGATGGTAGGTAATGGGTAGGGGTCATTCCAGGATGGTTGGAGGGAGGAAGAAAACGCAGGCTTCGAGTGCTAGAGATTTGAGCATTCAGCAGACCTTTGTGAGCTTGTTAGAGTAGATTGAGCACATATAAGTGGTTTTTATGGCTTTATTCACTGTAGGAGTGTGAGCAAGGTAACATTTATGAGGGAATTTAGGGAAAGGAGTTAGCCACCTTTGAGTCCTGGAGTTGGCAAGTACAGTGCCTGTACTCTGAAGCAGGAGTGCCATTTGAATTGCAATGTTCTGTTCTGCTGTAGATTCACCAGTACTGCCGGCCCGGGTCTTTTCCAGTTGGTGACCCGAGCTTGGCTCCCAGGAATAGGAGTGTCTTGAAGGACATGCCAGCTGCACAGCAGCTGGCAATGTAAGGAAGGCTGTTGAGCTGCACAGCAGCAGGCAGTGTCAGGAAGGGCTGAGAAAGCAGCAATTACAAGGTCCCGTGGAGATGTCTGCACTCATAGCTAGGCAATGAATGAACGATGGTGAATGTGTTTACTTTATTAGGGTTACCATACCTTGGTTGGAGATGGCTGGTGTGATTAAAAAAAAAAAGCATTTGCATTGTTTTTCAGGATGCTGGTGATTCTACTGTCATTAAAGATTCGTTTTGTTTGGGCATCAAGAGTGCATCGCAGTTAGTCAACAAAGAACTGAAGCAGGTAAAGTATTGTTTTATTCAACTTTTGTATCTGTTTTAAGTTGGACACTTAGTGATATACTTTATTATTGTAAAGATATTATATACGCTTTACCTAATGTCCTTTTTTTTTTTTATGAACCTTGCCTAAGCTAACCTAAATATTCATTTAGAATGTTGCTCAGTGCTGATGGCCCCGTTCAAAGCAGGAGAAATATCAGAGCTGGAACAAATACAGAGATCGTTTACGGCTCACATTGAGCCAGTAAGGCACTTAAATTACTGGGAACGTCTTCAAGTCTTGAACATGTACTCATTGGAATGGAGGAGAGAAAGATACATGATAATATATACAATGGACCCTCGACCAACGGCATTAATCCATTCCAGAGAGCTAGCCGTTAGTCAAATTTGCCGTTGCTTGAATTAATTTTCCCCATAAGAGATAATGGAAATCCAATTAATCCATTCCAGACAGCCAAAAGTATTAGAAATATAATTTTTTCTACATGAAATATACATTTCCCTACACAGAAAACAATTAGACATGCACAATACATACATAAATAAATACTAAAATGACACTTACCTTTATTGAAGAGTATTGTTGAGTGATGAGACACTGTTTTTCTTGAACACTCTGGGATTTTCAGAGTGATACATGAGTAAAGGTTTCACTTTGCAATCCTCACTACCATTACTACAAAACAAGAAAGTTATCCTGTCTTTCATAGGCTTGTGTCCTGGTAGTGCCTTTTCCTTCTGAGTAATGTAGGTCCTGTTTGGTATTTTCTTCCAGAACAGGCCTGTTTTGTCGCAATTGAACACTGGTTGGGGTTGGAATTTTTCAGCTTTGCCATGCCTTATCACACTGTGTATGCCACTACATTTCTTAAATCTCTCAAACCAACCTTTTCTGGCCTTAAATTCACCAATATGAACACTAGTTCCAGGCATTTTTTCCTGTTCACCTGGGTGTTAGTCGGCTGGTGTGGGTCGCATCCTGGGGACAAGATTAAGGACCCCAAAGGAAATAATTTAGACAGTCCTCGATGACGCACTGACTTTCTTGGGTTATCCTGGGTGGCTAACCCTCTGGGGTTAATTCTTTCTCGGTATTCTCGATAAGCCACACCAACAATAGTGTTTCCACATGTACAGCTGACCATGGCGCAGCAGCAGCTGACGGTGGTGCAGCAACAGCTTACGGTAGTACAGAAGCAGCAGCAGCTGATGGTGTTGCAGGAACAGCTGACGGTAGTGCAGCAGCAGCAGCTGACGGTGTTGCAGCAGCAGCTGACCATGCTACGATAGTATTTCGAGAGTATTTCTCACCCTTTTTAGCACTAGAAGCTTTCTTGGGGCCCATGGTGGCTTATTTAGCAGTTACAAGCACTAAAAACACTGGAATAATACAAAATATATTGCAGGTGCACTCGGAATTGACCGCAACGGCATGTAAATATTGACACACTGGCTATACACGGAGTCTTGGAGTGGCTGGGCCCACTTAGCCCGCATGCCGTTAGATGAATTTTTCTTCGTTAGTAGAGCCAATTTTTTGACGTCAAAGAGCGTTGTTAGACGAATTTGCTGTTACTTGATGCTACCGTTGGGTGGGGGTCCACTGTACCTGGAAAGCACTCGAGGGCCTGGTCTTAAATCTGCACACTGCCATAACAACATACTGGAGTGAGAGATATGGGGGAAAGTGCAAAATAAACCCAGAGAGGAACAGAGAAGTTTCGGTGGGGACGATAAGGGAACACTGTATCAACATTCGGGGTCCCAGACTGTTCAAAATCTTACCAGAAGATATCAGAAACACAGCTGGAACAAGTGTAGAAGCCTTCAAGAGGAAACTGGACAAGTGTCTTCACTAGGTGCCAGATCAACCAGGCTGTGATGGATATGTGAGGCAGCAGGCCTCCAGCAGCAGCAGCCTGGATGACCAGGCAAGCACCAGATGAGCCTGGTCCATGGCTGGGCTCCGAGAGTAGTGAAACTCTTGAAACTCTTCAAAGGTATATCAAAAGGGAAACCTGGCTGTATTCTACAAAGGCAGGGTGGCCTAAAAAGAAAAAGAAAAGTTTCTCTTTTCAACTTTAGTAATGTATACAGGAGAAGGGGTTACTAACCCCTTGCTCCCGGCATTTTAGTCGCCTCTTATGACACACACGTGGCTTACGGAGGAAGAATTCTTTTCCACTTCCCCATGGAGAACCTAGTGTACTTATCAACTATTTTTAGAACTTTGTTAAAGGACAACAGATATCTTGTTAAATGTATTTTAGATGGATTTTTCCAAAGCAACAAACCAGTCAACCATATTTCGCTAATTTGTGAAACGTATTCTGTTTTCAGGTCTTCAAGCAAGTGCGTGCAAGTGTAAAAGAAGAATATAAAAAAGACAGTGAGAAATCTGAGTTACAGAAACAAGATGAAAAAAATAACAGCAAATGTGATGGAAACAACTCAGTGTTGAACAGATCTAATAAACCATCATCAAGAGAGGTATAGAAAAAAGGTTTTGCTGAAATTTAATATATTGCAGTATTTTATTGTTAAGTTTTTTAGATATTACATTCTTTCTATTTCTCAGTTGTGTGCAGGATTACCATAAAATTTGTTTGAGTTAGTGTTTTTTGTTAAACCAAGTGTTTGGCTTATCATTTGCTGTTAGTGTATTTGCCATACTCTTGCTATAATTTAGTAGCAGTAAACCTCATTATCAAGTATTTTTTTGTTTCTGCTTTATTTCTTCAACACTAAGTATTTTATTCTGTATTTATTTATGTAATAGAGTAGAAAGTTGACCAAGACTTAGACTCTCAACTGCTATAGAATGAGAGTTAGTCTCAATTACAAAAGGAATAAGAAAGGCTTTAGAAAATAAACCAAGTATGAGTAAGTGTCTTCCTTTTTTTTTTTTTTTTTTTTTTTGTGCCAGGTTTTATTGTAATTTTTTTTAAGACTGTTAGTGCAACAAAAGCCATTTCAGTATAGGCTGAAATTATCTTCAGTTTTAAAATTCATCTTTGGTTTGTATGTTAACTGAAAATACTTTCCAGGAATTAGAAGCTGAATTAATCCAGTTACGAGAAGAGAAGAACAGGTTAGCCAGACAATTAGCAATGCAGAGAGGTGAATTTGCACATCAGTCAGTAAAGAAAGAGGTAAATAAACTGATCTACACTCTTCTGGCAAGACAGTGATAATTTGAATTATGGTGAAGGAATTTCTTTTTTTGGGTCGCCCTACCTCGGTGGGAGATGGCCAGTGTGTTAAAAAATGAAATTATGTAAGTTCCAAATTTTTTTTTTTTTTTTTTTTTTTTTTTTTTTTTTTTTTTTTTTCAACAAATCGGTCGTCTCCCACCGAATTTATACTGCATCCTGAGAAGTGTGCTTAAAGATGAATATTATGTGATATTGTATGATATTATATGACATAGGATATGATATTGCATTTCATGATAAGGTTGGGGATGTTGCAGTCAGAGCGTTATCTGTTTGTGATGTCATTGCACTTCTGGCAAGATGGTGATTGAATGAATGATAGTGAATGTGTTTTCTTCTTTGGCTCACCCTGTCTTGCCAGGAGACAAAGTTGTTTATGCTTATTTTAGTGTTCAGTTGGTCTGATGCTGATAGGTTTAACATTTTCCATGAAAATAATAATTTGCAGTCTTAGTTGCTTAGAATTCTGTATTGTATCTGTACCTAATGGCTAATTTCTCTGTCATTAGTTTGAGTGTGAAATGACTTTGCATCAGTGTTCCGAGGTGCGAGAACCACTAGAGGAGACAACAGCACGACTCGACAGCCCTCCTCCTGATAATGGACGCACAAATTTTCCCCTCGTTTCTACGCCAGTCAAGTCTTCCCATTCAGCTCCTGTCAGCTTGAGAGAAAAGGTTTGTGATGAAATGTTTTTTTCTTTTATTAGTATGATTAATAATTTTGCTTTTTCCCTAAGAAACTGTTATTTAAAATAGTAATAAAAAACCACTTTATTTATTTTGTTACAGTGGTCCTCATTTTTTCGAATTAACCCTTCCTGGGCTTTTACTATAAACAAAAATTTAGTTTTACGAATAAATTTTTCCCCAAAAGAAAAAATGAAAATACAATTAATCCTTTCCTAAACCCCCAGGTTTTAAAAAACAAAAAAATTTTTAAAAAGAAATTGTGTAGTACTAAAAAACAATGGGAAATGATAAAATGAAACTTTAAAACAGCATACATTCCCTTTATTGGAGATTCTTTTAGTGTATGGAGACGGGGAGGAGGAGAGAGAGGGATTTTTATATTTGGAAGGGAAATCCCCTCCAGAAACACTCGGTCCCAATTTGCTTCTCTGGGGTTGCTTGTTTCTCTGTTTCTTAATGCCACTAGGACCCCCTTGGAGTCATGGTTTTCCTGTCCACAAAATAACTGGGGAGAGAGCTCTGTTTCTGGCGTCTCTTTAATATTCCAAAATGGCCAAGATTTGCACGAAATGTTTCCAACCTGGCTTGCAACAATTTTGTTAGGGTGAGTTCCCCATAAAGTTTTTCCACTTCCCCCACATTTAAAAAATCTCTTTCTTTTCTGAAAAGGCACCTTTTTCCCATCTCTTTCCCCTCCTCTGCAGCAAGATTCGACTGCGATTGTTGCTCTTCCTGCTGAAGCTTTGCAGTCCCGGGGTGAGCTCTTCATGTGGTCTTTCCCCCAATTCTTCACTCTTTAAAACTCACACCCAAACCCCAGGGAAACTCCCCAGGCCACAATTGATTTTACAACAGATAGGCATTAGGGTCGCCCCAAAACCTTCAAAATCCCTCTTGTCGACACAATTGGCCACATTTTTCCCCCCCAGCGATTTCAAGCCCCGGTAGTCCTCCCTCCCAAAGCCATACCTTAAGGGTTTGCAGTGGGGGATGTAAAGTGTTCTCCCCAAAATTCTCTTAGGGTAAAAGTGAGTTGTGGGGTCCCGTCAAGCATCGTGAAACATGGCTTTTGTGTAGATTTTTTTTAAAGTTTAAATGACTGCTGGCAGGGGCGGGGGAGGGGTGGTATTGGGGGAAAAAAACTTTATTGATGCCCCCCAAACTCTCAAAAATTAGGTCATCCAAGTTTGGGGATGAACAGGTGCATTGTCCTTACAACAGGGACATGAGATCCAATTTCTTTTCCCGGGGATACCCTTCCACTAGGGCCAAAACTTCATTGAACCACTCAACGAAAATTTTCCCCCGTGACCCATGCCTTAATTAGATTTCCAAAAAACACACAATTACTCTTAAACAGTTTTTTTTCCCAAACTCGGGATTTTCAAAAGTTTTGGGGAATTTGTAATGGGGTTCACTTTGAAAACCCCCTTTGCATTGAATAAATTAGCGCAGCCGTCTTTCAAGGGTTGTGCCGGCATTCCCTTTTCCTCTTTTGTAATGAAAGGCCCTTTTGGGATTTTCTTTCCCAAAAAAGGCCTGTTTCTCACAATTTAACACTTGTTCAGGTTTCAGTCCTTCAGCTTCTATGTACTCCTGGAATTCATGCACATATTTTTCAGCCGCCTTTTGGTCCGAATGGCAGCTTCACCATGCCTTATTACACTGTGTATGCCAGTACGGTTTTTAAATCTCTCAAAACCCGCCCTTTTTGGCCTTAAATTCACCCACATCACCACATTTGAGGCAATTTTTTTCCAAATCTTTATGAATGGGCCTGCTTTTTACAAATATTGAAGTCATAAGAGTATCTCCTGCTAATTTTTTCTCATTTTTCCCCCCAATAATAACTTTTCAACCCCTTTCCCGTCTGGTGATCTCATTTTGTCAGCTAGTCTCCCTTTTCAAAACACATCCTGATTTCCTTTTTCTTGGCCACTATGGACTAGGTTTGTGGGTTTCTTATACATCTAGACAGTTCGGCCACACTTGTACCCCTTTTACTGTTCAAATGGTTTTCTTAAAAACAAACGTAAATTTTTCACCTTCTTGACCACAGGTTGGCACTAAAAAGCTTTCTTTGGGGCCAGGTAGCTTATTTTGTACTTCAAGCACTAAGAAAATGGAAATTATGAAATATTTTTCTGGACAGGAGGGGACCCTTCGCTCTGGTAAAAAAATGCCAGACTGGGGTGCCCCCCGGTCACGCCGTGGGAGCATCCCGGACGAATACACTCGCAGTCAACCTATGAAAAGCAGTCCAGTTTATTCGAAAAAAACCCCTATGATTGGGGAAATTTACAAATTTCCGGGGGAAATACGAAAAGCGGGGGCCCCTGTATTTTATTTTTTAAAAAGAAAGGGGTTTCCTGCTTAACATGTTATGAACTGTCTGTGCCCAAAGGCGGGTGGTCAAAAAAGAATAACATAGCGAAGGGGGGGACTAGCCCCCTTTCTCCCGGAATTTTAGTTGCCTCTTACGACATGCTGGGTTCGGAGGGAAGAAATTTTTCCCACTTTCCCCCTGGAGATAAAAGGGCTAAAAAAGAACAAAAATAGAAAAAAAAAAGAAGAAAACCCCCGGGGGGGGTGTTATATATAAATATTTTTTCTTTTAAAACCCCGTACCCACCCAGGCGGGGTGGCCCAAAAAAGGGAAAAAAGAAAGTTTTCCTTTAATTTGTAATATATACAGGGAAAAAGGTTACTAGCCCCTTGCTCCCCGGGTTTTTAGGCCTCTTACAAAAAGTTGGCTTACGGAGGAAGAATTTGTTCCACTTCCCCGGAGTAAAAGGAAATAAACAAGAATAAAAAACTAGAAAAAAAATAGAAAAAAACCCAGAGGGGTGGTATATATGTCTTGTACATGTATGTTTTTGTGGGCCAAGTGTAAGTAGAAGTAGCAAGACGTACCCGAAATTTGCATTTCATGAGACAGAAAAAAGGACACCAGCAATCCTACCATCATGTAAAACAATTACAGGCTTTCGTTTTACACTCACTTGGCAGGACGGTAGTACCTCCCTGGGCGGTTGCTGTCTACCAACCTACTACCTACAATTTTATAATTATATTTATATATATATATATTTCTTTTCTTTCAACACACCGGCCGTATCCCACCGAGGCGGGGTGGCCAAAAGGAAAAACGAAAGTTTCTCCTTTTACATTTAGTAATATATACAGGAGAAGAGGTTACTAGCCCCTTGCTCCGGCATTTTAGTTGCCTCTTACAACACGCTGGCTTACGGAGGAAGAATTCTGTTCCACTTCCCCATGGAGATAAGAGGAAATAAACAAGAATAAGAACTAGAAAGAAAATAGAAGAAAACCCAGAGGGGTGGTATATATGTGCTTGTACATGTATGTGTAGTGTGACGTAAGTGTAAGTAGAAGTAGCAAGACTTACCTGTAATCTTGCATATTTATGAGACAGACAAAAGACACCAGCAATCCTACCATCATGTAAAACAATTACAGGCTTTCGTTTTACACTCACTTGGCAGGACGGTAGTACCTCCCTGGGCGGTTGCTGTCTACCAACCTACTACCTACAATATATATATATATATATATATATATATATATATATATATGTTTGTTTGTTTGTTTGTACATGTATGTGTAGTGTGACCTAAGTGTAAGTAGAAGCAGCAAGACATATCTGAAATCTTGCATGCTTATGAAACAGAAAAAAGACACCAGCAATCCTACCATCATGTAAAACAATTACAGGCTTTTGTTTTACACTCACTTGGCAGAACAGTAGTACCTCCCTGGGTGATAAAATAGTTCTTATTCCTGTAATATTTCTAATTTAGGAGACTCAACACAACCACCACCATTCAACACAACCAGCACCACCACTCAGTACAACCACCATCACTAAACACAACCACCATCTGTGGTGGTGGGTGTGAAGATCCTTGGAACATTGAGTAAATAGATGCCAAGTGACTCACCAATGCTGTTTGCAGATGGCACCACATTTGTTGCCTCTAAATTAAACAATGATGACAACCACAGCCAGCAAATTTTCACTCAACATAGAAAATGCACACCAGGCTACTACATTATATTTGGAAATGCAACATCTAATTTCATAAATCTGATAAATTATTCCAATGGAATGATGGAATAAAAGTGAATTCTCTGTTAAATAATAAAAGTGCAAGAATGGTGGGCATTCTGTGTAAGGCAGGCTGATGTGTGCTGAGATTTCATTGAATTCTCTTCAAAGGGGAGGGAGGAAAGGAGTTTTTACCTTGATGCTTGTGAAGGGTTCTTGATTTGGGGAAATTTATCTACTTTACACTTTCTTGGATAAAACTTAATTGCCTCCCATTCCTTGTGCTCTGTTTGACACATGTGGGTTTAGCACTTTGCAGTGGAAATATAGTAGTTATAATAATTGTAATGAGTTAGGTAGTGAGTTAACAGACAGCAGCAGCTCAGGGAGGTACTATTGTCCTGCCAGGTGAGTGTGAAATGGAAACCTGTAACTATTTTACATGATAGTAGGAGTGCCGGTGTCTTTTTTCTATCTCCTAAACAGGTTTCAGGTACATCTTACTTCTACTTACACTTAGGTCACACTATACATGCATACACAAGCATATATATATCTATATATATATATACATTTCTATATATATTTCTGATATTTGGGAGTTGACGTATCAGCGGATGGATTTATGAAGGATGGGGTTAATCATAGAATTGATGAGGGAAAAAAGGTGAGGGGTGCGTTGAGGTATATGTGGAGACAAAGAACGTTATCTATGGAGGCAAAGAAGGGAATGTATAAATAACAAAAAGGCACAATACCGTGACTGGAACGATACACAAATAACCCGCACATAAAAGACAGAAGCTTACGACGACGTTTCGGTCCGACTTGGACCATTGACAAAGTCGTCGTAAGCTTCTGTCTTTTATGTGCGGGTTATTTGTGTAAGGGAATGTATGAAAGTATAGCGGTACCAACACTCTTATATGGATGTGAAGCTTGGGTTGTAAATGCTGCAGCGAGGAGGCGGTTGGAGGCAGTGGAGATGTCCTGTCTAAGGGCAATGTGTGGTGTAAATATGCAGAAAATTCGGAGTGTGGAAATTAGGAGAAGGTGTGGAGTTAATAAAAGTATTAGTCAGAGGGCTGAAGAGGGTTTGTTGAAGTAGTTTGGTCATTTAGAGAGAATGGATCAAAGTAGAATGACATGGAGAGCGTATAAATCTGTAGGGGAAGGAAGGCACGGTAGGGGTCGTCCTCGAAAAGGTTGGAGAGAGGGGGTAAAGGAGGTGTTGTGGGCGATGGGTTTGGACTTCCAGCAAGCGTGCGTGAGCGTGTTAGATAGGAGCGAATGAAGACGAATGGTATTTGGGACCTGACGATCTGTTGGGGTGTGAGCAGGGTAATATTTAGTGAAGGGATTCAGGGAAACCTGTTATTTTATATAGCTGGACTTGAGTCCTGGAAATGGGAAGTGCAATGCCTGCACTCTAAAGGAGGGGTTTGGGATATTGGCAGTTTAGAGAGATATATTGTGTATTTTTATATGTATATACTTCTAAGCTGTTGTATTCTGGGCACCTCTGCAAAAACAATGATTATGTGTGAGTGAGGTGAAAGTGTTGAATGATGATGAAAGCATTTTCTTTTTGGGGATTTTCTTTCTCTTTTGGGGTCACCCTGCCTCGGTGGGAGATGGCTGACTTGTTAAAAAAAAAAAATTGTATAGAATACTATAAAACATTCATCCAGTATTTGTTGATAGGTTCTTGTCAACTAGGAACTACATGGTCTGTAACTATTGTACAGTATGGTATTAATAACACCTGTATAATATATTTTAATATTTGCTTATATTGTATACCATAATATATTTTAATGTTTGCTTATATTGCATACCATATGTCAAACTTTTTATAGCCTAAATTCTTTTGGAATTTAAGAAACTAAAACATCTCCAATCTTGCAGCTACTTTAAACTTTCCTTTTAAAGAGTTAATGTATATACTATATTAAAAAATAATGGTGTATTTAACCCACTACATGTTGCAACATTTTTTTGCAGAAAATACCACTGTGAATTTTCATTATACAGTAGGTCCCCCGTATCCGTGGTTTCAGTTATCTGTGGTTTCGGTTATCTGTGGTTTCAGTTATCCATGGTTTCAGTTATCCGTGGTTTCAGTTATCCATGGTTTCAGTTATCCGTGGTTTCAGTTATCCGTGGTTTCAGTTATTTGTGGTTTACTGTGGCCTGAAAATAACCCTTAATTTGCTATAATGCACCGAGCACAAAAGTCGCAATGGTAACAGTTCTTCAAAGCCTAAGAGAAGCTTCCCATCAATGAAAAAGTGCTAATTCTCTACTTGTTGTGTGTAACTTATCAATTAAACCTTATTGTAGATATGTATGTAAACAAAAAAACCTATATATAAGGTTTACTACCATCCATGGTTTTGGGTATGCACGGTACCTCTTGGAACACAACCCTGCGGATATGGGGCAACTGCTGTATCGTGTTTTATCTGTAAAGAAGTAGGGAGTTTCTTATATGCATAGCACTCATAAATTATCTATGCACAGTGTATGAGGTGTGGTGACACACAGGGTCAGTTAACGGTGGCATTAGAGGAACTAGAGATGGCTCTTCGCAGGGAGGAGCAGGAGCGATCTCAGCGCATTAGTGTTGAAACATTACTCACCAATAGGTAAGTGATTTGTTGTGTACAACTGTATCTGTAATGGTACGTATATCTTTCAAAAACTGTTTCAAGAGGACTAGGTCAAGTGAAGAATTCTTCTTCTTCCGTAAGCCATGTGTGTCATATGAGGCCACCAAAATACCAGAAACAAGGGGCTAGTAACCCCTTCTCCTGTATACATTACTAAATTTAAAAAAGAGAAACTTTCGTTTTTCTTTTTCGGTCACCCTGCCTCTGTGGGATATGGCCGGTTCATTGAAAAAAAAAAAATTAAATGTCACTTGTTTAGAGTTTTCATGACACTTTTTCTTTAACTGACTTAAGACTAGGGAGGGACTCACTTTGTTCCCAAATAACCAGTGATATTTCTCAAACTAATTCATAAAAGATAATTATGGTCCATTAATGTGTTAGTCACCAAAATACCCTGTAGGAAGTATAGCTGCCCTGACTATCAGGGATTAATTACTACTTCTTAATTTTCCTTGAAACATTTGTGCAATAATTTGCAATGTAGATTATATAGACTTTCTTTGTATAGTGTGCATTCAAAGAGGAAGAAATAAGTCAGATATAACTCATCACCTTTGGTGAGTTAGGAGAGTTTTTGACTCATCTTGAACCCTTGTCAGGTCATTTGATTATGGCCCAAGACACACCCAAACATTATCTAAATTTCCCTTTCCAAGTTGTATGTTAGTTGTGAATGGTCTAGTCACAATTTTGCGGTGAATTGTCTAGTCACAATTTTCTGGTTAATTGTCCAGTCACAATTTTGTGGCTTCAATACTTTTTCTGTACCATTCTTGGTTTGTCCTTAGGCAAGAAATAGATAGCCCTGTTGAATCTGGAGGTGGGGGGATCCATCCAAAACTATCCAGGATCTACTTCAGGAATCTATGCTCCCAGCTAGATTTCTAAAGTTTCTCATGCTTCAAAAGGGTGAAAACATTTGTGAAAATCAGTCAGAAGTCTTGGCCAAAAAAAAAACTAGGCATCATTTTTTGCTCTGTTGGGGTAGTACCTTTCCTTTGGGCAGAGTTCGAATGCTAGAAGAACAGTTCAGGGATGGGAAGGGAAAAGGGCTAGGAGGGTAGGGTGTCAAAAAATGGTTGAAGAAAGGGCCGTTGGGGTGAGGACAACCTTGAAAGGTGAACATTTATTTCTCTTGCCCAAAAAACATGGGCTCCTTTCTGTAAAAACATAATTAATATTGACAGTTGCTGTAAAAAAATATACTTAATATCATAATACAATATACATCAAATACATACACATCATACATACTTTTTCTTTCTTTCAAAAAACGGCCATATCCCACCAAGGGGGGTGGCCCAAAGAAAAAATGAAGTTTCTCCTTTACATTTAGTAATAATACAGGGAAGGGGTTTAGCCCTTGCTCCGGCATTTAGTGCCTTACAACACGATAGCTTACGGAGGAAAAAATTCTGTTCCCACTTCCCATGGGATAAGAGGAAATAACAAGAACTAAAAAGAAAATGAAGAAACCAAGATGGGTGTGTACATATATGTTTGTACTGTATGTGTAGTGTGACCTAAGTGTCAGTAAAAGTAGCAAGACGTCCCTGAAATCTTGCTGTTTATGAGACAGAAAAAAAGACACCAGCAATCCTACCATCATGTAAAAACAATTACAGGCTTCCGTTTTACACTCATTTGGCAGGAGGGTTTAGATCTCCCTGGGCGGTTGCTTTTTCTACAACCAACTACAAAGGATACATACATACATTACTATATATATCTCAGCCAGCTGGATTCAAACCTAGGTTGTCAACCCTCCACAAGTGTAGCTAGCTACAAACCTAACAACTTTAAGCACTCTGCTATAGATGCAGCTCTGTATGGCCCTTGTAGGTTTAGTGTTTAGTTATGATTGTAATAATAATACAAATGCCACAAGATGTATGGTGGCCTGCTGGATTGCAAGGCATGTTTCTCTTAATGCCAGGCACACTATCGAGGCTCAAGCATGGTTTCCAGCTATTTCATTCCCTTCCATATGTTCTGGCCATATGAGTGACACTATACTCAATGCTTTTCACAGAAATAAGTAAAAGTAAAAACAAGTAAAAGTTTTTCCTTTGGGGCCACCCCGCCTCGGTGGGATACGGCCGGTTTGTTGAAAGAAAGATAAGCAAAGGTATATTTCAGCCAACAGGATTTAAACCTAAGTCATCACATACACGCATATATAAACATGCATGCATGTATACATACATACTGTACATATTTAAAGTATAACTAAGGTCAGTAGCACTTAGCATGGATATTTAGATTTATTACTCTATTTTATATGAATGTATACTCTAAACATATTTCCTCTTTCAGTAATAGTCTTCTTATATGTTTTTACTTACATAGGCATTCTTTTTCACTAATTTATATCAAAATGTTTTTCCCCTCTGTTATTCCTTGTTCCCTGGTAAATAGCTTACCCTACTGATAGGCTATATTTTGTAATTCTTCTGTCCATTCTCTCATTCTCTGTACAAAATGCAATTTTATGTTTTATATTACACTTGTAATGCAACTACTTTAATACATTTACCTTATGCAACTCACCTACTTTAAATTGTTGCTTGTTATTCAAATAGTACAATGGAAAGATGTATAGTACCCATAAATACTTTATATACTGCATTATTGATCATTAATAAAAAGTGCTCCTATTTCATGACATTGTATTCCAAGTGCATTCATTCTTCTTAAACTTGCATCATACAAGAACCTTTTCCTGCATTTGTAAATTTTTTTTTTTTTTTTTTTTCAACAAGTCGGTCGTCTCCCACCGAGGCAGGATGTGATAGGATGTGATGGGATGTGATAATTTAGGAAGAATCATGTGTATAAATCAGGGATTTGTCATTAATAAAATTTAACCCTTAAACTGTCCAAATGTAGATCTATGTTCACGTGTGTAGCTCTCCGAATGTAGATCAATGTTTTATTTTACATGCCTTGGCACGATAGGCCTGAGTTGCCTAGAAATGAGAAAATGGGTCTGTGCACTCGGAGCGCTAAGCAAGTGAATGTAGATCTGCGTTTGGACAGTTTAAGGGTTAGAAGGCAAGTTGGTAGGAAGGATCAGGATAGATGTAATTGTAGGCAGTATCTAGCAGTGTTGGGAAAATGTCACTTGTTGTTCTGTATACATTATATGTGTGAATGGACTTTTCAAATGGTCTTTCGGCAGTTATACTTAGCACTTAATAATAGACACTACTTCCAAAACTTCAACCTAAAATCATTGCACCAGTTCACTTGCATCTTAGGGACCTGATTTCCAATTGAGATTTGATTACCAGCAGAAACTTAATTTATGTTTTCATCACAATTATGATAAAATTGTTACCTTACCTTACATCTTGTTCTAAGATTTTGTGTTACATGGTGACTCAGACATTTGCCATTCACTGCTCAGAAAACACTTTGAATTCAGCTTGTGGGATTAGTCGTGTATGCATCAATGTACCTCTCACAGACCATGGAAACAGAATTGCTGAGAGAAAGTCACATATGAGTCCCTGTTTTGCCTCAGTTTTTTTTGTACTCTTGTGTTTTCTTTTCTTGTTTAGTATTGCACTTCTTGATTTAGGCATGATTATACTATAACCTGCCTCTGTGCTGGAGGCTTAAACCATGACTTGCCTAATATTGTAAGACATCGTTCTAATGTTATGGTATTTACCTTGTGCATCATGTCTCATTTTAATTTATTTTTACATTTATGCTGTATTTTAAAACTATAGCTTACATGATTATAAAATGAAACTAAAAATTATATTGAAGATATTGTTGTGATAATAAATGTCAAATGTTGTACTGTATATAGTACTGTCTAGTAGTCATCAGTATAAGCCATAGTTTAACATAAATTGTAGCGAAGTGTTAATGTTTCTGGAAGGTTAATACCTTTTAGGTTTAGTTTGGAAATGTTTATGTAAAGACTAACAATTGTATGTACATTAAAGATTATGAGTTATATATAATACTGTAATTGCCTAACCTTGTAAAATTCTTGCCTACTGCCATACATATCAATTAGTTTATATTTTGTTTGATTGAGTTAAGTGTTTATGCTTGCCTTTAAATACTCACTAATTTGTATATGATTCAAATCTAAAAATCTTCATGTTATATTCATGAACTTTGAATTTTCACTTATTCAAAGATAAGTTTGTATCTAGCTGATTGTATAATACGTTCTTTAGTATGATTGTTACTGCAACTTTTTCATTCTTATTATAAGCTAACTTGAATGTTGTTTCTAGCAGAGGGAGGTTGAGTTTGAGAACATGAGAAAACGATGTCGCTCACTAATAGAAAAGATACAGAAAAAACGACGTGCTCTTTCACCGAAGGAGGATAATACCAAGGAAAATGAGGACAGTTGCAATAAAACTGAGCAGGAAGGAAGTATGAAGCAGCCTCAGGCCAGCGAGTTGCCTTACACCACATACTGTAACACAAATGATCCTGATAAAGACAGTGTTGATCATTCTGTTTCAGAGTTCTCTCGTGATGACTTCCAAGTTCTTGAAGAACAGGCAAGTGTTGTTCATGCTTTATCTCAATTTTTGTTTAGGCTTCCACAAATAAAAAAAAAATGTATACAGTAGGCATCTGTTTACTCTTTTATTAGTAAAATTTTTAATGTACAGTATAATTTAAATTTCAATATTTTTATATTACTAAGGAAAAATGCATTACTGAATCATATAATTTACCACAACACAATCTTTCTCAGTGACAGTTTTTTTATTCTATAGTTTTCATTTCATATTATAGAACAAAAATATAATTTTTTTTATTTTTTTTTTATTATCACACTGGCCGATTCCCACCAAGGCAGGGTGGCCCGAAAAAGAAAAACTTTCACCATCATTCACTCCATCACTGTCTTGCCAGAAGGGTGCTTTACACTACAGTTTTTAAACTGCAACATTAACACCCCTCCTTCAGAGTGCAGGCACTGTACTTCCCATCTCCAGGACTCAAGTCCGGCCTGCCGGTTTCCCTGAACCCCTTCATAAATGTTACTTTGCTCACACTCCAACAGCACGTCAAGTATTAAAAACCATTTGTCTCCATTCACTCCTATCAAACACGCTCACGCATGCCTGCTGGAAGTCCAAGCCCCTCGCACACAAAACCTCCTTTACCCCCTCCCTCCAACCCTTCCTAGGCCGACCCCTACCCCGCCTTCCTTCCACTACAGACTGATACACTCTTGAAGTCATTCTGTTTCGCTCCATTCTCTCTACATGTCCGAACCACCTCAACAACCCTTCCTCAGCCCTCTGGACAATACTGTGCTAAATATTTGTAAGCCATGCATGTTGTAAGAGGTGACTTAAATGCCGGGAGCAAGGGGCTAGTAACCCCGTCTCCTGTATAAATTACTAAACGTAAAATTAAGAAAAATTTTCTTTTTTTCTTTTTTGGGTCATCCTGCCTCAGTGTGAGATGGCCAATATGTTAAAAAAATGTACACGTACTATTTTTGTGGCATATAGTGTCCTTTTTTTTCTTCATTCAAAATCTGACCCTCAAAATCACCCTGCACCCTACACGTTGAAGGTCAGGCTTCGGGGTCAAGCTTGGGATCTATGAATAATTCCATTTAACAAACTGATTAAAAAAGTATTAAACAAGGGATATTCATTAAATTTAGTGTGTGACCTGTATGCCAATGCATCTTATGTGCTGCAAAATACGACATACAAAATTTATTCATTTTATATATATTTGTTGCACAAAATATTTTTAGTTGTGTAATTTTTTTAGGTTCTTGCTCTAGAAGAAGAGATGAGCCTTGAACGTGACAGCCTGGAGAAGCAGAGAGCCACTTTGTTGGAGAAGAATAACAAACTTGAGCAAGACATGGAGGTGGGGACTAATAAGTACATTACTGACAAATATAAATTAGTTTTAGGCACCATTACACTTGATTGCTTGGTATTACAATGTTGTACATTGTTATTACCCCTTTGCAGCTCCAGAAGTGGAGCTATGCACATAATAAAAGGACCCTGTCTCACTTTTTTTTGGGTTATCCTAGGTTCTACACTTATGTTGCTATGTATGATAATCTGTGCAACTGTATGTGTATACCTGAATAAACTTACTAACACATGGTACGTGCTTATTTATAAGTGGCTGCTGGGAAGAGTCTTGGCTCCTGGCCCTGCCATCTTCAATGTTTGATCATATATTTTTATTATTTCTAGTGGTTATAGCACTTAGTATCTCCTTTTGTATTCCATTTCATTGTTCTGTTATTCTGTAGGAGAAAAGTCTAAAATTTTTAGTAACATTTTTTTTTTTCTTTTTGGAAGTGTTGTAAGCCTCGTATTTTGATTCTGCTTTAAGTACAGATGAATGAAAATATCTTCAAAAAGTACAATTTTCTTTTTAACCCTTTGACTGTCGCGGCCGTATATATACGTCTTACGAGGGTACCGTGTTTGACGTATATATACTCATAAATTCTAGCGGCTTCAAATCAAGCAGGAGAAAGCTGGTAGGCCCACATGTGAGAGAATGGGTCTGTGTGGTCAGTGTGCACCATATAAAAAAAATCCTGGAGCACACAGTGCATAATGAGAAAAAAACTGACCATTTTTTTTTTAATTAAAATGCCAACTTTGTGGTCTATTTTCGTATAGTATTTATGGTTGTATTCTCATTTTCTTGGTCTCATTTGATAGAATGGAAAACATATTATAGAAGTAAAGGTGATTTTGATTGATTTTACTATAAAAAGAACCTGGAAATGGAGCTCAAAGTAGGGAAAATGTTTGATTTTTGCCAATGTTCAAAAGTAAACAAATGATGCCATTGTCCAATAAATGTCCAACTAGCCATTCTAATATGCAGTCATGAATGGGTTGATGTTATTTATACAATTATTACAGTATTGGAGTAGTCTGCATAATAGTAAGACTTCTATTTTTTGTTTGAATAAAAATTCAAAATAGAAAGCAAGAGTAATATCAGAGGGGCCTGGAGACATGACTGATGAACAAAGAAAATGTTATTTTAGAGCCAGGAATGTCTGCATTGTTCATTCTGGACCTTATTTTGAAATTGTCATATTTTTTAATTTTCATGAAATTAGCCAAATTGCAAATTTCTGACCACATTATTGGGCAGTTGAAATTGGTAAATGGGCAGTTTCTTGTACTCAATCGATAGAAAAAATGGAGTTCTAAAGAAATAGCTGAGTTTGGTCGACTGGAACAATGGAATTAGCCGAAAATAGGGCTCAAAGTGTCGCTAACTTCGCGAGAGCATAATTCCGTCAGTTTTCCATCAAATTTCGTTTTTTTGGTGTCATTACAATCGGGAAAAGATTTTCTGTCATTTCATAAGAAAAAATAATTTTTTTTTTTTTTTAAATTTTGTGACACCAGGAGACACCTCAGGATTGGGGATTGCGACAGTCAAAGGGTTAAACATACCATCTGTCTCTCACCAAGGTAGGGTGACCCAGAAACAGAGGAAACACTTTCATCATCACTCATTTAATCACTGTTTTCCCAGAAGTGCGCTGACATTACATTTCAGAAGGTTTCCCAAACTGCATTATTCTCACTCCTTCAGAGTGCAGGCAGTGTATTCTACCCATGTAGTGTTAAATTTCTACTTTGTAAGATTGGCTTTGTCACTTATATCACCATCATGCACTGCTTGGATGAGCAGAATAACTAAATTTGCTTGCAATATAATTGTTTTCTCTCACCTTGCTTAGGCATTGCATCTAGATTTGATATAATTCTCTGCAAATTTTTTTCCAACAAGGAGAATAGCAAGTCTTCCTTCGTTTCCCAGTAATTTAAAACCTTAACTGATTGAGAATAGGAAAAGGTGTCATTCAGGTTTCCTAATTTGCTTTTTAAGAGTTTCTCAACTGATCTGGAAATTTATTTTTATGAACAATAACTAAAGATTGTGGATAACACAAATACTCAAAGTACCATCAAGCTCACAAATTGGTGGCTTTCAGGATTCATTATAAAAATTATTGGGGGATTCCTGGAAATAGATTAGGTTATTTGAGTTTTTCACAATCCCCCCTCCCTCATCCCTTTTTTTTTTTTTTTTTTTTTTTTTTTGGCTTTGCTTGCAACTTCTAAATTAAAATATAACCATTGAATTTCATTTAAAATATGCTTGGTGGATGTCCTGATCCCAAATTTCTTCTTTCTAGACATTGTTATAGATGTTGATATTAATCAGATTAGAGCATGATCTAGAGAGATGCAGCCTCTGAAACATAAAATGAGCCCAACACTGAAACAGAATTGAATGTATGAACAAAATTGATACAACATGACTTACGAAATCATAATAACATGATTACAAACAAACAACAGCACAGGTGGGGCTCGAACTCATGACAGGTGGGTCGTAAAACTCCAGGTCAATATGCTCACTGGCCAGTATGGGTCGTAAAACTCCAGGTCAGTATGCTCACTGGCCAGGAGTTTTACAACTCACTTGCCGTGCGTTTGAACCCCACCCATACCATTGTTTAATACAATATATGCACGTTCATTAATTATGGAATTTGACTGTATGTGCAGGCATTTAGCTTCTCACTGTCATGAGAAAAGACAAATAGGAAATATAGAAAATGCACAGAAAAAATAAAATGCACAGAAGTTTGTGGTTACAGGAAAGTGGGTGCAGGAGGGAAGAGGAGCGATTGGTGGAATGATGATGTAAAGAGAGTAGTAAGGGAGAAAAAGTTAGCATATGAGAAGTTTTTACAAAGTAGAAGTGATGCAAGGAGGGAAGAGTATATGGAGAAAAGAGAGAAGTTAAGAGAGTGGTGAAGCAATGTAAAAAGAGAGCAAATGAGAGAGTGGGTGAGATGTTATCAACAAATTTTGTTGAAAATAAGAAAAAGTTTTGGAGTGAGATTAACAAGTTAAGAAAGCCTAGAGAACAAATGGATTTGTCAGTTAAAAATAGGAGAGGAGAGTTATTAAATGGAGAGTTAGAGGTATTGGGAAGATGGAAGGAATATATTTGAGGAATTGTTAAATGTTGATGAAGATAGGGAAGCTGTGATTTCGTGTATAGGGCAAGGAGGAATAACATCTTGTAGGAGTGAGGAAGAGCCAGTTGTGAGTGTGGGGGAAGTTCGTGGAGGCAGTAGGTAAAATGAAAGGGGGTAAGGCAGCCGGGATTGATGGGATAAAGATAGAAATGTTAAAAGCAGGTGGGGATATAGTTTTTGGAGTGGTTGGTGCAATTATTTAATAAATGTATGGAAGAGGGTAAGGTACCTAGGGATTGGCAGAGAGCATGCATAGTTCCTTTGTATAAAGGCAAAGGGGATAAAGAGAGTGCAAAAATTATAGGGGGATAAGTCTGTTGAGTGTACCTGTAAAGTGTATGGTAGAGTTTATAATTGAAAGAATTAAGAGTAAGACGGAGAATAGGATAGCAGATAACAAGGAGGCTTTAGGAAAGGTAGGGGGTGTGTGGACCAGGTGTTTACAGTGAAACATATAAGTGAACAGTATTTAGATAAGGCTAAAGAGGTCTTTGTGGCATTTATGGATTTGGAAAAGGCGTATGACAGGGTGGATAGGGGGGCAATGTGGCAGATGTTGCAAGTGTATGGTGTAGGAGGTAGGTTACTGAAAGCAGTGAAGAGTTTTTACGAGGATAGTGAGGCTCAAGTTTAGAGTATGTAGGAACGAGGGAAATTTTTTCCCAGTAAAAGTAGGCCTTAGACAAGGATGTGTGATGTCACCGTGGTTTGTTTAATATATTTATAGATGGGGTTGTAAGAGAAGTAAATGCGAGGGTCTTGGCAAGAGGCGTGGAGTTAAAAGATAAAGAATCACACACAAAGTGGGAGTTGTCACAGCTGCTCTTTGCTGATGACACTGTGCTCTTGGGAGATTCTGAAGAGAAGTTGCAGAGATTGGTGGATGAATTTGGTAGGGTGTGCAAAAGAAGAAAATTAAAGGTGAATACAGGAAAGAGTAAGGTTATGAGGATAACAAAAAGATTAGGTGATGAAAGATTGAATATCAGATTGGAGGAGAGAGTATGGAGGAGGTGAACGTATTCAGATATTTGGGAGTGGACGTGTCAGCGGATGGGTCTATGAAAGATGAGGTGAATCATAGAATTGATGAGGGAAAAAGAGTGAGTGGTGCACTTAGGAGTCTGTGGAGACAAAGAACTTTGTCCTTGGAGGCAAAGAGGGGAATGTATGAGAGTATAGTTTTACCAACGCTCTTATATGGGTGTGAAGCGTGGGTGATGAATGTTGCAGCGAGGAGAAGGCTGGAGGCAGTGGAGATGTCATGTCTGAGGGCAATGTGTGGTGTGAATATAATGCAGAGAATTCGTAGTTTGGAAGTTAGGAGGAGGTGCGGGATTACCAAAACTGTTGTCCAGGGGGCTGAGGAAGGGTTGTTGAGGTGGTTCGGACATGTAGAGAGAATGGAGCGAAACAGAATGACTTCAAGAGTGTATCAGTCTGTAGTGGAAGGAAGGCGGGGTAGGGGTCGGCCTAGGAAGGGTTGGAGGGAGGGGGTAAAGGAGGTTTTGTGTGCGAGGGGCTTGGACTTCCAGCAGGCATGCGTGAGCGTGTTTGATAGGAGTGAATGGAGACAAATGGTTTTTAATACTTGACGTGCTGTTGGAGTGTGAGCAAAGTAACATTTATGAAGGGATTCAGGGAAACCGGCAGGCCGGACTTGAGTCCTGGAGATGGGAAGTACAGTGCCTGCACTCTGAAGGAGGGGTGTTAATGTTGCAGTTTAAAAACTGTAGTGTAAAGCACCCTTCTGGCAAGACAGTGATGGAGTGAATGATGGTGAAAGTTTTTTTTTTCGGGCCACCCTGCCTTGGTGGGAATCGGCCAGTGTGATAATAAAAAAAATAAAAAAATAATTATTTATCCAATTTGTCAGATTCTTCGTGTGGAATTTGACAAGAGTGAAGACTATTGGACATTGAAACTACAAGAAGAACAGGATTACTATGAAGAAGAACGCCGCCTTTATGATGATAAATTTTCTGCTCTGGAGAAGAAAATTCGGGAATATGAAGATCTGGTGCTGTCTGGAGGAGGAGGTGGAGGAACAGGAGCAAGTGGAGGACGAGAGAATTCTGATGAATCTGACCGTTTGTCAACCATTGATGAGAGTGCGGTTTGGGAAAAACAGGTACTTATGGTTCCAATGAAATGGACTTTATCCATATGGGAATACCACAGGCGCTCCTTGATTTATGATTGGGTTACATTCTGACAAACCCACTGTAAGTTAAATATGAATATATGATATGATAAATAAGTAAATAACTACTGCCACTAAATAAGTGTAAATAAACAAATAATTATTGTAACTAACTGAATACCAGTATTAAAAAGTAAAGAAATGAATAAAAGTTACAAATTTGCCACCTTCATGCTGGGTAATTATCTTAAATTTCATCTGCAAAGTACTCTACGTGAATTTATTTAGGTGATATACCTGAGTTTAGGATACAGCCATGAGTGTTAGCACCTGTATTTCTAGAAAAAGCAAACTCTGTATGTGAGACACCATTCCAGGGATGTGCCTGTATGCCTTGATGCTAAGAAATGGAGGTTGATCTTAGGAATTGAAGTATCTTTCCTGATTTAACTGATAACCACTCATTCCCCAGCACTGTGTGAATTTTTGGGTTCAGTGCTCTCTCTTGGAATATAATAGTGATAATGTATGTGAAATATGGATTATTCAGAAACTGTCATAATTATTTTAGACTTTATTTTCACCTTTACACGAGTTTATATTAATTTTTTTTATTAACCTGCTAGGTTACTGAGCTGGAGGAAGAGGTGACGCTCTTGCGGAAGCAAATTGATGACCTCAGGGAGGAGAGACATCAGTTGGTATGTCAGTGATTTTGTTTTTGTAATTCTGATCATACTAGTAATTGTGTTTATGATAAAGAATAATACAGTATGATCTTTATTTGAACTTTTATTTCAGATGTATGAAATCTTCAAGCTAGGATGTGAGGGTTGAAAACCCTCAAAATTAGTCACAAGTATGACTGCTCCCAGTTTTATTTGGGGTTTGTAAATTAATAAAAAAGCACAATATCATGACTGGAAAAATACACAAATAACCTGCACATAAGAGAGAAAAACTTATGATGAATAGTTAATGGTCCAAGGAAGACCAAAATGTTTCATAAGTTTTTTCCTATCAAATCAATCAAATTTTATTTCTTTGCAAGTAGTACACTGACTGTATGTGTGGGTTATTTAAGGGGTTTGTATAGCTTTAGCTAAAGCAGCAAAAAAACTGCTGTATCTGTGTCCCAAACTGATTTTTTTTTTTTCACATTTGAAAATACGTACTTGGGTTTTTAATTTATTTTAGGCATGATAAATTCACATTTGCTAAATGCTCTTTAAGACTGTATAGACTTCTTCAGTGATTCCTTTGTATTTAAAATTCCTGAGCAAGTTTTGGTGATTTGCACAGGAGAGTAGCATGGAGGCCCGTGTGTCTGAGGAGAGACACCTTGCTGCTCAGGAGTGTGCTAACCTCCAGGAACAAGTTAATAACCTTTCAACACAGCTTCATCAAGCACAACTACAAGTTACAGCAGGTAACTGAATACTTTTGGTAACTAATGAGTACAGTAAAACCTCTTAACAGATCCTCATTTGACAGTTTTTTGAAAGTACGGATAAATGTTGGCTGGACGAACATTGGAATCATCGGACAAAATGGAAAAAATTAATAGATTCTGGATTTTATCTGTAGCAAAAGTGCCTTGGAATCTTCTGAATCAACAGATTAGGTCTGATGATTCTGACATTTATCTGGTACAGGCCAGAGTATCCTTGTACAGGACCTGCCTGTTGTTATTGTTCCCCCGAGTCATAGACTATCTGCATCAGTTTATTGTCCGTCCTTGCTCAGAGATACACTTGTCATTCAGGTTACAATTTTTACTTGGATTTACAGCATTTTATATGAATTTTAACATAGTAAAGTGCAGTTAGCAATGGCTTCCAAAGTAAGTGGTGATGCCAAGAGGAAACATGTGAACTTCAGTGCTAAGCAGAAATTGAACTAATAAGGAAGGTCTAGTCTGGAGTCTCCGTGTCATGGGTATGTGAGGAATAAGGTGTTAAGCAAGGACAATCCTTTTAAGTTTATTGTTGATGGCAGCCATCTACAATTTCACTTGTGGAGCTTTACAGCTCCTCTGACTAAGAATAAATGTCATTTTGAGTCACCACTGTTGTTCATGACACTTTACACCTCATCTTTCAACCACAAAAGGTGAGTAAAATTACTGTAAAATTAGTGCAGTGTCTTGTACATGACTGTACCATTGTACTTCCAACTTTAATTCCTGTTTAGTACTGTACTGTTTTACAGGTTATATTTTTAGTGTCTGGTAGTCTTCTAAATCAATGGACCAAGTTCACTGATTCCTAACTTTGTTTATTTCTTCCTCTTCTTGTCTTTCAACAAATCGGCCGTTTCCCACCGAGGTGGAGTGGCCCAAAAAGAAAAATGAAAGTTTCTCTTTTTAAATTTAGTAACATATACAGGAGAAGGGGTTACTAGCCCCTTGCTCCCAGCATTTTAGTCACCTCTTACAACATTCATGATTTACAGAGGAAGAATTCTATTCCACTTCCTCATGGAGAAAAAATAAAATTTATAATTCAAACTCCATGGACAACTGGCAATAATGTGCACCCTCTCTCCACTTATTAGTCCATTAATTAAGGAGTTTACTGTAGTTAATTAGCTTCAACATAGTTGTCTCTTCCTATAAACATCAATTTGTTACTTTTCAAGGTGTGAAGGTGCATGTATAATGGAGGCAAAAAAAAAAAAAACATGCCTGCTATTTTTCATTCTCCACCATGACTACATAGAAATTATACCAAAACTCCTCATTGAGCCTTGATAGACATCATTCTAATCTATATTTAATATTACTTATGCTCCAATTTCATATAGTATTGTACAGTACAGTGGACCCCCGGTTAACGATATTTTTTCATTCCAGAAGTATGTTCAGGTGCCAGTACTGACCGAATTTGTTCCCATAAGGAATATTGTGAAGTACGTAGATTAGTCCATTTCAGACCCCCAAACATACACGTACAAACGCACTTGCATAAATACACTTACATAATTGGTCGCATTGGGAGGTGATCGTTAAGCGGGGGTCCACTGTATTATCTTATTTTGAAGGGGGAACATTTATTAGCTCTAGCTGTGCTGAATATTTCTTCATCTTCTGCATAACTATTTTTCAGTTTTAAGGCTCGAATATTTTTATCTCCCTGGAACCACTGATTTCATTTTAATAATTTTTTTTAACCAACTCGTTTTAAATAAAGCTTTCTTGTACTGTACTAGGACATAAAACTCTTGGCTTGTTAGGTATAGCCTCTGAAATCAGTGGTGAAGTCGATGGATATTGCCTAGTAATATGTGCATGCTAGTGAAACAAATTGGAGGTATTTATGCGAGATGCTGCCTAACTGGTCATGTAGTGAGCCAGTCAGATGCAAGGAAGATACTACCCACAGGAGTCTATGAATTATGATAACAAAAGTTTAAATGAAGGAACTAAAATAATTTTTTGCCCCATTTTCATAAAATAATCGTCAACCTGCTTAATTGCATGCAGTTTATATTTTTCTTCTATTTGCTTTGTTTCAGTGCTAGAAGAATTGGAGAAAGTTCGAAGAGAATCAGAGCAACGTGTTCAGGAGTTGGTGAACCAACAGAAATTGAACCTGCAAGTAAGTTTCCGGAAAAGCAAACTGTATTCTATAAAATTATATATACACTGTGTAGGGTGTCTCAAAAAATACATACAAATTTTCAGAAAGAATACTATATTAGTGAAGAAAAAAATAGTGATCAATGGCTTGTATCAGATGGATCAATATTGTAATTTAAATACCATTGATAGTGGTTTCCTTCTATACAGGAGGGCCCTGTTTTACTGTGCTTTGTTTACAGTGTTTTGCTAATACAGCAGTTTTCAGTTATACCCATTCTTCATTTATTTAAGACTTCCTGCAACAAATATATTCACCACTCACTATAAGCTAAGGCTGAAAATATTTTAAAGTATCTGTGTACTGTATATGCATTTATTAGGCCTAGTGTGAGGGGAAAAGTTCAACAGATAGGTGTAGCGAGCGAGTATATGGTGATGATAGTTTGATTGCCGGCTGCTTGTTAAGGTAGGGTCAGTCTCGCTCCCGCTATCCCCTCCCCCCCTTTTTCTCCACCCCGAAAGGTGACGTGTGGGGCTCCGGCCAAACAGTAATCACTTGACTCACAGCTCCCAGCACAACTCTTGGAATGACAGATCGGGTCACCTGCCAATCAACGAGAAGTGTTGAAGGAGACAGACTGAAACCGGTCTTGGGACGTCACCTTATAATCTACCTACCTGATTAATTGTACAGAACACTACCCGTCATCTTTGCAGTGGTAAAGAACCTGCGTTCCTGTCATCTGGACTGACTATTCAAGGCTATAGACTCTGTGAAGAACTAGTCGTTGGGTTGTCACCAACACCTGTGAATCCCCCCCCCCACACATCATTATCAACGGCTACAATTTCTACAAGACGGTGTCAACCTCCACCAGACACCCCAGTATAACTGTACATATTAGCGTTGAATTCAAATGGCAATTTTTCATTTCATTTTTCATTTTTCTTTCAAGTAGGATACACCTTCATGTTTCACTGTTTTATCTTTGCATTAATAAATAATAAAGTGTTTTTTTTTTTTTTTTTTTTCAACAAGTCGGTCGTCTCCCGAGGCAGGGTGACCCAAAAAAAAGAAAGAAAATCCCCAAAAAGAAAATACTTTCATCATCATTCAACACTTTCACCACACTCACACATTATCACTGCTTTTGCAGAGGTGCTCAGAATACAACAGTTTAGAAGCATATACGTATAGAGATACACAACATATCCCTCCAAACTGCCAATAAAGTGTTTATCTTTGTGAATTATTATTTCTTTTTCTATTCATTAATTTTCCTGAGGAGGAGCCAGCCTGGGTAATACTGTCTGAAGTTGTTACAGGGCTGAATAAGCCTTCACACCTAGCTCTATTGTTCACTTAATATATGATAGTGTAAACATTTTATTAGGCTTTTATATGCATTTGAAAGTGAAAAAAAGGGCTATGTTTCACTATACAGTGGTTTTTGCCTTACAGCAGTAGCCCTGCTGTAAGCGGGACCCTCCTGTACACTATTCTTCAGGTTAGTGACACAGCTGAAAGTCCAGTGTAGTTATGAGGGAGTATATAACAGTTCCTCTTTGCCCTGTCTGCTAGTTTAATGTAATTAATATCAAGGTAGACCCTGACATCATTATGAAAATATAGGAGTGCTCCATCTTGCTGTTAGTACAGTAAACCTTTCCATCTGCATAAAGAATTAAGGGTAACTGGCTAGCCAGACTTGAGTCCTGGTGGTGAGGAGTACAGTGCCTGCACTCTGAAGGAGCGATGGGGATACTTGCTTCTTTGAACTGTAGTATTGGTACCCCTCTGGGAAGACTGATGGTGAAAGTGTTTCTTCTTTTTTGGGCCACCCTGCCTCAGTGGGAAATGGCCACCCTGCCTCAGTAGGAAATGGCCATTGTTAAAAAAAAAAAAGATGAATGGCTGGGTTATTGGACGACTCCAGCATGGTTAGGTACCCAGCACCAGGACTAGTTCTTTCAAAGAAAAAAAAATATATAGTATCTTGGGAATACACATCATGTTGTAAGAAATGGCAAATTCACTGCCTTGTTCCTGTGAATATTTAAACTCTAAGGGTACCAGTACATAAATTTTTGCATCCCAGAGTACTGTACAAAATAACTTCAGTGTTGCCTAATCAGTCTAGAAAAATGTCTATTACCTATGTATCCTCATCAATCAGTGCTCAGCACAGTGATCAGAATTATCTTCATTCATTGTTTGTAGCTTTAGCATGTACTATATGTTTACTACTGCAACTTTTAGATTTCTATGTACACTTGCCTAAGACAGTCTAAGGCACACAAACTCTTACAGAATTTTTAAATGCTGTTAATACTATAGCATTATCCTAAACCATTCATGTTCATGGTCTTCCAAAGTGTTGTTTATGCATGTCTTGCACAGTACCTTTCAGTTCAAATTTAGCATGAATTCTTAAAATTGTTATTTTTGTTAGAGACTTAGTTACAAAATTCTTAACCTCCACAGCATTTGCAGTACACACACTTGAAAATTTTCAGTATTATTTCTAATTTGCCGTACATTGTTTGAATGTCAATAGAGTGTATTATATTAAGTTTTAAACCTGTGTGTGTCATTCCATACAGGGAGTATGTACCATTTTGTGTTATGTTTTTCCTTGGGAAATATACTCGCATATTCTTTATCAAAATGAATACACTTTTTGAGACACTTGTAGTTACACACATCATCCCTCATGTATCCATCTCAGAAATAGTGTAGCATATGGTCTTGTAAATACTCTTTGATTACAAGTCTTTTGAATTAAAGTTATCTTTCACCTGCAGGTAGAAACAGTGTGAGTGGTTGTCAACTTGATAAAAAAAATTGAGTTTTCTTAAAAAGATTATGTTTTTTAAAATAAATATCTAGATATGTAATGTAATTAATCTTGGATTATTCAGGCAACACCAAGTCCAAAACAATAACAGTATTTTATCTTAAGCTAACATATGACTTCACTCTAGCCATCAGCTGTTGCTACTAATAGTTTATAATTAGTCAAATAATAAGAAAATTTGGATGGCAATCATGGTAAGAATTATGGGATATTAATGATACAAAATGCTTGTATTGAATTGCTTTATAATTCTAAAATGTTACTTTGTTAGGATGTTTTAAATAAATCATGTAAGCACCTTAATCACTTCTCCATGTCTACAGTGAAGAAAAGCTGAGTGTTGGTAAATAGAAAAAAATTATATTAATTGTACTTGTGTCCTTTTACTTTACATACATTGTATATACTGACATTATTATTATTATTATAATAAAAACTACACTAAACCAACTAGGGTCATACAGGCATATACTAACGGGTTCATGTCATTTTATTTGTAATTTTCTTTTGTTTTGCTAAAGATATTTTTTATATATCCATTACTGCAGTAGAGCCACTGTTATTATCTGCAAGCGAGCAATGATGATAAATACTTAGTAACCCTCTGATTACTTGTGCTAAGTGTAAATGCCTTGATTGTTCTCATGATTATGAATTAGCCCACATCAGTAATGTTAGTACAGTAGCTTGTAATGAGGTTCAAGTATCAAAAGCTTTGCCAATGGTAGTCAAAAGGCCTTGAAGTTTTTTGATCATTTTGGGATTTGTGTTGCTGATGAGTGGCTGTGGTCATTTATTTTTTTGTAATAAATGTACTTTTGTACAGGTACTTAATGTCTTCTTATAGACCAGTATAGCTCAGTCATTCCAGCTGCACACTCACAGACTTCATAGGTGTTTACTGAAGTAGATATTTGTGCTGTTTGTTGTGCTTCTTTGCATTATAATGAACCATTGCAGTCTTTGTTGAAAATAATCCTCACAGGGGTTTAAGCTCAGTCACTTGCATATCTGATTGCACACACTTTACTAAACTGTATTAGTAGTCTCACATGAGCAATACCTCAATTCATTAGAAGAGGTAATTTGCTTAATAAACTAATTTGTCTAAATAATTTAACCCACTGATACACATCCAAGGTCTTCTGGCTATTTGTTTTTTTATATTTGTCAAGATTGTTCTTGAACAGACTTATTATTGCAACCACTTGTTGAAATTTATTAATGAATATATTAATGTTTTTTCCCATGGGGAAGTGGAACAGAATTCTTCCTTTGTAAGTTATGCATGTCGTAAGAGGCAACTAAAATGTCGAGAGCAAGGGGCTAGTAACCCCTTCTCCTGTATACATTACTAAAGTTAAAAAGAGAAACTTTTGTTTTTCTTTTTGGGTCACCCTGCCTTTGTGGGATACGGCTGGTTTGTTGAAAGAAGATGTTGTTTTGCTATAATTTAATATTTAGAATTTGTGCATCATTTTGTACTGTAGAGTATTTTAAGTGTATTAAAAATACTAGACAGTTTGGTGCAGTTTCCTTCACTTGCTTTATTTTGGTTATATTAGTGTGCCTATTTTCTCAGGTAAGAACTGCCTTAATGAATGGCCATGCCACAGAAGTTGAAGAGCCACCCAACCCAGGAACACAAGAAGACAGGCCATGTTATCAGGTTGGTCAAGTGTCATAGGTAGTAGTTCAGCTCGGCTCATGGATCGGGTGGCTCCAGTATCTGTTAAAGTATTATCAGAAGAAAAATACAAAACTTTCAAGAGGCAGTCTCTTACAGTTTTACTTTGACATTATTCGCTATACATAGTTATCCTTCTGAATTGGGTGGGGCTTAGCTCTTGGTCCTGCTTAGCAGCTTTTGATGGGTTGAAATTAAATAGTTGTCAGATCTGCTTTTTAACCCCTGTATAAAGGTTTCATCTACAGTATTTCTGTCTGGTTCGTAAGAGTTTGGGTCTTTAAAAAACAAACTTTTTAAGGGCTTATTTTATCAGAAATATTTATTTTTTATACTAAACATTGTAAATGTATGGTACCATTTATCACCACCTACCAGAGGTATCACCAATACTACTATTTATCACCACCACCATATTCCATTATCACCTGTGGCCAGTGTCATGTACTGTAGTTGTTACCACCATCACCACCACCTACCAGCACTATCACCTTCTACCATCACCTGTGGCCAGTATTGCATAATGTAGTTTCTGCCGCTGCCGTAGCCACCACCAACCCCATCACCTATCACTACTAACACCATGCAATCCCACCTTCCACCATCACCAGGGAGAAGTTTGGTTGTTGATAGCTTAGTATGCACAATGTACAGTACCTTCCAAGCAAATGGGCAAGGAATCATTTCTAGAGGAAATGGGCATGGCTCAATACCACACCAGCGAGTATTATAGCTTCAGTACACAACATCCTAGGTTTAAAAGATACGTAAAATATCTTTTGGTTGCAGTACCTTAAATTCTGGTTGCTGCTGCATAGTGACCTGGACATCAGTGGAGAGGGTTGATGTGACCCTAAGTTGCCAAGGTGGATGGCTTTGATTTGTAGAATCAGCTGCTTGATCCACACATTTAATAACTTTTCAGTCTTATTTATGGTGTAAACAGAGAAGGGGACAAGCTAGTCTTCTAAAACAATGGGGACACCCAGGACATGGAGGGAAACGTTGTGTGTGGAAACCAGCTGGATTTAAAATTATTTCCCAGGTTAACAGCTTGAACATTGTCAAAACCCAAGTATACTAATATTTTTTTTAAAAGAAATATGAATAGTGTTCTTTTAATGTGTTATCAGGGTATATGTAAGATTATTTTTGGTCCTAGTACAGTAGTCTACTTCTTTTATTAAATTCATATCAAAGTATACCTAATAAAGGCATAAGGCCAACAAGTGGTAAATACACTTAATGTAGTGAATAGTTTATTGGTTTTTTAACATTTTTAAATCATATTCAGACAGTCTTCTTGCAAAATTTTTATCAGTTTTTTTATTTTTTCTATTCCTGAAGAGTTCTGGAAGTTTAGGAGAAGAGACTATTAATGGGTCACTACGAGCTCAACTACGCCAGTGTCATGGACGATTGCGGTACCTTGAAGCTGCACTTCGTCAACATCATACCCATGCTTCTCAAATACTAACAGGTACAGCCATTCTCATGGATCAACATTATTGTCCACTATAACCCATATATCAGAGGTCCCCAACTTGTAAATAAATTAGGTTTCTGGTTTTGAACTTACCAACAAATTGTTTGCATAGAAATGAGTAATACAAAGAATGGTTATGTTTCACATATCTCTTAGACTGGGGCTTCGCAGTTCTAAAACTTCAGATGTATCATAAGTTCGCATTTGTAAATGAGGATGTATGTAACTTGGGGCATTTGAAGTTTTCAGCCTCCTTTATAGGAAAAAATATAGTATAACAAAGTTACATGGAAGATGTCATGTTTGAGAGCAATGTGTAGTTTGAATATTATGTTGAGAATTCAGAGTGTAGAAATTAAAAGGTGGTGTGGGGAGTACCAAGGGCAAAATTCAGAGGTCTGAGGAAAGAATGGTGAGGTGATTTAGGCATGTAGAGAGGATAGAGAGGAAAAAGATGAAATGGGTGTCTAAATCTGGGATGTAAGGTAGGAGGGGTAGGGGTCATCCCAGGAAACGTTGAAGGAAGGAAGTAAAGGATTTTTAGAGTTTTAGGGTCTTGAGCATCCAGCAGTCTTGTGTGACCAGGTTAGGAGTGAATGGGGACACATTTTTAATGAAGGTACTGTTGGAGTGTGAGCACAATATTTATAAAGGGATTCATGAAAACTCAAGTCAGCTGGACCCGAGTCCTGAAGGTGGGAAATACAGTACCTACATTGAAGGAGGAGCAAGGATCTTGTAGATCAGAGTCATTTGACTTGCTACTTTGCACATTTTTGGCAAGACAGCAGTTGAGTGTTCTCTCTCTTTTTTTTTTTTTTTTTTTTTTTTTTTTTTTTTTTTTTTTTTTTGAGGGGGTGGGGGGTTGCAAGACAGTCAGTGTTAAATGAAATTGTGTTTTCAGTAACAAGAGAGCAACATGCAGCTGAAGTGCAAAACCTTGAGAGCATGATGGCAGCTACTCAGCAAATGCTTGGTCAACATATTGCAAAATACAAGGACCAGGTGAGGCATATAATTACTTTAAATAAAAAAAATTAATGTAACTACTTCGCTAATTATGTTAGATTGTTCTTATTTTGAGTCACGGTTCAGTATGTAGTTAAATCTATAGTATTAATAACATATCACTCTTAGTTAATAATATAATGGGTTTACTTTTTTGTAAAAGCTTGTTCATGCTTAGATGCATAACAAGTATTAGAGCAAACACACATGGAAGTAATGAAACAGAGGCTAAGAATACTGAACATTTTGGCTTCACTGAACACAAGGTCAAAAGATATAGTACACTCACTCCTGTTATTTACCATTTTGTCTCCATATGTGCTCATAATGCATTCAAGTAAAAAGTAAAACCAATATAATAAGTAGCAAGTATTGTCAATTCTAGATTTGCAGGAACATTATCCCTGCCAACGTTCAGCTGGTTATTTGTAAATTTTGGTACCTTAATTTAAATAGTCTGTGGTGAAGCTTAGCCAAACAAATTTTTCGTGAAATATATAAAATTTATTGAAATGTGTGAACTAATGTACAGGCGAATTTTGGGATTTTTCAGCTTAGTAAGGCCAGTCGTAGTGATTCTCTCGTTAAGGAACTATACCTGGAAAATGCTCAGCTAATGAGAGCTCTACAAATAACAGAAAGCCGACAAAAATCAGCAGAAGAAGGAAGTCGAAGATTGCAGATGGCAGCATTAGGACCCCACACCATTTCATAAAGGTGGTAATTTGGTAATTAATTTATTTTTTACTTTGTATTAGATATTTTTTTAACATTGATATGAACAAATGTTCAAACCATAAATCAATAAATTTGTTGTGGTTTCAACTTAATTTGAAATAAGGGTTTTGATCTGAAAGTATTTTAATACCTCAGTTACATGAATTACTGAATTGTTTAATCAGTGCCTCAACAGATCTCTGGAAACCTGCCATGTTATTTTTATAGAAAGAATTTTGGCATTTCCATCTCAGTCCAATTTTGTAAAGATTTCATTAACCAACATTTTAGATTTCTGCATTATTTTCAGTGGTTTAATATATGTAATTGTATTTTCCTACAAGACTTCGATATTTTTTAAATATTTCTTCTTACAAGTGAACAAGAGTTAATGTCTATGTCCATGCAGTTAATTGCTTTGTCTGGTTGTAGTTATTTGTAAAAACCACAATTTTAATTTGCGAATGCATATTTTACACGAGTGTGAATGAAGTCTACTTCAGCCTTTAGAGTTCTTACTTAAGTACAGACAAACTCTGCTGAAGGCTTTTGTATGTTTACTGATGTAATCTGCCTTATATGTAGTGTTTGCTCTTTAACCTACGTGAATGCTGTGCTAAAATAAAAAAAATTGTTTTGTAAAGACATCTACCACCATATTTCTTAATTTGATGGCAATAACTGAAGGTGGCTGTAGACAGCAAAAAGTATTTATTGTGCACATAGTATATATATATATATATTCATCAGAGCCCCTCAAGGGAAGTGCCTTGATTCCAGTGAGCTCTATCTAGGAAATTGGACCTAATTTCCTCTTCCTAGGATCAGACTCAATTGCCTCCCATTCCTCCAGGTGCTGTATGATCCATAAGTTTATTACTCCCTTCCTCATGAATGTAAAGCAATTATGGGGAAACACTAAAGTACATAGGTATAATACAGGGTCAAACCAAGAAAAAATGAGGGGCCAGTCCAATTCCTTGGTTCTAAAGTCCTTCCTCACTGTCATCAAAGAACATACCTTAAGGGCTTTATTGTACATAAAAGTGAAAAAAGCTGACTGCTCTGTCCCTTGCTCCCTCTCCTTTCATAATATTAAAAACATTCTTATTTAGGGGCTAGGATACCTATCATGCTGTTAGAGCTGCTGCCTCTGAAAGTGCTGGAAATGGATATTGACTGAACACAGCAACAGATGTTCACTGTCTATAAGCTTTTTTTTTTTTTTTTTTTTTTTTTTTTACACACACCCTTGTCTAGAGAAATACAGAGAGAAGATTGCCCCTAGCAGTGATGTATGTGGGAGAAAGAGCTATTGCACTAATTTCCCCCAACACCTCATCCCAAGATGCTTTAATCTTTTTGAAATATATTGGAGATGACTGTACCATAGATGTTTAGTGTACATGAAATTGGATAGTTTCCTTTAGTTTTTAGAACTCTATAAAGTGAAAACCTACTATAGGCCACTACTGTCAACATTGATACCTGAAATGCCACCACAAATCTAAGAAATTAAGCATGTCCTATATATGATGAGGATTAGGTGTATAGACTGATGTGTGGTCTTGAATGCCTAATGTACTATTTTTGTATTTTATATAAGAATGTTTCTTACAAACCATTATCCCCCATGAATATTCTTAAAGGATTTCCCAGTAACATTCACAGATCTTGGAACTTCATCCTAGGCTTTCAGCATTGTTTGCCTGAATTACTGTTGTATGTTAAAGGGATTGAAAAAAAAAATTCTAGTCAAGTGGATTTTTCTTACTGTATTGTGAATGGTTTTATCAGATGTAAAGTTTTTAGTGTGTGTGCGAGTGTGTCATTCAACTGCAGCAGATAATCAGTTTAATATTTGTAAATATTAAATTAATTGTGCCATAATGCAGGACAGATTTCATGTGGCCAATTTTTTTTTTTAAGCAATCTACAAATTCACCTTAGGATCTTCCACAAATGGTATATACTAAAACTGCTGAAGTTGTAATTATTGTACATTGAGTTGCTCACATTTATACATCAGTGCCTCTGTATGTGATACCAAAGCCTGTAGAATGTCATGAAATAAATAATGTATATCCCTCTTATTCAGGGTAACTAAAACCTTATGTTAATATTTGTTTAGATAGTAAAAGAAAATGTCATTTTCACAAAATCCAAGTGTTAAATGCTTTAGTGTTACTGGTCAGGTTCTATTCTTAAAAACAAAGTTGAACTTACAAGGTGCTATCAAAAAAATTTCCTGGACTGCCGTGAAAAAAATGCATAGGCTTACCTTATCACCTAGTTTGTTTACCTTGAAGTACTCAGTGAAGCTATACACTGATCCTAGTGCCTCTGCCACATCTCAAAACATTTCTGGAACTCTTCTTTCCTAAGTGTCTAGCACAGCCTAGATTCTACTCTAATCTCCTCCACCTTGAAACATTGCCCCTCTAGTGTCATTTGTATTTTTTGAGAGACATCATGGACTACATCTGGGTATTTAGTGCTTACTTGTGATTATAATAATATATCGGTATTAGCAGGAAGGGTGGGGGATGACCATGTCTTTCAGGACTCTAGTCAGCAGACAGGGCATAAATTTTGCAGCCTCTTGTTCAAAGTTTGTCAAAATGCTTTGACATGACCCACAAGAAATCCCTTCAGCACTTGCAATGTCTTTGATATGCCAACAACAATCTTTAACAATAGCCTTCCTCACTTTTTCCATTTTTTTTCTTTGATGACCTGAGCATAGTCAACTTGCATTCATCCTTTGAATTGAGGAAGCCATTCAAAACACTGTCCAACTCTTTCTTCATTGCCAAATGCTGAAGCTGAAGCACTGTTCTTTCAGATTCTATTGTTACAAAAAGAAAAAATGCCCATCTAAACAAAATGACCAATTACCCACCTTCACAAAGGAGTGTAGTGCATAGGGATGTACACTGCCACTGTACCCCATCCCCAAAGGAAGCATACAAAAATTAGACAAGCATTTTTGATAGCACCTCATAATAATAATTATTATTATTATTATTATAAAAAAGAAGCGCTAAGCCACAAGGGCTATACAGCGCTGCAGGGTAGGAAAGGAAGCGAGGTATTGGATGGCAGAAGGGAGGAGGGATGATCAGTAGGTTACAGAAAACAGCGGGGCAGGGGATAGTGCGGGGGTAGAGGGTAGCAAGAGATTGAAGTAGAAAGGGCTGAAGGTATCAGAATTTGTGAAGTAAGTCAGTTGTTGTCAAAAAGTCAATGAGAGAGTCCGGATGAAAGGTGGGTCCATCAGCGAGAAGGGAAGGAGTTACCTGGAGTTACCTGGTAAAGAAAGAGCAGCGGAGCGAAGACGACGACGGAGGTAAATTCTGCGTGCTCGTTGATAAAGTGGGCAGTCCAACAGAATGTGGCTGACTGATAATGGAACTTGGCAATTCTCACAGAGAGGAGCAGGGCGCCTCTCCATGAGATATCCATGAGCAAGACGAGTATGGCCAATGCGAAGACGGGAGAGAGTAGTCTCCCACCCTCGACACTGGTGATAAGAAGACGGCCAGTAACGTATACTCGGTTTAATATTATTATAATCAAAAAGAAGCGCTAAGCCACAAGGACTCGGTTTAATAGATTGAAGTTTGTTGCTGAGCATAGTAGACCAACGTTGTTGCCAACGGCTGTGAAGTTGGGAAGATATTGCAGCAAAATAGTCCATAAATGGAATACCTCTACATGAAACTAGTAGGTCATGTACTGCTGACCGCGCAGCAGTGTCTGCCTGTTCATTGCCCTGTACGTCAACATGACCAGGGACCCAACAAAAAAAACAATATCTTTATGCTTGGTAAAGATGTGGCGTAGCCAAAGTTGGATACGGAGGACTAAGGGGTGAGGTGTATCAAATTTCTGTATAGCCTGTAAAGCACTAAGGGAGTCTGAGACAACCACAAATGATGACACAGGCATAGATGCAATACGGATAAGTGCTGTAAGGATGGCATACAATTCAGCAGTAAAAATACTAGCCGAAGATAGTAAATGCCCTTGTACGACGCTGTCCGGAAACACTGCTGCGAATCCTATGCCGTCAGAAGACTTAGAGCCATCTGTGTACACAGCAATGGCATGAGAATGAGAGTGAAAGTGGTCAAGAAAAAGAGAGCGGGAAGCGACCGTAGACAGTTGGGCTTTCGAGCAAGGGAGAGAGAAAGAACAGACTCGAACAGCTGGAACTTCCAGGGGGGTAGGAAAAAAGCGAGATGCTACATGTACATAGAAAGGTGGTAATTGAAGAGAAGACAAAAGCGAATGAAGGCGAAGAGAGAAGGGACGAGTAAACAGGGGCGGCGAACAATATAAAGAATGTCTACTAATATCAGTGACCATTCTATAAATGGAAGGATTGCGGAGATCATGAGAGCGTACATAGTAGCGAAGGCAATGGGCATCACGGCGATCGGATAAGGATGGAACGTTCGCTTCTGCATAGAGGCTCTCGACAGGGGAAGAGCGAAAAGCACCAAGGCATAAACGTAATCCTTGGTGATGAATGGGGTTAAGGCTAGAGAGAGTAGCAGGAGATGCCGCTGAATAGATCTGGTCACCATAATCAAGTTTCGATAAGATAAGGGTGGAATGTAGGCGAAGGAGGGTTCGACGATCAGCTCCCCATGAAAGATGAGCAAGGGTTTTAAGAAGGTTCAGCCGGCTGTGACAAGTTGCCTTCAGAGAGGTAATGTGAGGTTTCCAGGATAACCTACGATCAAAGAGGAGGCCCAGAAACTTGACTGTATCACGTTCAGGGATACGGGAGCCATAGAGGTACAAAGGATGATCGGAGATGACAGAGCGTCTAGTGAAAGTAATTTGGTGGGTTTTAGTGCTGGAAAATTTAAACCCACGTGTGGTGGCCCAATTGGAAACACGGTTGACTGCATGCTGGAGAGAAACTGTAATAAGGTGACAGTCAGCGCCTGCACAGGCAATAGCGAAGTCATCAACATAGTGATGACCAAATATTTGATGGAAGACTAGAGGCCAAATCATTAATAGCAAGGAGAAAAAGTGTTGTGCTCAAAAACACATCCCTGGGGGACACCTTCAGCTTGGATAAAGTCCGGGGAGAGCACATTATTAACCCGAACACGGAAGTGCCTGTCAGTTAAAAAGTTCTTAAGGAAGGATGGTAGATTGCCTCGAAGGCCTAAGGAGTGGGCTTGGGCTAAAATGTTATACCTCCAAGTTGTGTCATATGCCTTCTCAAGGTCAAAAATATGGCAATAACTGAGTGGTTATTCGCAAAGGCATTACGAACATACGTATCCAAGCGTAGTAAAGGGTCTATGGTAGAACGTCCCTTACGAAAGCCATATTGACAAGTGGAGAGACTGTTGTGTCTCTAAATACCACACTAAACGTCTATTTACTAGGCGTTCCATCACTTTGCAAACTGCACTGGTAAGAGCAATGGGACGATAGTGGGAGGTTTCATGTCCCGTAGTGCCTGGTTTGCGGAAAGGGAGAACAATGGCGGATTTCCACAGCTGTGGAAGAACTCCTTGTGACCAAATAAGATTGTAAAGGCGTAATAGGACTGCAAGGGCTGACTGATGTAAATGTTGTAGCATACGAATATGAATGTCGTAGGGCCCAGCTGCCGATGATCGGCAAGCTGAGTGTGTTGCCTCCAGTTCTTGAAGTGTAAAAGGCACATTATACAGTGGACCCCCGGTTAACGATATTTTTTCACTCCAGAAGTATGTTCACGTGCCAGTACTGACCGAATTTGTTCCCATAAGGAATATTGTGAAGTAGATTAGTCCATTTCAGACCCCCAAACATACACGTACAAACGCACTTACATAAATACACTTGCATAATTGGTCGCATTCGGAGGCGATCGTTATGCGGGGGTCCACTGTACTGTTCTTCTCTGAGAGAAGAAAAGTCCAAGGGTGCTAACACTCTGGCAGACTTTGAGGAAAGAAATGAGGGGCATAGATGGAGTCCCTGAGAAATACGGACCAGATGATTGCCAATTTCATTGGCAACATCTAGTGGGTTTGCTATATCAACACCGGCAACCCGCAGAACAGGAGCTGGGTCAGGAGAATATTTACCACTCAGTTTTCGTACTTTTTTCCAGACTGCACTCATAGAGGAAGCAGAGGTGATGGTGGAGACAATCTTGCCAGCAAGTGCATTTAGCGTCACGGATGACACGGCGAGCGATCGCACGCTTCTGCTTAAAATCAAGAAGTCTCTGTGGTTCTATTGTACCGGTACCTGCCCCATGCAGCGCGTTTCAAACGTACTGCACGAGCACAAGCAGGAGACCACCAAGGCACGCATTTCTGAGAATGCCTGCCCGAAGTCTGGGGTATAGAATGAGAAGCTGCGGTTAAAACGGAGGACGAGAAGAGGTGTAAAAGCTCATCGATGGAGGACGAAGAAGGAACCTCTCTAAAAACAGTTAGGTGTGAGTAAAGGTTCCAATTTGCCTGATCAAATTGCCAGCGTGGGATGCGAAGAGGTGGTGAATATGAAGGGGAAGTAAGAATGATTGGGAAATGATCGCTGTCATGTAAGTCTGGAAGAACAGACCAAGTGAAGTCTAATGCGGCGGAGGAAGAGCAGACTGAGAGATCGATGCAAGAGAGAGTGTGAGTCCGAGGATCAAAATGGGTGTGAGTACCTGTATTTAAAACATGGAGGGGGTGGGTGGCAAGAAAAGCCTCTAACTGAATGCCACGGGAATCACAGTGAGACCCCCCCCCCCCAGAGGAAATGGTGGGCGTTAAAATCACCAAGTAACAGAATCGGTGGTGGTAATGACGAAACAAGAAAGGCAATATCCGGAATAGATAATGCCCGAGAAGGAGAGAGTTATAAAGAACAGAGCGTATACCACCTATGCAAGTGGATACGGGCTGCTGTGTAATGCAGCGAAGTACGAACAAATAGCTGATGGTACTGAATATCAGTGCGTAGAAGAAGGGCACTTTCATTAAAGGTCCCATCAGGAAAAGGATCTGAAGAATACAATAAATTATAGCCTGAGATGGGAGAGATAACAGCAGAGTGTAATTTTGGTTTCTGTAAGCAAACACCAACAGGGGAAAACTGGGAGAATAACATCTGAAGCTCATCCCGATTACCCCTGAGGTCGCGTATATTCCACTGTAAATAGGCCATGATTGGCAATGATAAAGATACCTGAAATCCGCAGGTAAGGGTTCCTACGGACTAGAGGGGTTAGAAAAGTCCACATGCGGAGGCAGTGGAAAACGTTCAAGCAGCGAAGGAACGGTGCGCTGTGAAGAAAGGAGTTGCGCAGATGGAGATTGCTTCAAGTGTTTCAGAATTCAGAGACGTCATATGGGAGACAATATTGGAAATAGTAGGGGGAGGATGAGTAAAGATTGGAACTAATGGACTGTACCAAGGTAGGGGGGGGGGCGAAAGGGTGGAGGGAACTGTAGAAGCGTGGAAGGGGACAGAAGAGGCAGAAACCTGGGAGGTGGCAGAAGAGGAAGAAACTTGGGAAGGAACAGGGGAGGAAGGTACAGTACGAGGAGGGTGAACCTCTACACTTGTAACAGAGCCAGTGAGAGGGGGAGAACCAGGTACAGAGACAGGGAAGGGAAAATGAAGAGGTGGAAGATGGGTAGGAGGTGTTAACGGACCTTTTTTTGACTTTTGAGAAGTAGAGGGACGATTGGGAGGAGGTGTCATACGAGATCTCGTCGCTACTGAGGCTTGTGAGAGAGAACACGAAGAAGCAAGATCAGACTGAGACGTTGAAGTAGGGACGTCTGAGCCGAGGACAGCAAAAGAATTAGCTACAGGAGTGACTATGGGAGAGGTAACCACAGAGGTGGGTGCAGAAGATGGGATACCAGAAGTGGGGGGACGTTTTGAAACACGGGAATAAGAAACACGAGGTAGTCTCCCTTGGAGGCGGAGATGAGAAACTGCCATGGCATAAGGGAGACCTTCTGCCTCTGAGGTAACGGATTTCCTGCTCGTTTAAGTAGACTTGACAACGGCGAGAGTACGAAGGGTGAGCCTCATGACAAGGCAAGAGGGAGGTCGATTGCAAGACATATTAGAATGGTCATCGGCACCACAGACTGGGCATTCGGCGATAGATCTGCAATATTTCGCTGGATGGCCAAATCGCCAGCAATTTCTACACTGTTGCGGTGTAGGGATCACCTTTCGAACTTGTAACCGATGTCCTGCTACATAAACTGTCAAAAGTTAAACGAGCCACATTGCTAGGGTATTGTCTCCGCCCGCGGGCAGGAAGAACATAAGTGTCTACCTTGAGGATTGGGAGATCTTGGAGTTCCAGCTGTTCAAGAATGTCAGTGCCACATGTCTGGAAATTTTGTTGAACTATGGTATGAGACAGAATGACGGTACCACTACAAGAATTGAGGGAATGATGCTTTTCAATAGTTACAGGAACAGTATCGATTTGGGAAAGACGAGAAAGCTCATGAGCCTGGGTTGCATTCTGTACGGTGACGATGCGCGTATCGCTCTTAAGAGCATGAAAAGAAATATCTTTACCAACATGGCGTAGGAGTGCCTTGCCAATACTGTGGTCAGAAAGATAGGCAGCAGAGGAAGTCGGTCGTAAAGTGAAGAATTTAGTCCATTGTGCAGTCTGAAACCGAGCGTGGAAAGGTAGTGAAGGACGTGTCGATCTTTTCTGAGAAGAACGAGAAGTATCGTCAGCAGGTAATTGTCATTGTCGTTTAGGCGTGGGACCAGAGTTGGTCCGACGGAACAGGCCGGCGATTCGAAAATTGCCGCACCGTAGAGGGAGAGGCCGGAAGCATAGTCAGAGGAGAGCGAAGGTCAGATAAATCGAAGGAGTCAGTCGAGGCCTCAGTACCTGAAGCGGGTGAGGAAACAGCACCGGCAAGAGGTACAGAGGCATGAGGAGTGTCTGAAGAGTGGTCCAAAGACGAGGCGGGGTGCGGTATCAAGAAGGGGCCCGGGGGTAGCAGGTTCATGGACTAGGGCTGCCATGGTTAGGTTACTTCTTTCTTTTTGTTTAAGAAAAAAAAAAAAAGAAAAATAAGAATAAAAAAAGGGGGGACCGGGGAGGGATAGTTCCTAGGAGGAATGAAAGGGCCAGAAATCTCCCTCCGCGCCCAAGAGGACCTCAGCACCGCAAGTAGCGCAGATGCAGCATGGAACCCGTGTCATACCCTACCCATCATGCCAGTAAACCGGCAATCCGGGATAGCAACCTCACATCTGCCGAGCTACCTCAGTGGACAAAAGAGAGGGCGGCCGGAAATCCGCCACAAAGCATACCTCCTTCAGCCACCACCCCCGGAATCCGAAAGGTGGCTTCCAGAGATACACCCAAAGCCACCCTCCGGGATACCGGAGAGGGATCAGGACATCCCCAGGCAATCCAGATTCCACGGCAAACTACGCCACCGCCAAGAACCTCAACGGAATGGGATGGACCCCGGTACCCTTTCCCCTACCTAGGAACTAGCGTGCCTGTGGGAAAAAAAAAAAAAAAAAAAAAAAAAAAAAAAAAAAAAAAAAAAAAAAGGGCAAAAGGGAGGGGTGGGGAGGAGGAGGAGGAAAGGAAAAAGGGGAGGATGGGATAGGGAACGGGGGATAATTAGGTTCGGTCTGAGGAAGTAGACCGACAGGTCTAATTCCTCAGACCAAGAGCCTCTTCACCACACCAAGGAGCCCCCCTTGAAGAGGACCTCATAATAAACAAAATTATATTTCAGATGCAATTTATAATATATTGTGCAAGAATGAGCAATGCTGTTTTGCAAAAATATTTTAAATTTGGTAGTAAATTCAATCATATGCAGTAAGGTTAACCATGAGACTGACATTCTTTAAAAGCCTCTTAGAATAGATAAAACAATCTAAAGTGCTAAAATTATCTAAAGCAAAAGTGTAGATAGGCTGCACAGGAATGTTTAGTGCAAGTACTGTGGCTCTTCAGGGGAGGTTCCTTAATGCCAGTGATAAGTGTCTTGATTCGAGGATTTTGACCAGAGTAACAATCAAACCTTATTGCTTACCATTCCCACAGGTGCTGTACGACCCTTACGAGTTTAGTGTACCCCATGAAAATTTATTTAGCACGAAGCTGTATAGCCCTTGTGGCTTAGTGCTTCTTTTTGATTATTATAATAATGAAGCACTCACCCCATAGAGGTCATACAGAGCCTGGGGGGTATGAGAGGCATTCATGTTTGATCTGAAGAGTACAGATCCAATTCCTTGGATCAAGAGCCCTCACCAGCATACAGGAACACCAGGGGTATACTAATACAGGCACAACAGATTTTCTGGCACCCTTGGGTCCAAAGCTATGCTGGGTTAACCGTTTTGTCAAACCAATGGTCACGAATACACTAACCCACTAATTGTACACTTTCTGTACGTCTAACGCACCATGAACTGCTAAAACCTTAAAGAAAAATTCAACAAGTTCAACTTCGTCTTGAATTGATATGGACTGGTGTTTACATTTGACACTACTATTGATACTTTCATCTTTTAGAAGCTATAGCGAGGGTTATATTTGAGCAAAATAAGCTAAGAATCTCACATATTGAGGTATCACCAGCAGCAAGTAGTGTACACAATTCACATGTGTGGCTACACAAATCCATTTGTGGGCTACCCAGTAAAGTTCTGGCAAGTGCAGGAATTTCCTGCTTGTAATTTTGTCCAGACTAAAGGAGATGCCGGACCATCCATTGTCAGAAAATCGGTGTACCCATAGTATTGCTAGATTTCATTCATCTCAAATTATATATAAACCACAGATCGTTTGATTGCAGAAAACATGATTCGGTGATAGAGGTTTCCTCCAGCGAGGGTATTTTGATACGAGGAATTGGATCTGTGCTCTCCTTGAGGGGGAAAGGAAGCAAGGTAATTAATGGCAAGTGGGAAAAGGGTGGCATTAAAAATACAACACTGAAGTACAGTAAATTTCAGAGAGAACTTATAACTTGAGTGAAATTTTCTTAATTACAGAAAAAGGGGAATTCTTTTAAGATGATTGCAGGCATGAGTGTGTGTGCTAGATAGAAACAGAAATGATTTTTGGGACCTGATTGATTTTGAGCAAGGTAACATTTACAAAGGGATTCAGGGAAATCAATTAATTGGACTAGTCCTGAAAGTGTAAAGTACAGTGCCTGCACTCGGGAGGGGCATCTGAGCTATGACTGATAGCAAAAGCATTTCTTGGTCCACCCTACCTAGGTGGGAGACAGCTGGTGTAAAATAAAATTAAGAGCTATTGATGTGCACATTTTTTCAGAGCAGCAACACACTTTGGGAATATAATATTGGACGGGTTCATGTTTTCGTTCAATGTATATCTATATATATATATATATATATATGAGGGTGTGTAAAGGTAGAAAGTTGAAAGTGAAGTGAACTTATTATTATAATCAAAAAGAAGCGCTAAGCCACAAGGGCTATACAGCAAAGTGAACTTAGATAAGAGTAAGGTGGTGAGGGTATCAAATGATTTATATAAAGGAAAATTGGATATCACATTGGAAGGAGGGAGTATGGAAAAAGTGAATGTTTTCAGATATTTGGGAGTTGACTTGTCAGCTGATGGGTTTATGAAGGATGAGGTTAACCATAGAATTGATGAAGGAAATAAGGCAAGTGGTGTGTCGAGGTATTGGGAGACAAACGTTATCCATGGAAACAAAGAAGGGAATATATCGGAATAGTGGTACCAACACGTAATTACATGGGTGTGAAGCATGGGTTGTAAATGCTGCAGCAAGGAGGCAGTGGAGATGTCGTGTTTAAGGGCAATGTATGGTGTAAATATTATGCAGAGAATTTGAAGTATGGAAATTAGGTGTGGAGTTACTAAAAGTATTAGAGGGACTGTTGAAGTGGTTTAGTCATTTAGAGAGAATGGAACAAAGTAGTATGACTTGCAGGGCATATAAATCTGTAAGGAAAGGAAGGCAGGGTAGGGGTCATCCTGAAAACGGAGGGGGTAAAGGAGGTTTTGTGGGCAAGGAGCTGGGACATCCAGCAAGCATGCGCAATCGTGATGGATAGGAGTGAATGGAGACTTAATGGTTTTTGGGACCTGACAAGCTGTTGTAGTGTGAGCAGGGTAATATTTTGTGAAGGGATTCAGGGAAACTGGTTAGCTGGACTTGTCCTGGAAATGGGAGGTACAATGCCTGCACTTTTTAAAGTGCAGGAGGGTTTTAAGATATTGGCAGTTTGGAGGGACATCCAAACTGTCATATCTGAGTGCCTCTTTGTCTCTACAAAGACAATTATGTTGAATGATAGTTTTTTTTCTTTTTGGGTCATCCTGCCTTGATGGGAAACGGTCGAGATGTTGAAAAAAATGCAGCATGAAATGTTAAAGACACCTAAGCATTGACAATATGCCTAGTTTATTTGTACAAGGAAAAATTAAGAGGGGGTACAAGTCTTGTGCATACTGGGTAAAGTGTACTGTAGAATTATTGAAAGTACAATAATAGTTTTCTTAACCTGTAGGGGCAAGTACAAAAATAGAAATGCAGAGGTGCAAGAATTTACGAGGGGTGGGGGGATGTGTAAGCCACCAAATGTTCATACTGAAGTATGCAACACTTAAATAAGGTGAATGAGTTTTGTTGCGCACACGTGCGCACACACAAAATTATATAAAGTATAAGGGTGGATAAGCAAGCCATTTGGCTAATATATTTAACAAGATTTAGTTTTCATGCAGTGAGGATCAGGTTAGAGTATGTAGGAACTAAGAAGACACTTTCTCAAATCAAAACAGACATTCAGGATGTCACCCTCTTTTAACCTTCATAGATGGGATTGTAAAAGTAGTAGTATCATCAAATTAAGCACTAAACCTTAGTCATAGCTCTGCTGTAAAAAGTATACAATGCATTTTTTTGTATTAAAAATTCTTTAAGCCCCATTTAGGAGACCAAACAATAAAACAAAAATATTAAAATTTTTTGAAAGTATAGATTGTTAAATATGGAAGCCTTATGAAAATAGTGCTTAAGTTCTCATTTGTGGTTAAATGGCATTTTAGTAATAACTGGGCAACCATCTGAAAATGCTCAAGGTTTAACCTGCTAATGACACTTGTGGGGCCGCAGCCCATGGTGAAATACTGCTCTAGAGCATACAAGTCATTGTCGTAACTAAGTCCTCATAAGTTTAGCGTGTGAATAAAGCAGAAGGCTGACATTAACAACCATAATAAAGAAAGTTAACTATACCAGTGAGAATTATAATCAAAAAGCACTAAACTGCAAGGGAAACCAGTGAGAAAAGATACCACAAAACTAGTTGTGCTGTCAAGAATTATGGTTTCCTACAGTATGCTCTATTTTGACCTTTTCCTCAAAATGTACTTTTATGAAACTGCTCAACTACAAATGCCTGTACTATGAAAGTGCATTTCATTGGAATATTTTTGCCCAAATCATTCTGGAAGGAATTGAAAAAGTGTCATTATTATACATGTTTTTGATACAAAATATACATTTGACAGTATAATTATTACAATATACTGACGAGTTTTTTACATAAAATTTGCAGATTTCCTTTAATATACATTAATAAAATTATAAATGCCAATAAAAATTAAAAAAGTTTCTGGAAAGTTACATTACTTTTATTTCAAGTTTTAAGTTAGCTACCACCAATATTTTTGGTGATATCCTCAATCAAATCTTTGAGTCTCTGATTTTCTACAGATGTTTTCTCCACTGTTTCTGTGAGTGTGAGAATTTTCACTTCAGCTTTCTTCAACATCACAGATGCCTTTTTCAGTTCTCTCTCATAATTCTGCTTCATTGCTGAATACTCTTCTTGAGCTCTGAAATACAAATAAGAAATTTTTTATTCCTTACAAATGAAGTATTGTAATTTACACAATTTAAGATTATGACAAAAGCATTATTGTATTGCTTCTATTATTAGGAAACCACACTCAAATAAAGCAATGCCCAAACTATTTTAATTAATCCACTAGTGGGAAGGAAGGCTATGTACTGCACACCATTACTTATTTCTTCAAAACCCTCTTCACATATACGTTTCTCTACTTTTTGTTCTTTCACTGTCTACATTTCTCCTTTACATCCCTTTTGTACACTAAATCACTCAAACTACCCATTCTTTCCATTACCAAATTTCCAGACCATTTTAAAATTTCTTGATAGTATGTTCCTAAAGGATAGAAGCATCAAGTGATGCATTAAATATTGGTGGTTCAAGCCATGGAACCTTCCCCACACATTCTGACCCACAAAAGTCCTCTCATTTATGCCACCTACACTTACTTTCTGGGAGCATTACATGCCTTACTGTGTTCATAGATTTTTTCTGGATCTTTTCACAACCTCATCTCTGAAGTTAACCATGGCACTTAAGAGGAATACTAATGATGAAGGTGGTAAGAACAATGAGCACAACTGGCAATACTGAAAAGTGTTAATTTTAGATACTGTACATGATGCAGACTACACCATGTAAAATTAAGACAAAATAAGGATTTGTGCAACAAGTAATGCTTATTATGACCTGGTGAAAATGTAAAGGTCATTACTGCAGCGTAAAACAGACCATATGCGTTAGAATACTTCAGTACAATCAACTACTGAAACCTTAATCCACAACAAAAACTACAGCCATCCACCTCGGCCCAGCATCCTCGAACGCGTTTCCATAACAATTACAACTAGAATGAAAGTCAAAAAACTAGTAATTTGTACCAGGTAAAACATTTTAAAGCAGAGCTGTATAGCCCTTGTGGTAGCACTTCTTTTTGATAATAATAAAACATTTTGAAATTAAATTATTTGAAGTATAACCTACTTTCCATATGCTTCTTCTAAAGTTTTAACAACTGACTGGAATGATTCTTCTTTCTGAGCCATCTTAGCTTTCAAGCTCTCTACTTCAGACTTCAAAGCTTCCTCATTTTTATGCAAGACTGCTGTAACCTCACGCAATCGCTCGAATCTCCTATAAAAAAAAAAGTACATTTTGTTACATAAAGTACAGGTATTAAAAACTGATTTAACACATTACAGTAGTACACACAGAAATGTGCTACTCTAGTAACTGTTCTTAATTATTCTTACTTTCAACATAGTTGCAATTAACTAACATTCAGAAGTATGCTCAATTCGTAAAATTATTTACAATCATTATTTATCAGTCTACAGCAGGATTCGAAAAAAAAAAAAAAAAAAAAAACACACAGCTGGCTGTGTTGATACAGTACTGCATACTCTGATGCAGTGTGCAGGTCCAAATCCTGCTGTGGACAGAATTCAGAAGTATGTGGACCTACTTGACCAAGTCAAAGAATGGAACTTCAGACTTCTTCAGCTCATCTTGGTACTGTTCACATTCTTTACGGAGAGCAGTTAATTTGACTTCATACTGATTTTCCAATAAAAGCATTTGAGTCTTGTGTTCTTTTTCCTTGGATGCTTCATGCTGCAATATCTTTGCCATTACACCTTGCATCTGTTTAATACTTGACCTGAAGGGAAAAATTTATTACCATTTACCACCATGCAAGATAGAGGGTGCTTGAAGCTATGACCAACTGAGCTTTCTTTATAAATTTATGTATTGTCACTAATGTAAATTTCAGCAGTGAAAATACATAAACCTCCAATATTAAAAACAAGCACATTCATTCACTTAAAATTAACAGCAAAGTTCAGTAAATTTTTTAAAGTAACAATGAATTAGTTTTAATTTATTAATAAAGCACTAGAACAGTTCGATTATTCAGTGTTGCAAATATGGCAGCTATCAGAAAATCTTTGCCAAATATTTGTAAAATGAACATTTCCATCAGATTTTACACTGATTCTGATGTGCATTAATTTGTTTGGAGAATCTCACCTAAGCAGCAGTCAGAAATAAAGATGAACACTAAATATGAACCAACTCACTCCAAAGCAACTAATCAACATTGAAAAAAATTAAACCTATACATCTCCATTACTGACTTCAGTGTGGCATTTTCTTCTTCCATGCTAGTCATAGCAATACCCTGCTCTGTCAGCTGCCGCTTCAGGCGTTTCTGGATCTCCTCAAACTCGCGGCTCTTCCTCAGCATACTGTCCTGTAGAATAAGCACAATCACTACTTTTATGCAAGTACGTATTAATTTCTTGAAACAAGCCAAACTTTTTAACTCTGGGAATGGCCATATTTAACCAATTGGAGGTAGTCTTATCATTCTTATTGCAACTGCATTGAAACAGTACATAATTATTAAATACCCTTAAACACAATGTATTTGTAAAGCTTAGGAAATTTAAAAAAAAAAAAAAAAAAAAAAAAAAAAAAAAAAAAAAAAAATTATGAGCATTAAGAAAAAGCATTAAATACAGTTAACATTGTTATACTGTACACTACTGTTGTAACCTACTTTTGCTATTTATTTATTTATTTATTTTTTTTTTTTCAACAAGTCGGCCGTCTCCCACCGAGGCAGGGTGACCCAAATATATATGCACAAATTCAAGTTTCATCCTTGTACCACATTTTTTGACTTGTGATCAATGGTTTTACAGCCGACACCTCAAGCAGTTTAAAATATGCACAGGAATTACTAATACAGCTACATAGCCAATAATTTATACCTACCCAAACAGAGTACATAATGTTGCACAGTACAGTGAAGATTCACATTTGTCCAAATATTCCACTATACATTATTACAAACGAACAAGATACTAATAAAAGCGCCTGCCTGAGAGAGAAAAAAAAACACTTGCCTGCATAATTAACTCCATATTTTTAAGCTTTTCCTTCATCGCACGCTCAGTAATCATTTTTTCTGCATGGATAACCTGGAAAAAATAACCAAACTTAACAAATGACCTTTCCTATTTCAAGGAAGGGGAAAGGAAGGAAGTTAAGAATATACAGTGGACCCTTAAACGTATTTTTTCACTCAGAAGTAACAGTGTGCCAGACTGACCAATTGTTCATAAGAATATTGTGAATAATACCATTTCAGCTAAACATACACTACAAGCACTTAATAATACACTTACATAATTTGGTCAATTGAGTACGTATGCGGTCACTGAAAACTATTTCCCTGGTAAAATTGCTTCAGTTTATGTTAAAAACATTAATACACTTTTTCGTAAAGTGAATCTATTTGAACAATTTTCCTAAAAATTAGTTTGTGAAATAGAATCCCAGGGAACTATTTCAATGAAATAATCATGAAGAGGAGATATCAAGGAAAACCTGAAGATTAGCTTGATGGCTGACTACTACTGCTGGACACTGATATAAATATGCAAGACTGGAAATTTATTTTTATGCATATACACATGTACAGTACAAAACCATAAATCATGTGCTCATAGCTCACATTTTCAATATTCTGTGTATATTAAAATTTTCATTACCAATATTAGCATGCCATTACAATCAAGATGCACAAGGGAAGAATTGGTGTAACGCATAATTTTTTGGAGCACATGTCCACTCCTTGAGGAAGGCCCTCATTTTGGCGAGAGGAAGGCACAACAACTGCTTAGCCTAAGCAAATTAGTTTAAGCCTCTGGACACATACCATATATGACTGGTTATCCTATATTTAATTCACATTACGTTTCTTCGTGTCTGGACATAAGTTATGGCACCCAAAAGAAATAAGTGATGCTGGAAGTGTCAAGAAGGATTAAGCATGAAGTTTTTATAATATCTAAAAAAGTTGTGGTTTAAATAGTGATTGGAGGCAGATTGTGGTGATGGCTGTTAGGTTATTCACATGGCTAGTGTAACAATTATAATTCACTAATTACAAATTATAAAGTTTTTCTTCTTCTCTTTTTTAGTAAATGTCTACAGGAGAAGGGGTTACTAGCCCATTGCTCCTGGCATTTTAGTCGCCTCATACGACACGCATGGCTTACGGAGGAAAGATTCTTTTCCACTTCCCCATGGACAATAGAAGAAATAAAGAAGTACAAGAGCTATTTAGAAAAAGGAGAAAAACCTAGATGTATGTATTTTTTTTTTTTCCAACAAGTCGGCCGTCTCCCACCGAGGCAGGGTGACCCAAAAAAGAAAGAAAATCCCCAAAAAGAAAATACTTTCATCATTATTCAACACTTTCACCACACTCACACATTATCACTGCTTTTGCAGAGGTGCTCAGAATACAACAGCTTAGAAGCATATACGTATAAAGATACACAACATATCCCTCCAAACTGCCAATATCCCAAACCCCTCCTTTAAAATGCAGGCATTGTACTTCCCATTTCCACGACTCAAGTCCGACTATATGAACATAACCGGTTTCCCTGAATCCCTTCACTAAATATTACCCTGCTCACACTCCAACAGATCGTCAGGTCCCAAGTATCATTCGCCTCCATTCACTCCCATCTAACACGCTCATGCACGCTTGCTGGAAATCCAAGCCCCTAGCCACAAAACCTCCTTTACCCCCTCTTTCCAACCCTTTCGAGGACGACCCCTACCCCTCCTTCCTTCCCCTATAGATTTATATGCTTTCCATGTCATTCTACTTTGATCCATTCTCTCTAAATGACCAAACCACCTCAACAACCCCTCTTCTGCCCTCTGACTAATGCTTTTATTAACTCCACACCTTCATCCTAAATTTCCACACATTGCCCTTAGACAGGACATCTCCACTGCCTCCAACCGTCTCCTTGCTGCTGCATTTACCACCCAAGCTTCACATCCATATAAGAGTGTTGGTACTACTATACTTTCATACATTCCCTTCTTTGCCTCCATAGATAACGTTTTTTGACTCCACATATACCTCAACGCACCACTCACCTTTTTTTCCCTCATCAATTCTATGATTAACCTCATCCTTCATAAATCCATCCGCCGACACGTCAACTCCCAAGTATCTGAAAACATTCACTTCTTCCATACTCTCCTCCCCAATTTGATATCCAATTTTTCTTTATCTAAATCATTTGATACCCTCATCACCTTACTCTTTTCTATGTTCACTTTCAACTTTCTACCTTTACACACATTCTCAAACTCATCCACTAACTTTTGCAATTTTTCTTTAGAATCTCCCATAAGCACAGTATCATCAGCAAAAAGTAACTGTCAATTCCCATTTTGAATTTGATTCCCCATAATTTAATCCCACCCCTCTCCCGAACACCCTAGCATTTACTTCTTTTACAACCCCATCTATAAATATATTAAACAACTATGGTGACATTACACATCCCTGTCTAAGACCTACTTTTACCGGGAAGTATTCTCCCTCTCTTCTACACACCCTAACCTGAGCCTCACTATCCTCATAAAAGCTCTTTACAGCATTAGTAACTTACCACCTATTCCATATACTTGCAACATCTGCCACATTACTCCTCTATCCACTATCATATGCCTTTTCTAAATCCATAAATGCAATAAAAACTTACCTACCTTTATCTAAATACTGCATGTGCGTGTCTGAAGTGTGACCAAAGTAAGTAGGAGTAGCAAGATATCCCTGTTATCTAGTGTGTTTATGAGACAGAAAAAGAAACCAGCAATCCTACCATCATGCAAAACAGTTAAAAGGTTTCTGTTTCACAGTCATCTGGCAGGACGGTAGTACTTCCCTGGGTGGTTGCTGTCTACCAGGGAAACCGGCAGGCCGGACTTGAGTCCTGGAGATGGGAAGTACAGTGCCTGCACTCTGAAGGAGAGGTGTTAATGTTGCAGTTTAAAAACTGTAGTGTAAAGCACCCTTCTGGCAAGACAGTGATGGAGTGAATGATGGTGAAAGTTTTTATTTTTCGGGCCACCCTGCCTTGGTGGGAATCGGCCAGTGTGACAAAAATAATAAATAATTACACATCCTTGTGTGTTAAAATCATTTAACCATGCTAGCTGCATTTATATAGTTGTTAAATATGTCGGTGATTGGCAATAGTATGAAAAAATTATTAAAAGAACATTTAGTGTTCATGATGTAGTGAAGATGGAGGCCACAGGTGTAGGCCAGTCTAAAATTTTGGCCAATAATGGCCACATCAACTATACATACACCACTTATGTAGCAACAAGGACAAGGAGAAAGGAAAGGATGGTAATATAAAACTCACTTTTTACCTTATTTCAAAACAAGAATGTGCACAACAAAAATACTGTATGAAGAGTGTGCTGGTGACTTTGAGGGTCATTCATGCTCACACCACTTATTACTGAAGGAATACAGGGTCTTCAGTTAAGCTTTATTGAATATGAAAAGGCACTGGCTGGTGAAACCTCTTTAAAATAAAGATAACCCTGTGTGGTACAGGTGCAATTCATTTTTTGACACTGGTAATCTTCCACCAAGGTAGGGCAACCCAAAAGAGAAGAAACACTTTCACCACCGCAGTCTCTTCAGAGGTGTGTTGATACTACAGTTCAGATGTTCGTCTAAAAAGTAAATATCTCCACACCTTCAGTGCAGGCACTCCAGGACTAAGTTTGGCTAACCAGTTTACCCAAATCCTTTCATAAAATGCTACCTTTCTCACACTTCAACAGCTCATGAAGTTCTGAAAACCATTTGCCCCATTCCTTAAATACACCAGATGGATGTCCAAGCCCCTTGCACACAAAACTTCTTGACTCCCCTCCCTCCAACCTTTCCTAGGATGACCCCTACCCTTATATAATACAGTTCTACAATACACCAAAGATTATGTTAAATTCACCATTCCACCTTCCAATCTATAATTTGCATGAAAATATTTTACCAGCCATTAGGTACACTTAAGACCAAATAATGCTTAAACAGTACTGTACACGAGAGCAAACTTATAACCTACTTACTGATAACTGAAGAGAGGTTTCACTAGGATCAGTGATGTTAGTAATCATAGTGGTATTGTTGAGCGTTTGACTCGAGACCACAACAGTAGTGTTACCACTCTCAGCAAACGTTGTGTTTTCAAGGCTTGTAGCATCAAAGACAGTATCATCAGAAACACTGCTAGTAAGGGCCTTCACAGGAGTTCCTGCTGGTTCTGCTTCTCTCTGGCGCTGCCAGAATAAAAAGGTTCACAATAGCAAATACAAATTTAGAAAGATCTGAAGAGGGTAACAATCAACCAAGGCTCAATCATTATGGCTGGGAAGAAACTTTTTACAACAGAATGCCAGGAAAGCATTCTCAAACAAGGGTTACACTGGGCATATACTGTACTGCACATATTACAGTGGACCCTCAACCAACAATATTAATCCATTCCAGAGAGCTTGTCGTTAGTCGAATCAATTTTCCCCATAAGAAATAATGGAAATCCAATTAATCCTTTCCAGACACCCAAAAGTATGAAATTTTTTTTTCACATGAAATATACATTTTCCTACACAGAAAAACAAGGATACATGCACAGTAAATACTACATGAAGAATAAATGACACTTAGCTGTATTGATGAGTGATGAGACTTTCTTGAACACACTGGGATTTTCAGAGTGATACACGAGTAAAGGCTTCAATTTGCAATCCCCACTAGCATTACAACAAAACATGAGTTAGCCTGTCTTTCATAGGCTTGTGTCCTGGGAGTGCCTTTTCCTCCTGAGTAATGTAGGTCCTGTTTGGCATTTTCTTCCAGAACAGGCTTTTGTTACAATGGAACACTTGTTGGGGGATGAATTTTTCGGCTTTGCCATACCTTATACTGTGTATGCCACTACGATTCTTAAGTCTGTCAAACAAACCTTTGCAGACCTTAAATTCGCCAATATGAGCACTAGATCCAGGCATTTTTACCTGTTCATCTGGGCATTAGTCGACTGGTGTAGGTCACATCCTGGGGACAAGATTAAGGGCCCCAATGAAAATAAGTTGGACAGTCCTCGATGACGCACTGACGTTCTTTGGTTATCCTGGGTGGCTAACCCTCTGGGGTTAATTGTTTCTCGTTAAGCCACACCAACAACAGTCTCTCCACATCGAGTAGTACAGCCAACGGTGGTGCAGCAGCAGCAGCCGACGGTGGTGCAGCAGCAGCAGCCGACGGTGGTGCAGCAGCAGCAGCCGACGGTGGTGCAGCAGCAGCAGCCGACGGTGGTGCAGCAGCAGCAGCCGACGGTGGTGCAGCAGCAGCAGCCGACGGTGGTGCAGCAGCAGCAGCCGACGGTGGTGCAGCAGCAGCAGCCGACGGTGGTGCAGAGCAGCAGCCGACGGTGGTGCAGAAGCAGCAGCCGACGGTGGTGCAGCAGCAGCAGCCGACGGTGGTGCAGCAGCAGCAGCCGACGGTGGTGCAGCAGCAGCAGCCGACAGTGGTGCAGCAGCAGCCGACGGTGGTGCAGCTGCAGCCGACGGTGGTAGCAAGCGCCAGCAGCAGCAGCCGACGGTGGTACAGCTGCAGCAGCAGCAGCCGACGGTGGTACAGCAGCAGCAGCAGCAGCCGACGGTGGTCAGCAGCAGCAGCAGCAGCCGACGGTGGTGCAGCAGCAGCAACAGCCGACGGTGGTACAGCAGCAGCAACAGCCGACGGTGGTACAGCAGCAGCAACAGCCGACGGCGGTACAGCAGCAGCAACAGCCGACGGCGGTACAGCAGCAGCAACAGCCGAAGGCGGTACAGCAGCAGCAACAGCCGACGGCGGTACAGCAGCAGCAACAGCCGACGGCGGTACAGCAGCAGCAACAGCCGACGGCGGTACAGCAGCAGCAACAGCTGACGGTGGTATAGCAACAGCTGACAGTGGTACAGCAGCAGCTGACGGTGGTGCAGCAGCAGCTGATGGGTGCAGCAGCAGCTGACTGTGGTACGACAGTATTTCTCACCCTTTTTACCACAGGGTTGGCACTAGAAGCTTTCTTTGGGACCATGGTGGATTATTTAGCAGTTACAAACTCTAAAAACAATGAAATACAAAATTTATCGAATGTATGTGTGCAACCATCCACCCTGGCTTGTAAACAATGGCACACTAGCCGAGCTGAGGCACTCAGGCCAGATGGACACGTTCAGGACGAATGTTTGTTAGTCGAGTTTTTCATCGTTGGCTGGGCCAAAATTTTTACGCAAAAACACTTCGCTAGTCAATTTTATCATTAAACGATGCCTTTGTTGGTTGAGGGTCCACTGTATATACAAATTTACACAAATTATACTTTAAGAGGGAGTCAACTTTGATGGACAATAAGTGGAGTGTTTACAATTTTAACTTGTACATAGCATTTCAGTAAAGAAATTATAGTACCCCAAAGATGCAGGTTACCCTACAAAAATCGCTCATTTTAAAGTATCCAGATACAAAAGGAAATTGCATACAACTGGATGAAACTGTAAACCTTCAATTGAATGAACTTGAGAAACTTGGGCCAAAATCTGTTTGGTTAATTTATTCAGAAACAATGGAGAAAGTCAACTGGTTCCAGAATTCAGTTACAGATCGGCCATCACTAGTCCGGCATCATTGGGACCTGTTGTGTGCTGGATTACGAAGTGGTTAGGTTAGAATACACAGCTCAGTTCTGGTCACCGTATTACAGAATGGATATAAATGCTCTGGAAAACGTATAGAGGAGGATGACAATGATGATCCCATGTATCAGAAATCTTCCCTATGAGGATAGACCGAGGGCCCTGAATCTGCACTCTCTCGAGAGGCATAGAATTAGGGGAAATATGATCGAGGTGTATAAATGGAAAACAGGAATAAATAAAGGGGATGTACATAGCGTGATGAAAATTTCCAGCCAAGACAGGACTCGCAGCAATGGTTTCAAGTTGGAAAAATTCAGATTCAGGAAGGATATAGGAAAGCAGTGGCTTGGTAATAGAGTTGTGGATGAGTGGAACAACCTCCCGAGTACAGTTATCGAGGCTAAAATGTTGTGTAGTTTTAAAAATAGGTTAGATAAATACACGAGTGGGTGTGGGTGGGCGAGAGTTGGACCTGACCAGCTTGTGCTGCTGGGTTTGGAGCTGTGCTCCTTCCTTGAGTGGAGGTGACCAGACTGGGTGGGTCACTGGGCTAATCTGGGGAGGGGGGACATGGACCTGCTCCACATGGGTCAGTAGGCCTGTTGCAGTGTTCCTTCTTTCTTATGTTATGACTTTCTGCTACATCTTCCTCATTTTCATCACTTTCTCCTCCACTGGCTTGCTGCTGTGGATTTACAACCATCTGCACAATTTCTGAGTCAGTATAATGATTTGAGCCAGTATAATGATGAAATTTGAAATTATGTTAGCCGAAATTAGTGCCGGATTACTGATGGAACCGGATAACCGATTGCTGGATTAGTGATGGCCGACCTGTATTGCTAAAATCACAGTTAATCTGCTCTATGCACCATAACCATTACTAGCTACCCACTAGTGTATTTGTTAAAGTGAAGGTTTACTGTACCTACAGTACACCTTATCAAAATAAAAGTACAATACAAAAAAAAAAACATTATAAATGGAAATAATGGCAGGGCGAGATAACACATTGTAATAGTGAACCCTCAAATTAATGGACTAATACAAAGAAGGGGGGGTGTTTATTACTTCCAAATAGTATCTAGTTTCTGAATGATATAATTCATTTTTCATGATTGTAATACAAACTGACAAAGTTAGGAATTGGCAGATTGACATAAGTCGCAAAACTACTGGACGATAATTCCAAAGTTTGACCAACTTTTTTGTTCTCCGTAGTTTCAGATATCCATAATTGGGAGTCCATCAATTCAAGGCTTCACTGCCCTAAAGTTAGTCAAGATTTCATTATCAAAATTTTGCTCAGCATTTAAAGAGCAGCATCACTTGTGCATTTCTAGTAGCTAAATTGTAAGTGTGAGGAATGCAGGTTATGGCATTTTACCTTTAAGACATTTGGTTCACTAGGTACTATTAATATAAATAAGAAGCCATAACCCAGTGTCATATTTACATTGTCAGTATACTCTACCACTATTTCCAATCATGGAGAAGTACCAAGTCTTATGGGTCACAGTGCCTGAGGAATGGGAGGCAATCTGCTTTAATCTGCAGAAAGAGGGTAGCACTGGTTCCTTAAATGAAGGCCAGATATCTTCTTGACAAAATTTCTGGGACCATTGGCAAAAAATTGTAGTGTACAGATACTAACCTTAGTGGGCGAGGGGCTGAACGAGATGAGTCCACTACATCTCCTTGGATCCAATGCATTAGACCTAGTCAGATATCAATTCACAATGAAATCAATATGCAGAGTATCAAGGTACTGTAATGCACAGATGCTTAAGATATATACTAAAAATTAAATGTTAAGGGATAATTACAAAATATACATTTAAAATGCAGCTTGGAAATCTTGTATAGACAAACTACACAAGCACTGTAAAATGGATGGTAATTTATAGGGAAATTTGCAAAATATTAATCACCCTCTACTCTATAACACTTATTTCAGTGCAGGATAAAGAATTACAAATCCTAGAATTTAAAATTTTGGATAGCTCAACTCACTCTTTCAGGTGTTGTGCAAGATATGGTGCAAGAGACTGTCGCCCAGACACCAATGGGTCAAATTTCACGTAGAGTGAATTACGCACAAGATTTAATTTGTCACCATCGGTCCCATGAGCACTCAACTCATCAAAGTCCTCTGGGTTATTGAAGACTGGAAAATGTGTAATAATATAAATGGTTTGCACTGTAAAAAATTAAAAATGTTATTAATACATTACAGCAGTCTACAAAATTGGGGCTTTTACTACGAATAAGTAATTTAATCTAAGAGTATAAATTTTCACTTGGGTTCAGTGACTAATGTATCACTAGTGGGCTAATTTTGAATTTCATAAATACTGACCAGAATGGACAAGGACTTGGGCATGGGAAAGTGAGTGGGCCAGAAGTGTCGGATAATCAAGTCATTCTTAAGTTGTAGAGTAAAATTGTTGGATAATTGAAACCCACCACACAAAAAATTGTAGGAACTACTACACTTTCAGATCCATATATATTACTGGGAGGTGTGGATTTACTAAAAGTATTATCAGAGGGCTGAAGAGGGTTTGTGGTTGTGGTTTGGTCATTTAGAGGATGGAGCAAAATGGGATAACCTGGAGGGGAGGGGTAGGGGGTCATCCTAGGAAAGGATGGAGTGAGTGAGTGAGTGAGTGAGTGTACTCACCTAGTTGAGGTTGCGGGGGTCGAGTCCGAGCTCCTGGCCCCGCCTCTTCACTGATCGCTACTAGGTCACTCTCCCTGAGCCGTGAGCTTTATCATACCTCTGCTTAAAGCTATGTATGGATCCTGCCTCCACTACATCACTTCCCAAACTATTCCACTTACTGACTACTCTGTGGCTGAAGAAATACTTCCTAACATCCCTGTGATTCATCTGGTCTTCAGCTTCCAACTGTGTCCCCTTGTTACTGTGTCCAATCTCTGGAACATCCTGTCTTTGTCCACCTTGTCAATTCCTCTCAGTATTTTGTATGTCGTTATCATGTCCCCCCTATCTCTCCTGTCCTCCAGTGTCGTCAGGTCGATTTCCCTTAACCTCTCCTCGTAGGACATACCTCTTAGCTCTGGGACTAGTCTTGTTGCAAACCTTTGCACTTTCTCTAGTTTCTTTACGTGCTTGTGTGTGTGTGTTACGCCTATTTGTGGTTGCAGGGTCGAGTCACAGCTCTTGGTCCCGCCTCTTCGCTGATTGCTACTAGGTCCTCTCTCTCCCTGCCCCATAAGCTTTAACATACCTTGCCTTAAAGCTATGTATGGTTCCCGCCTCCACTACGTCACTTTCTAGGCCATTCCATGGCCTGACTACTCTATGACTGAAGAAATACAGTGGACCCCCGGTTAATATTTTTTCATTCCAGAAGTATGTTCAGGTGCCAGTACTGACCGAATTTGTTCCCATAAGGACTATTGTGAAGTAGATTAGTATATTTCAGACCCCCAAACATACACGTACAAACGCACTTACATAATTGGTCGCATTGGGGGGTGATCATTAAGCGGGGGTCCACTGTACTTCCTAACATCCCTTTGATTCATCCGAGTCTTCAACTTCCAATTGTGACCTCTTGTGTCTGTGTCCCATCTCTGGAACATCCCGTCTTTGTCCACCTTGTCTATTCCGCACAGTATTTTATATGTCGTTATCATGTCTCCTCTGACCCTCCTGTCCTCCGGCCGATTTCCCTCAACCTTTCTTCGTAGGACAATCCCCATAGCTCTGGGACTAGTCTTGTTGCAAACCTTTGCACTTTCTCTAATTTCTTGACGTGCTTGACTAGGTGTGGATTCCAAACTGGTGCTGCATACTCCAGTATGGGCCTGACGTAAATGGTATACAGTCTTGAACGAATCCTTACTGAGGTATCGGAACGCTATCCGTAGGTTTGCCAGGCGCCCGTATGCTGCAGCAGTTATCTGATTGATGTGCGCCTTGGGAGATATGCTCGGTGTTATACTCACCCCCAGATCTTTTTCCTTGAGTGAGGTTTGCAGACTTTGGCCATCTAAACTATATTGTGTCTGCGGTCTTCTTTGCCCTTCCCCAATCTTCATGACTTTGCATTTGGCAGGGTTAAACTCAAGGAGCCAGTTGCTGGACCAGGCTTGTAGCCTGTCCAGGTCTCTTTGTAGTCCTGCCTGATCCTCATCCGATTTGATTCTTCTCATTAACTTCACATCGTCCGCAAACAAGGACACTTCTGAGTCTATCCCTTCCGTTATGTCATTCACATATACCAAGAACAGCACAGGTCCTAGGACTGACCCGTGGAACCCCGCTTGTCACAGGCGCCCACTCTGACACCTCGTCACGTACCATGACTCGTTGTTGCCTCCCTGTCAGGTATTCTCTGATCCATTGCAGTGCCTTTCCTGTTGTGTGTGTCTGATCCTCTAGCTTTTGCAGTAACCTCTTGTGAGGAACTGTATCGAAGGCCTTCTTGCAGTGGGAAAAAATGCAGTCGATCCACCCCTCTCTCTCGTCTTACTTCTGTCACCTTGTCATAAAACTAGTAGGTTTGCGACACAGGATTTTCCTTCCCTGAAACTGTGCTGGTTGTCACTTATACACTTGTTTCTTTCCAGGTGCTCCACCACTCTCCTCCTGATGATCTTCTCCATGACCTTGCATACTATACACATTAGTGATACGGGTCTGTAGTTTAGTGCCTCATGTCTGTCTCCCTTTTTTAAAAATTGGGACTACATTTGCCATCTTCCATACCTCGGGGAGTTGCCCAGTTTCAAATGATGTGTTGAAGATCTTTGTTAATGGTACACAATATCTCCGCTCCCTCTCTAAGGATCCACGGAGAGATGTTGTCTGGTCCCACCGCCTTTGAGGTGTCAAGTTCGCATAGCAGCTTCACCTCCTCTTCGGTTATATGTACCTCATCCAGCACTTGCTGGTGTACCCCCGTTCTGATTTCATGGAGTCCTACTGGTTTCCACTGTAAATACCTCTTTAAATCTCGTGTTGAGCTCCTGACATACCTCCCGGTAGTTTCTTGTGAATTCCCCATCACCCTTCCTCAGTCTGATTACCTGGTCCTTGACTGTTGCTTTCCTCCTGATGTGGCTGTACAACAGCTTCGGGTCAGTCTTGACTTTCAATGCTATGTCATTTTCATATTGTTGCTGAGCCTCCCTTCTTATCTGTGCATATTCGTTTCTGGCTCTTCGGCTAATCTCTATTTTCCTGAGTTCTGTCTTCTGTACCTTTTCCATTCTCTAGTACATCTAGTTTTTGCCTCCCTACACCTTTGGGTGAACCAAGGACTCTTTCTGTTCTTCCCATTATTTCCGTTTCCCTTGGTAACAAACCTATCCTCTGCCTCCTTGCATTTTGTTGCCACATAGTCCATCATTTCTTGTACTGGTTTTCCTGTCAGTTCCCTCTCCCACTGAATGTCTTGAAGGAAGTTCCTCATACCTGAGTAGTTCCCCCTTTTGTAGTTTGGTTTTTCCCACCCTATTCCTGCTACTCTCTCCACTTGGAGCTCAACTATGTAGTCGAAGCACAGAACCACATGATCACTAACTCCCAGGGGCCTTTCATACATGATATCCTCAATGTCCGAACTACTCAAGGTGAATACAAGGTCCAGTCTTCCTGGTTCATCCTCTCCTCTCTCTCTGGTAGTCTAACATGTTGATGCATGAGGTTTTCCAGTACCACATCCATCATCTTGGTTCTCCATGTTTCGGGACATCCATGGGGCTCCAGGTTTTCCCAGTCAATCTCCTTGTGATTGAAAATCACTCTAACTTGTTAACTTTGTGCCACCATTGTGTGCTCTCCTGGCCACTTCGGCTAGTGTGTCCGACCAGTTGCTTGTGGTTGTCTCATACGATTATCCTTCTCTATGGCCTCCTGCAGTTCTGGTGGGTTGTTACATTACTGCATTCATCATCCTTATGTCCTCAGAACCTGGATTGTTTGTGCTAAGTGTCCCTTTTGCCCTATGTCATCATGTCCTTCCATTTTCTCAAATCCTTGTGTGGTGTGGTGTGTGTGTGTGTGTACTCACCTATTTGTACTCACCTATATGTGGTTGCAGGGGTCGAGTCTTAGCTCCTGGCCCCGCTTCTTCACCGGTTGCTACTGGGCCCTCTCTCTCCCCGCTCCATGAGCTTTATCAAACCTCGTCTTAAAACTGTGTATGGTTCCTGCCTCCACTATGTCATTTTCTAGGCTATTCCACTGCCTTACAACTCTGACTGAAGAAATTATACTGTCCTAACTTCATTGCTCTGACTTCCAATTGTCTTCATTCATTCCTCAATTTTGGCCTCTTCGTTTCTGTGTCCCCTTCCTGAATCATCCTGTCTTTGTCCATTGTGTATTCATTGCAGTATTTTTATGGTCGTTATATGTTCCTGCCTCCTGTCCTCCAGTGTGTGTTGTGTGTGTGGTGGGGGGGTGGGGGTGGGGGCTTGGACATGCAGCAGGTATGTGTAAACATGTTAGATAGGAGTGAATGGAGACTAATGAGTTTTGGAACCCCATGAGATGCTGGAATGTGAGCAGGGTAATATTGTGTGAAGGGATTCAGGGAAACCAGGTAGCCAGACTTAAGAGTCCTGGAAGTGGGAAGCACAATGCCTGCACTTTAAAGGTGGTGTTTGGGATACTGGCCGTTTGAAGTGACATCTAAACTGTTGTCTCTGAGCACCTCTGCTGCAAAGACAGTGATTACGTGTGAAGGATGGCGAAAGCGTTTCTTTTTTGGGGTCACCCTGCCTCGGTGGGAGACTGTCGATGTGTAGAGGAGGTAAAAAAAAAAAAAAAAAAAAAAAAAGTAGGGCTTGAATCCATGGCAAGTAAGTCCTAAAACTTGCAGGCCAGTGCATTTTCAAAGCCATTTTACTGAACATGTCATGCCAAGAGGGAAATAATACAGAGGTTTTAACACAAAAAATATGGATATACTAAAACGGAGAGAAATCAATGGTCATATCTACCCAGATTAACATGCTAGTGCATACACTGAAACTGATAAAGAGAATACTTTGCAAGGAAGAGTACAACATACCTTTTTATAATTAGTGAGAAATGTTAGGAAAGTATCATTCTACAGTGTTGGGTGAGGCACTACCAAACAACCATGAACAATCTTTTAACACTTCATGCAAATTAACTAACAGTACAGTACAAAAACTTACACATTTACAAAAGAATGCTTTACACTATAATATCCTAGTAGTGTGCTTTTTTTTCTGCATTTCTGACCAGTTATTTAATTAATATTTAGATTTTTTGTTACCATTTTACATACTTTCCAAGCCACTTTTACTAGAATATAGAGGCAGTAGAATCACTTGTGTAAAGTACTTCTATAAATTTAATAAGTGCCACTGTATATTAAATTCATCATTTTAAAGTTTTAAATAAAATAAAGGATATACAGAAATGCAGATTTAACCTTTAACCCTTTGAGGGTCGACAGGCCCTCTCAGACTTGTTCTCAGGGTCGGCCAAATTAAAAAAAAAAAAAATGAAAAGATAGAGAATTTTTTCCTGATCATATAACACCAAAAGTATGAAATTTAATGGAAAACTTACGGAATTATGCTCTCGCAAAGTTAGCGGTCTCGATGTCTACGCATCGGCGATTTTGCCCACTTTGAGCCCTATTTTCGGCCAATTCCAGTGTACTAGTCGACAAAAATCATAACTTTCTCTAGAACTCCATTTTTTCTATCGAATGAGTACAAGAAACCACCCATTTACTGATTTCAACTATCCAATACAGTGGTCAAAATTTAGCAATTTTGCCAATTTCACACAAATTTGAAAAGATGCCAATTTCCAAATAGGGTCCAGAATAAACAAGAAAGACATTCCTGGCACTAAAATGACATTTCCTCTGTTCGTCAGTCACATCCCCAGGCCCCTCCTATATTTCTTTGGCTTTCCACTTTCAATTTTTATTCTTACAAAAAAATGGAAGATTTACCGTTATGCAGACTGCTGCATTAGCGTAGAAATGGCATAAATAATATCAGCGCACTTGTGAAAGAATATTAGACTCATCAGTTGACGTGTATTGGACGCTTGGCATGATTTGTTTACTTTTGAACTTTGGTAAAAATCGAACATTTCTGCTACTTTGAGCTCAATTTCAAGGTAATTTTAATTGTAAAACCAGTCAAAATCATCTCAATTTCTGTAATTTGTCTTCCATTCTATAAAATGAGACCAAGAAAACTAGAATACAACAATAAATACCATACGAAAATACAGTGCAAAAGTCCCTGTTATTCCAAAAACACGGTCAAAGTTTTTTTTTCTCATTATGCACTGTGTGCTGCAGGATTTTTTTTTTATACTGCACACACTGACCACAAAGACCCATTCTTTCATATGTATGCCTACCAGCTTTCTCCCATTAGATTTGAGGGCGCTAGAATTTAGGCGTACAAGTACGTCAAAAACCCTGGGTCGTAAGCCGTACTAGTACGGCCGAAACCTTCAAAGGGTTAAACTGTCCAAACAGATCTACGTCCACATGCTGGGGGTGATCCGAACGTAGATCTATTTTTTTTTTTTTTAACAAGCTTTCAAATGGGGAAAATCAAGGTCGGAGCACTACGCACGTGAGCACAGATCTACATTGGGACAGTTTAAGGTTTAATAATGAAGCAGCAAAGTGAGTGGAATACTGAGAGGGATAGTTCTGGAAGCTAGTACCTTGGGTAGCTTTAAAAATAGGTTACACACACACACACACACACACACACACACACACACACACACACACATAAGAGTTGGGTTTGAGGAACTGCTTAGCATGGACCACTAGGGCTAGTGCAGTGCTATTTCTAAAGTTCTTGAGAGGTTGAAACAGAAAAAATAAAAAATTTTATCAATGTATTCATTTTTTATGTATATTCATTTTATGCATGGAGAGTTATCACACTGGTCAAGAACTATAGATGCAAAAATTAAGAGTAGTTTTCTGCCAGATACAGTCATACTTTATATATAATTGGTTTCAAGTTGGATAAAATCAGATTTAGAAAGAATATAGAAGTACTGGTAGAAGTAGAGTTGTGCTCCTGTGGACCAGGAAAGCAAATGAATGTGTATACTAAATGCAAGTATACATTTGTAACATATTCACTCCACTAACCTCATATTTAAGATATACAATAAATAAAATGTAAACTAAATACAATACATATTCTTGAAATAAGCATTCATAATTATTTCCCTCTAAATTCTACAAGTAACCCCCTACAAAACTGACAATTTTCAGTAAACAAGTCACTGTATAGCATAGCTTGGACAATTCACAAACTTGTAATGAAAACCAAGCAAAATCTTAGTATATTCATTAAGAAAACTTAAATCTGGGGATTAGACAGCTTGAGGAATGCGAGGCAGTCTGGTATGATCCAAGAAAATGGAGGGTAGGTCTGATTCCTTGGATCACAAGCCATTCACTAGTATAATCCAGAATGGATCAGAACACTACCACTGATTTCGAATTAATGAATTTGTTTAAAATTATTTTAGTAGTCTATTAAAAACCCAGTTAATCCATACCTTGAAAATTACGCTATTAGCAGAAGATACCTTTAAAAGATACACTGCTATCAGTGTATTTCCAGAGGTCACCTTCTGCCACTATCTACCTAATACATCTCTTGCCTGACTAGTATAAAACTCACGTGGATAAATACGTGGAGAATTAAAGCTCTCTCCTTCCACGGGCTCCTGGTCATCATCTGGCACTGTCAATACCACATTTGTCATTATATTCCATTGATTGGTGGATTGGTGGATGTATTTGGTAGGGTGTGCAAAAGAAAATTAAAAGTGAATACAGGAAAGAGTAAGGTTATGAGGATAAAAAGATTAGGTGATGAAAGATTGGATATCAGATTGGAGGGAGAGTATGGAGGAGGTGAATGTATTCAGATATTTGGGAGTGGACGTGTCAGCGGATAGGTCTATGAAAGATGAGGCGAATCATAGAATTGATGAGGGGAAAAGGGTGAGTGGTGCACTTAGGAGTCTGTGGAGACAAAGAACTTTGTCCTTGGAGGCAAAGAGGGGAATGTATGAGAGTATAGTTTTACCAACGCTCTTGTATGGGTGTGAAGCATGGGTGATGAATGTTGCAATGGGGAGAAGGCTGGAGGCAGTGGAGATGTCATGTCTGAGGGCAATGTGTGGTGTGAATATAATGCAGAGAATTCGTAGTTTGGAAGTTAGGAGGAGGTGCAGGATTACCAAAACTTGTCCAGAGGGCTGAGGAAGGGTTGTTGAGGTGGTTCGGACATGTAGAGAGAATGGAGCGAAACAGAGTGACTTCAAGAGTATATCAGTAGGGTAGAGGTCGGCATAGGTAAGGCTGGAGGGAGGGGGTAAAGGAGGTTTTGTGTGCGAGGGGCTTGGACTTCCAGCAGGCATGCATGAGCGTGTTTGATAGGAGTGAATGGAGACAAATGGTTTTTAATACTTGACGTGTTGTTGGAGTGTGAGCAAAGTAACATTTATGAAGGGGTTCAGGGAAACCGGCAGGCCGGACTTGAGTCCTGGAGATGGGAAGTACAGTGCCTGCACTCTGAAGGAGGGGTGTTAATGTTGCAGTTTAAAAACTGTAGTGTAAAGCACCCTTCTGGCAAGACAGTGATGGAGTGAATGATGGTGAAAGTTTTTCTTTTTCGGGCCACCCTGCCTTGGTGGGAATCGGCCAGTGTGATAAAAAAAATAATAATTCCATTGAAGAAAAAAATATACAATCCAAAAACAAATTCAGATGCAGTGTACTTACATTCAGCAGCACTAGTAAATTCCTCAAAGTCAAAGACACTATCAGCATTTTCTTTTTTCTTTGCTTGACCTTTGGGTAGGGGACTGAAGACATGTTGGTTCACCTCTTCTGTACTAGCTTGTGCCTTCCCTTGTCCATGATAGAAGGCAGCATTCCCAGAAATCACAATTTCTCCCTTTTCTGACTTTGCAAGAGTTTCAGAATGAATGGCTGCATCTATCAAACTAGAAAACGCCTTCATGGAGGGATTACTTCTAACAGATTCTGTTGCTGAAGGAATAAAACCTTGGTTATCTGTTTTTTGAAAGCAATCCATTGTTTTATTTTCTTGAGATACAAGTGGGACTGCTTCACCTCCAATTATTTTTTCCACCTCCTCCAAAGATTTCACAGGCATTATTTCAGACACTGGCTTCTTTCTTTTAGTTTCATCCTCAATTATATTTTGAGCATTGAATGAATTCGAGTTTCTAATTGGGGAATTTTGAACAGCAGCTTTTGTGGCAAAAGGATTAAAATTAGGATCATCAAACTTGTCAAGGAATTCCACAGCACATTCTTTTAATACAGAATCTTCATTTTTACAAATTTTCAATTTGTTCTAATGGCAAGGAAGTTTCTATCTTGGAAACAGCACTATTTGTTTTTGGGGCAGACATTTCTACTACAATCGCATTCAGGTTTTCAGTCAATGTTTTTTCTAGTGATGCTCCATTATTTTTCTCATTTTCAAGTAACGCTGCCTTGTCCGACTGTGTGTGTGTGTCTGCCTCGTATCCAGCTTCATTTTTATTTGGAGAATTCGTGCACGGTTTATATTTGAAAGGGTCGAATCTGAATCTTCCAACTTCCTTGAAGAATCAAAGTTGTGACTTTCCTGCCAAGAACTTTCCTCTTCAATAGGTTTTACAAGAGAATCTTTCAACAATCCCAGGGAACTTGCTTCCTTCACAAAAATGCTTTGTACCTTTACTTCATCCTGCTGTATTTCCTGCAAAGTTGCATCTGGTTGAACCTTTTTGCATGGAGAATTTGCAACAGTAGTTTTGGTTGCAAAGGGATTAAAATTAGGGTCATCTAGTTTATCTAGGAAATCCAGTTGGTACCCTTTTTGAGGAAAATTTTTCTCCAGTGGCTCTTCTGCAGCTTCCAATGGTAATGTCTTGGTATTTTCAGGTACATCTGCCATTTCTAGTTCCTTACAAGGCATTTCATCACTAATTACCATAGTTTTATTCATTGCACTGGCCAAGTGGGACACTGTGGCACTGGTTACATGATCAAAATTAGACTCTTCTAACATAAGGGAAGACATGTTAGACTTAGGAAGACCTGAAGTTTCCAATGGTTTTTCAAAAACCCTTTCTAATATGGCAGATTTTATTTCCTCAGGCATATCCTCTGTTACTGAATTCTGACAAAGTATTTCCTGCACTATTGCCCCTTTATGTTGTCAAGGCTTCGTTCACTTTTTTCCTTTTCAGTTATTTGTGTATTACTTACAACTGTTGGCAATTGTGCATTATCTTTATTGTTCTTTGGGCTGACTGCCAGACACTCCATATTGGTTGATATGTTCAATTTCTGGGAATAGATGCACTCTCTCCCAATTTCGCCCTCTTCTCCCATCTTATCGGTTGTAGATTTAGCACTGTAAGGTTCCTCATTTGCCTCTGACTGAATAAGCGCAATGCCCACTCTTTCTGGAGAGTTGGCAATCAGTGCTTTGGTTTCAAATGGACTGAAATCATTGCTATCAAATTTATCAAGGAAGTCTACCCCACAGACTTTTTGAGTGAAGGCTTGCCCTACTAGTTCTTCCTGATTTTCCTTCCCTGATAATGAAGAAAAAGTTTCCATATTTTCAAGCATTACACACTGATCATTTTTTTCTTGAGAAGCTTCACCAAGTAAAGCTTTTAAATTATCATCCTTCACCCTGGGAAGAGCATCCACTGTAAGAATGGTCTCTACTACTGTTGGAATAACTTCCGCCTCTGGAACTGCCTCAGTGTCCACTGAAATGGTTTCGGCCACCCATGAAACTCCCTTTACGACTGATGAAATTGGCTCTGCCTGTGAAACTGCCTCGTTGACTGTAGAGACGGGCTCTTCAGCCTGTGAAACTGCATCGTTGGCAGCAGAGACGGGCTCTTCAGCCTGTGAAACTGCATCGTTGGCAGCAGAGACGGGCTCTTCAGCCTGTGAAACTGCATCGTTGGCAGCAGAGACGGGCTCTTCAGCCTGTGAAACTGCATCGTTGGCAGCAGAGACGGGCTCTTCAGCCTGTGAAACTGCATCGTTGACAGCAGAGACGGGCTCTTCAGCCTGTGAAACTGCATCGTTGACAGCAGAGACGGGCTCTTCAGCCTGTGAAACTGCATCGTTGACAGCAGAGACGGGCTCTTCAGCCTGTGAAACTGCATCGTTGACAGCAGAGACGGGCTCTTCAGCCTGTGAAACTGCATCGTTGGACAGCAGAGACGGGCTCTTCAGCCTGTGAAACTGCATCTGAGAAACGGCCTAGCTGTGAACGATCGTTGACAGCAGAGAGGGCTCTTCAGCCTGTGAAACTGCATCGTTGACAGCAGAGACGGGCTCTTCAGCCTGTGAAACTGCATCGTTGACAGCAGAGAGGGCTCTTCAGCCTGTGAAACTGCATCGTTGACAGCAGAGACGGGCTCTTCAGCCTGTGAAACTGCATCGTTGACAGCAGAGACGGGCTCTTCAGCCTGTGAAACTGCATCGTTGACAGCAGAGATGGGCTCTTCAGCCTGTGAAACTGCATCGTTGACCACAGAGATGGGCTCTTCAGCCTGTGAAACTGCATTGTCGACTGCAGAGATGGGCTCTTCAGCCTGTGAAACTGCATCATTGACTGCCAAGATGGGTTCCTCAACCTGTGAAACTGCATTGTTGACCACAGAGATGGGCTCCTCAGCCTGTGAAACTGCATCATTGACTGCCGAGATGGGTTCCTCAGCCTGTGAAACTGCATTGTTGACCACAGAGATGGGCTCCTCAGCCTGTGAAACTGCATTGTTGATTGCTGAGATGGGTTCTTCAACCTGTGAAACTGCATTGTTGACCACAGAGATGGGCTCCTCAGCCTGTGAAACTGCATCATTGACTGCCGAGATGGGTTCCTCAGCCTGTGAAACTGCACTGACGCCTGCAGAGATGGGCTCCTCAGCCTGTGAAACTGCAATGACACCTGTAGAGATGGTCCACTGTGAAACTGCCTGACCTGAAGATGGGCTCTTCAGCCTGTGAAACTGCATGACCCGAGATGGTCTTCACTGTGAACTGACACCTGTAGAGATGGGTTCCTCAGCCTGTGAAACTGCATTATTGACTGAGATGGGCTCCTCAGCCTGTGAAACTGTATTGATGCCTGCAGAGATGGGCTCTTCAGCCTGTGAAACTGCCTTGCCGACCACAGAGATGGGCTCTTCAGCTTGTGAAACTGCCTCAACAATTGAAATGGACTCTGCTGACTCTGAAACCACCTCGGAACCTGCAGAAATGGGCTCCGAGACTTCTGAAACCACCTCATTGACTGATGAAATTGTTGCTCTCTCAGGAACTGCTTTCTTTGGCACTGGTATTGCTGCTCTCCCTGTAGCAACAGCTAACTTTCCAGCTGTTGCAGGAGCTTTTCCTGTTGGACCGGGAACCCTTCCACCTGGAAATGAAACCTTTTTTGCAGGAATGACAGCCTTTCCTACAGAATTAACTGCCTTTCTTACAGGAATGACAGCTTTCCCTGCAGGATTGACTGCCTTTTTAACAGAAATGACAGTCTTCCCTACAGGATTAACTGTCTTTCTTGTAGGAATGATAGCCTTCCCTGCTGGAACGGCGGCTTTCCCTGTTGGAACGGAGGCTTTCCCTGCTGGAACGGAGGCTTTCCCCACAGGTACAGCGGCATTCTTCGCTGGTGCGGCAGTCTTGCCTGCTGGTACGGTGGCCTTCTTTGCTGGTAAGGCAGTCTTACCCCCTGGTACGGCAACTTTACCTGCTGGAACACTGGTAACCCCTGGTGGGATGGTTTTTGTCACCACCTGAACATTGATCTCTGAAACAGCCCCTACTGCTGTCTGGACATCTTTCTTCACTTCAGGAGTAGCCTCCTTCACTACTGGGATATCTTTCTTCACCTCAGGAGTAGCCTCCATCACTACTGCAACATCTTTCTTCACCTCAGGAGTAGCCTCCATCACTAATGGGACAAGTTTCTTCACCTCAGGAGCAGCCTCCTCCATCACTACTGCGACATCTTTCTTCACCTCAGGAGTAGCCTCCATCACTACTGGGACATCTTTCTTCACCTCAGGAGTAGCCTCCATCACTATTGGGACATCTTTCTTCACCTCAGGAGTAGCCTCCATCCCTACTGGGACATCTTTCACTTCTGGAACCACTTCCTGTACATCTGAAGATGTTACCATTATTTGTGGAATAGTTAGCTTCACCTCTGGAGTTGTCTCATGAACAACTTTCAATGACTGCCCACCAAAGGCTTTATCCAAAGATACAGCAGCATTTACTGTTTCATCTGAAGACTGAAGCTCATTTTCAGGGGAAATATGTGAAATTGCAGCTATGTCCTCCTGAGGTGACGTACTCCTTATTTGTTCATTCTTTTCATCTTGTGCAATGTGATTGTCCTGTTTGTCCGAAAGGACTTTCATATTATTTTCGAACGATGTAACAAACTGATCAAACAATTCTGTTTCTCTGGTCTTATCTTCAGGCACATTGTTACTCGAAGGTGACATATCATCCAACGAATCACTAGCATCATGGAACTTCTCAACTGGTTCATCAATTTCCACAATTTTCATTTTTTCAAAACTGTTTATAAACGAGTTCTCAAATACAGCATCCGACCTGCAAAATAAAGATGCCAATTATAATACTCAAAGGATAAATTGATAAAACCTTTGCCTTTCTATCTCCATGTCCCAATTTTAAATTCCTTTCATATAGGGTAACCTTGATTTAACTGACCAGTAGGGGAAGAGAGAGTGTCTGGTAATGCCACTGTCCATTAAATCCAAACAATGAGTTGTTTTTTCAAGATTGTAACAAATGAATTCTGAAAAAGGATAGTCATTTCCAAAATCAACTTAAACAGATCATAAGGGATAATTGCGTATGCATTGCAATTGGTCCATTTGAGAATGTTTTTAATAAGAAATCTGTAAACAAAGGTCTGATAAATCAAGGTATCACTACTTTATCCCTGGCTTTTTATCGAAGTCCAATAAAAAAAAATTTATTCACACGATCAAGAAACTACAATGCAGGTTATGAAACCAGGTAAATTACTATTAACATGGGAAATGTTTTTAAAACTACCGACATTACAAAATACAGTGAAGACAAAGGAAAACTTCAAACAAGTTTGATGGACACTCCATTCGTACAAGTACTTCCTTGTATCAAGTGAACTGTCAAAAAATGCTTTATATCACAAATGAATGTACCAGCCTAATATTTTTTTCACTGAATTTATATTTTCATCTTAAACATTGGTTACCTATTTGGGGTGCTATTAGCCGATGATGCTACATTAAGCAGCGTAGAGTTTGCCACTGGCAAGACTGGGGAAAGAATCTTTGGTGCAGAAGGCATGTCAATCTCCTCCAGTTCCTCTGCACTCTCATATTCAGATTCTGTAACAAGTTAAGAATTACTTTAATTTTGAATCTTGTGTAGGGTACTTAACAGTACAATGAGAATGAAATGAACACAGTACTATGAATGTAAAAGCCCTAAAACTATTTGAATGCATCCAAATCCTGTAAACTCAGCCACTAATTGATTTTTTACACACTTAAAAGCACACATTTGTATATGAAGAGCCACATATGCCTTTCAAGATTCACTGAAGTATAGTAATGTATACCTAAACTTTCCCTAATGCCATAGAAGAATTGTTTGCACAACTATTTTAATGACCAGCACTGACTACCATCAAATTTCACTAGTACCTCTTATGCCAGGGGATGGGAGTGCCATTCACTGAACAAACATGCACTACATGGATCTCACACTATTTAGTGGGACAAGGAGAGCAAGTTATAGGGAAACTGACTTACTGAGTGTACCAGGTAAAGTGTGTGGTAGAGTTAATACTGAAAGAATTATGGATAAGATGGAGAGAGGATGGCAGATACACAGGGAGGCTTTAGGAAGAGTAGGGAATGTGTAGACTGTTTACATTGAAGCATGAAAGTGAACAATACTTAGATGAAGGTAAGGAGGTTTTTTGTTACATTCATGGATTTGGAAAAGGCATGCAATAGCGTGGAGAGGGAAGTAGTGTGGCAGATGCTGCCAGTACATGGAATAGGCAGTAGACTGCTGAAAGCAGTTAAGAGTTTTTACAAGGACAAGGCTCAAGTTAGGGAATATAGGAGGGAGATTATTTTCCAGCAAAAGTAGTCCTTTGACATGGTTGCATGTCACTGTGGTTTAACATTTATAGATAGGATTGTAAGAGGTGAATGCTAAGGTGTTGGATGGTGTGGGATTAAAATACACAGAATCTAATATAAAATGGAGTGGTTATAATTGTTTTATGCTAATGACTTTTTGGAAGATTCTGAGAAGTTGCAATGATTGGTAGACATTTGGGAGGAAAGGAAATTAAAAGTGAACATATTAAGAACAAGGTGATGAGGATAAACTATTGAGGTAGAGAAAGACTGGGTATGAGATTGGAAGGAGTATGTAGGAAATGGTTGTGTTCAGATAATTGGGAGTGTATCTGTCGGCAGCTGGGTATACAAATTTAGGGTAAGGCGAGTGGTGCATTGAAGCATCTGTGAAGACAAAACAATCCGTAGAGGATAAAAAAAAGGTGAATGTGCGAGTATACTGCTACCAACACTAATGTGGGTGAGGCATGGGTTGCTAATGTTGCAATGAGGAGGCAGTTGGAGGTAGTGGAGATGTCCTGTCTGGGGGAGAGTGGTGTGAATATTATGCAGAAATTCGTAGCTTCGAGATTAGGTGTGGTAGGACTTGAGGTAATTTGGACATTTAGAGAGTGGCATAAAACAGGATGACCGAGGGTGAATAAATATCTAGTGGAGGGAAGCTGGGGTAAGGGGTTGCTCTAGGAACGGTTGGAGGGAAGGGAGGTTAAGGTGGTTTTATGTGCGAGGCCTGGACATACAGTAGGTGTGTTAGGAGGTACGTAGACATATATGATCTGCAACCACTTGTGATATAAGAAGTATCGGGAAGTGGGGTGGGGTGGCATTGTATGTCCGAGATCGCTTGAACTGTTGCATAAAAACGGGTATTAAGTCTGAAGTAACACATACAGAGTCTGTTTGGATAGAATTTTCAGAGGGGCATGAAAAATTAATTTTAGGTGTGATATACCGTCCCCCAAATTTAGATAGGGACCAGGGGAGACTACTATGGGAGGAAATTGTTAGGGCCACAAGGCACGATAATGTAGTAATTCTAGGAGACTAACTTTAGTCATATTGATTGGAATTTCTTGACTGGGAATTTAGAATCATACAATTTCTTAGAAGTAGTTCAGGATTGTTTTTTGAAGCAGTTTGTGACAGAACCTACAAGGGGTAATAACCTGCTTGACTTAGTTCTGGCAAACAATGAATCCCTTGTTAATAATTTAGAAGTTTCAGAGGAACTGGGTGCTAGCGACCACAAATCAATTACATGTAGAATTGAATGGAAGTATGATAGTAGGGATAACTCAGTAACAGTCCCAGATTTTCGCTTAGCAGATTACGATGGGCTTAGAGAACACTTATCTGTTGACTGGGGTAACGAAGAGAGCTATCAATATGACAGTTTTCTGAACACAATACATGCTGCTCAAAGAACGTTTATCCCTTATAAGGAAATTAGATCAAATAGAAATGACCCAAAATGGATGAATAATAGGCTGAAATATCTACTAGGGCATAAGAAAGGAATTTATAGGCGTATCAAAAGAGGCGAGGGTCATCTTATGAATCAGTATATTGACATTAAGAGGGACATTAAAAAGGGGATAAGAAAAGCTAAAAGGGACTATGAAATTAAAGTTGCTAGGGATTCTAAAACTAACCCAAAAAGTTTTTTCCAGGTCTATAGAACAAAAGTCAGAGATAAGATAGGTCCCCTTAAAAATAACTATGGGCATCTTACTGACAAAGAGAATGAAATGTGCTCGATTTTAAATAATTATTTTCTCTCGGTTTTTACACAGGAAGACACTAATATTCCGGTAATTAATTTTTATAGTGGATCAGAAGAAGATAAATTATGTAACATCACAGTCACTAGTGAAATGGTTGTGAAGCAGATAGACAGACTGAAGCAAAATAAGTCACCGGGTCCTGATGAGGTTTTTTTCAAGGGTTCTAAAGGAATGCAAAATGGAAGTCTGTGAACCATTAACTAATATTTTTAATTTATCTCTTCAAACAGGTGCAGTGTCTGATATGTGGAAGATGGCTAATGTAATTCCTATTTTTAAAACAGGGGACAAGTCGTTACCGTCAAATTACCGCCCAATAAGCCTGACCTCAATTGTAGGCAAATTACTAGAGTCAATTATAGCCGAGATTATAAGAAGCCATTTCGATAAGCATAGCTTGATTAATGATACTCAGCATGGATTCACAAGAGGCCGGTCTTGTCTAACTAATTTATTAACTTTCTTCAGTAAAGCTTTTGAGGCTGTTGACCACGATAAAGAATTTGATATTATTTACTTAGATTTTAGTAAGGCATTTGATAGAGTTCCGCACCAAAGACTGTTGAAGAAAGTAGCAGCTCATGGCATTGGGGGAAGGGTGCTCTCGTGGATCGAATCATGGCTCACAGACAGGAAGCAAAGAGTGTCCATAAATGGGGTTAAATCCGAGTGGGGATCAGTAACAAGTGGCGTTCCACAGGGATCAGTCTTGGGCCCGTTGTTGTTTATAATATATATCAATGATCTTGATGAAGGAATTACTAGTGATATGAGCAAATTCGCCGATGACACGAAGATAGGTAGGATAATTGATTCAAACGTAGATGTTAGGGAACTTCAGGAGGATTTAGACAAACTCTACTCTTGGTCAGAAAAGTGGCAGATGCAGTTCAATGTAGATAAATGCAAGGTTCTGAAGCTCGGGAGTGTCCATAACCCTAGCACTTATAAGTTAAATAATGTAGAACTTAACCATACGGATTGCGAAAAGGACTTGGGGGTTATGGTAAGCAGCAACCTTAAACCAAGACAGCAATGCCTAAGCGTACGTAATAAGGCAAATAGATTACTGGGATTTATATCAAGAAGTGTAAGCAACAGAAGTCCAGAGGTCATACTGCAGCTTTATACATCATTAGTAAGGCCTCACCTAGATTATGCAGTTCAATTCTGGTCTCCGTATTACAGAATGGACATAAATTCGTTAGAAAACATTCAGCGTAGGATGACTAAATTAATACATAGCATTAGAAATCTTCCTTAGGAAGAAAGATTGAAGACTCTTAAGTTACATTCACTTGTTAGACGAAGAATGAGGGGAGACCTGATCGAAGTGTATAAGTGGAAGATAGGTATTAATAAAGGGGATATTAACAAGGTCTTGAGAATATCTCTCCAAGAGAGAAACCCGCAGTAATGGATTTAAATTAGATAAGTTTAGATTTAGAAAGGACATAGGAAAGTATTGGTTTGGAAATAGGGTAGTTGATGAGTGGAACAGTCTACCTAGTTGGGTTATTGAGGCTAGGACTTTGGGTAGTTTCAAATTTAGGTTGGATAAGTACATGAGTGGGAGGGGTTGGATTTGAGTGGGACTTGCACATCGGAGCTTGTTTCTTGGGTGGCATTGAAAATTGGGTTGGGCAAATGTTTTGTTAGTGGGATGAATTGTAAAGGACCTGCCTAGTATGGGCCAACAGGCCTGCTGCAGTGTTCCTCCTTTCTTATGTTCTTATGTTCTTATATTCAACGTGATCATGCCCACTGATATATTAATTCCCTATGTGATATTACCCCACTGATTTGATTTTTGAAAAACTAAAGAATTCTGACATAGTAACTGATAAGTGTGCAGTAAATATGGTGTCAGATCTGGATTAGACTTCAATATTAATTTACTATCAACCTATCAATTTTAATTTATTACCAACCTGAGTCTCCAAGGCTTGCCATGGCAGCCTCTCGGAATTTTGCAACACTCCTGTGGGGTGGCTTACTTGCTAGAAATTTGGCCCTGGAAAAAAAAAAAAAAATTAGCATGGTTGTTTTAACTGGCAATGTAACTAATTATAATAAAAAATAAGCACTAAACCCACAAGGGTTATACAGAAGTATAACTAAAACATTCATGGAGGTAGACCATTGTAATTATTGCTATATACCCTGTCAGGCTGAGCCAAGTAGTCATCAGATGTTTTGTTAATCAAGAAACAGAAAAATGGCTAACAGTTCTTAGCCATAAGAGACTGGGATTAAGACAACACTGGTGTACTATAGATGAATGGTTCACAGAAATGACACGTTGATAAATCAGACATGTGCAACTCTTGGGTATCTTTATTAAGGAAATGTTTCGCCACACAGTGGCTTCATCAGTCCATACACAGGAAAAGCATGAAGAACAGGAGGAGAATGAGGTAATCAGTCCCTCAGCCTTGAGTCGATGTGGTCAGTCCCTCAATCTTGAGTAGAATACGGCATATGAGCGGAGGAGGAGCTTATAAACCGTAGGCAAGAGGTGCAGCAGTTCTGTGAACCATTCATCTACAATCCTGTCAGACACCAACTTCTTGGGATCTTAATACTTGGGAATTCTTCGCTTGCCTAACCCTTGGGCACGACCTACTTCCACATTGGGCAAATGTGACACCACCTTCGACTGCTGCACCTCTCTTACCTACGGTTTATAAGCTCCTTCTCCGCTCATATGCCGTATTCTACTCAAGATTGAGGGACTGACCACATCGACTCAAGGCTGAGGGACTGATTACCTCATTCTCCTCCTGTTCTTCATGCTTTTCCTGTATATGGACTGATGAAGCCACTGTGTGGCGAAACGTTTCCTTAATAAGATACCCAAGAGTTGCACATGTGTGTAATTTATCAACTGGTGTACTAGTATTGTGTAATGGTAATTAAGCCACTGTCTTATGTCTTGTACAGTTAATAGGTAATAAATCATTCACTAGCTTCTCCAAACCAAGTCTTCCATCCTGGAGGGGGTTTTATCCAAAACATCCTCTGTATTTACATTTATCTGAACTGTAGCTACAAATTCTTTCATTGAACAATAATGATGAAACCAGCAAATGGGGCAGCAAACCCTATTTTCATAACAGCAATTTCTAGAAAAGAGGATTCACATACAGTATCAATAAAAATCAGTAAAGTCAGCAAAATACTGTAACTGTGGTATAGATATGCTAATTCTGAATCCTTGGCAAATTTGAGTCTTGTGCTGGTATAAAACTTTTTTTTTTTGTAATTTATTTCAAGATGTAGACAAAATTTGACTAGAAGTGAAAGGACAATCTCAAGAGCCCAAAAAAATAAATTAATACCAGTAAATTTGGATATAATAAAAAAAGAAACATTCTGCTGACAGTAATGAAGATGATTAGAAGGGCCACCTTTTGTGACTGTTTAGCTCCCTGGACGGCAGAGCTTTACCAGGTCAGTGACTTAGTTTTGCTATATGCAAAAGTTGTCACAAAAACTATGCTTGTCATCTTAACCAGTAAATTTTCTTGAAAGTCTACTAAGGGTGTGAAAGTTTATGTGCAAAGTCACGGTACTGTGCCTTTTTACTCTTCAACAGCCTTTGCAAGGCTGCCAATAGGATGTAGGCACATTTCCAGTTAAGACAATACAGGTATTATTGGGTTTGGGAGGATACAGATCTTCCTTGCTAAATTAACAAATGTGCTTAGACTTACATAACCGATTCCTTTTCAACTTCGTTGACAACTTCATTAATTACTTCCTTTGCAAACATCTGATATGCATCGTGATCAATGCGGGTGATTACCTCCGTGCGATCACGCCACTTTTCATCCTCGTCAAGCTCACGACCCACATCATATCGAGACATTATTTTGCGAGTCTACAAGATAATGCAAAACATTTAAATAATTCAATGTCTTTGGAAATTTTTTTTTTTTTTTTATTATCACACCGGCCGATTCCCACCAAGGCAGGGTGGCCCGAAAAAGAAAAACTTTCACCATCATTCACTCCATCACTGTCTTGCCAGAAGGGTGCTTTACACTACAGTTTTTGAACTGCAACATTAACACCCCTCCTTCAGAGTGCAGGCACTGTACTTCCCATCTCCAGGACTCAAGTCCGGCCTGCCGGTTTCCCTGAATCCCTTCATAAATGTTACTTTGCTCACACTCCAACAGCACGTCAAGTATTAAAAACCATTTGTCTCCATTCACTCCTATCAAACACGCTCACGCATGCCTGCTGGAAGTCCAAGCCCCTCGCACACAAAACCTCCTTTACCCCCTCCCTCCAACCCTTCCTAGGCCGACCCCTACCCCGCCTTCCTTCCACTACAGACTGATACACTCTTGAAGTCATTCTGTTTCGCTCCATTCTCTCTACATGTCCGAACCACCTCAACAACCCTTCCTCAGCCCTCTGGACAACAGTTTTGGTAATCCCGCACCTCCTCCTAACTTCCAAACTACGAATTCTCTGCATTATATTCACACCACACATTGCCCTCAGACATGACATCTCCACTGCCTCCAGCCTTCTCCTTGCTGCAACATTCATCACCCATGCTTCACACCCATATAAGAGCGTTGGTAAAACTATACTCTCATACATTCCCCTCTTTGCCTCCAAGGACAAAGTTCTTTGTCTCCACAGACTCCTAAGTGCACCACTCACTCTTTTTCCCTCATCAATTCTATGATTCACCTCATCTTTCATAGACCCATCCGCTGACACGTCCACTCCCAAATATCTGAAATACGTTCACCTCCTCCATACTCTCTCCCTCCAATCTGATATTCAATCTTTCATCACCTAATCTTTTTGTTATCCTCATAACCTTACTCTTTCCTGTATTCACCTTTAATTTTCTTCTTTTGCACACCCTACCAAATTCATCCACCAATCTCTGCAACTTCTCTTCAGAATCTCCCAAGAGCACAGTGTCATCAGCAAAGAGCAGCTGTGACAACTCCCACTTTGTGTATGATTCTTTATCTTTTAACTCCACGCCTCTTGCCAAGACCCTCGCATTTACTTCTCTTACAACCCCATCTATAAATATATTAAACAACCACGGTGACATCACACATCCTTGTCTAAGGCCTACTTTTACTGGGAAAAAATTTCCCTCTTTCCTACATACTCTAACTTGAGCCTCACTATCCTCGTAAAAACTCTTCCCTGCTTTCAGTAACCTACCTCCTACACCATACACTTGCAACATCTGCCACATTGCCCCCCTAGAGAACAAATGGATTTGTCAGTTAAAAATAGGAGAGGAGAGTTATTAAATGGAGAGTTAGAGGTATTGGGAAGATGGAAGGAATATTTTGAGGAATTGTTAAATGTTGATGAAGATAGGGAAGCTGTGATTTCGTGTATAGGGCAAGGAGGAATAACATCTTGTAGGAGTGAGGAAGAGCCAGTTGTGAGTGTGGGGGAAGTTCGTGAGGCAGTAGGTAAAATGAAAGGGGGTAAGGCAGCCGGGATTGATGGGATAAAGATAGAAATGTTAAAAGCAGGTGGGGATATAGTTTGTGAGTGGTTGGTGCAATTATTTAATAAATGTATGGAAGAGGGTAAGGTACCTAGGGATTGGCAGAGAGCATGCATAGTTCCTTTGTATAAAGGCAAAGGGGATAAAAGAGAGTGCAAAAATTATAGGGGGATAAGTCTGTTGAGTGTACCTGGTAAAGTGTATGGTAGAGTTATAATTGAAAGAATTAAGATTAAGACGGAGAATAGGATAGCAGATGAACAAGGAGGCTTTAGGAAAGGTAGGGGGTGTGTGGACCAGGTGTTTACAGTGAAACATATAAGTGAACAGTATTTAGATAAGGCTAAAGAGGTCTTTGTGGCATTTATGGATTTGGAAAAGGCGTATGACAGGGTCTTTGGAAATATAAATGCTAATATATACACTGTTACACTAAAGCAATTAGTAAATTTTTATATACTATATAAAAATATACTAAAAAAATAAATTATAAACATTACCTTGTCTGCCTTGACTGTCCGAACCTCTAGAGGATTATTAGCTATGTCCTTAAAAGGAGAGCGATGGCTTGAAACTGGCGTAGTATAAAGTGACTGTTCTTTTACTGAAGTATTTTGTTGTCCTTGAGGGGACTCAGAGTTCATATCAGGTTGACAATTTTCATCCATGTTTAACTGAAAGTAAAAAATTTTTTTTTAATACAGTATAGTCTACCTGGAGAGCATTCCAGGCATCAACGCCCCCCACGGCCCGGTCCACGACCAGGCCTCGTGGTGGATCAGGGCCTGATCAACGAGGCTGTTACTGCTGGCCGCAGGTAGTCCAACATATGAACACAGCCCGGCTGATCAGGTATTGACTTTAGCAATCTGTCCAGCTCCCTCTTGAAGACAACCAGGGGCCTACTGTTAATTCCCCTTATGGTTGGTGGGAGGCTGTTGAACAGTCTTGGGCCCCAGACAATTATTATGTTTTCTCTTAGTATACCAGTGGTACCCCTACTTTGCACTGGGGGTAGAGTAGTTAGATTTTATTGCCTGCTCTTATATGTAGGAATAACTAAGCACATTACGGTGTGCACTGATAATGCATTCAGATTTAAAAAAAAAGAGTATAAACCAACAAAGCCAAAGAGTGATTTACTCCATTTCAGAGAGACAGTATTTAAGCACTTATGCATGCTATCAGCGAATAAAAAATTAAATTACAGGAAACGACGACTTGTTAAAATTAATATTTCAGTTTAAGTTGGTTACGCCTAGTTCAACAATGTTAAAAATACAAAAAGTTCATGGCTCCCTTTCCCACAGCTTCATAAATCTGGTACTCCTAAGCTTTAGGCTTAAATTTAGAATATTACTGGCATCTAATATAACTAGGTAAATTATTAGTCTTATGGCTATATAATGGTAACTATTTAATGCCTGGCTACAAGACTGCTCAACTGCCTCCCAGCATACATAAGTGGAATTACCAACAGACCCCTGGCTGTCTTCAAGGGGCTAGACTGGCACCTAAAGTCAGTACCCGACCAGCCAGGCTGTGGTTCGTATGCCAGTTTACGCATGGCCAGCAGTAACAGCCTGGTTGATCAGGCCCTGATCCACAAGGAGGCCTGGTCATGGACCGGGCCATGGGTGCGTTGACCCCTGAAACTCCCTGCAGGTATACAGTAGATACTGCAAAATCTCTTTCACTCTCCCTGGTACAATACTGAATTTAGGTCATAACTCTCATGGTTCAGTTGATGCAACCTACACCAGTCAGTTAACACCCAGGTACCTACTTAATGTTAGGTGAACAGGGCCAACATGCCCAACATTTCCACCTGGCCAGGGATTGAACCATGAACTGTGTGAGGCGAGAGCATTGCCTACCAAAATCACAGAACACCATATTTTTTATTTTTATAGTTTGTCCTGGTCTTCATGTTACTCTGCACCCATGTCAAGGTTAAATCTCACCATCTTGGATAACTATTTCTTTCCTTTATCTTTTTTTAATCAGCTCAAATTGGTGTTCATTTAAACTTCACTCATTAACCTAGGGTTATGCAAGGCAATTACATTTGAAATTTGCACATGGGAATGCATAATACTAATACAGGAGGACTGTCCTAGTATCCATTAAATCAATGTTAAACAGAAAGGAGAGAGAAAAAAAAAAAAACAGCAATTTACAATCTCCTTTACACTGTACCACCTAAAATAGTATACACAAATTTGTTATAATGTATAACCTATTACATAAAAATTCAGTATATTGAGGGTATACTGTACAGTATACATATTTACTGGAAAGCACTAATTTCAAGGGTCCTGAAGTTTACCTGGAGAGTTCCGGGGGTCAACGCCCCCGCGGCCCGGTCTGTGACCAGGCCTCCTGGTGGATCAGAGCCTGATCAACCAGGCTGTTGCTGCTGGCTGCACGCAAACCAACGTACGAGCCACAGCCCGGCTGATCCGGAACCGACTTTCGGTGCTTGTCCAGTGCCAGCTTGAAGACTGCCAGGGGTCTGTTGGTAATCCCCCTTATGTGTGCTGGGAGGCAGTTGAACAGTCTAGGGCCCCTGACACTTATTGTATGGTCTCTTAACGTGCTAGTGACACCCCTGCTTTTCATTGGGGGGATGGTGCATCGTCTGCCAAGTCTTTTGCTTTCGTAGTGAGTGATTTTCGTGTGCAAGTTCGGTACTAGTCCACTCTAGGATTTTCCAGGTGTATATAATCATGTATCTCTCCCTCCTGCGTTCCAGGGAATACAGGTTAGGAACCTCAAGCGCTCCCAATAATTGAGGTGTTTTATCTCCGTTATGCGCGCCGTGAAAGTTCTCTGTACATTTTCTAGGTCGGCAATTTCACCTGCCTTGAAAGGTGCTGTTAGTGTGCAGCAATATTCCGGCCTAGATAGAACAAGTGACCTGAAGAGTGTCATCATGGGCTTGGCCTCCCTAGTTTTGAAGGTTCTCATTATCCATCCTGTCATTTTTCTAGCAGATGCGATTGATACAATGTTATGGTCCTTGAAGGTGAGATCCTCCGACATGATCACTCCCAGGTCTTTGACGTTGGTGTTTCGCTCTATTTTGCGGCCAGAATTTGTTTTGTACTCTGATGAAGATTTAATTTCCTCGTGTTTACCATATCTGAGTAATTGAAATTTCTCATCGTTGAACTTCATATTGTTTTCTGCAGCCCACTGAAAGATTTGGTTGATGTCCACAAAGAAAATTTAAATCATATTTGATCCAAGAGGGAAGCTCCAAATCCTTGCATCAAGAGCCCTTCACTGGCATCAAGGCGTCCCCATCCCCCATATCCTCAAAGGAATATAAATCACTTAAATTATATAATTAAGAAATTGTTATCGCAGGCAATCCAAAATTAGTTGGTCAGAATCAGATCTTTCCCTATTAGTAAAATGTTCTCCCATACATAAATTTGCTAATTATTGATAAGCACTTAACCTGTAAATAGCTTGTCAATAAAGCTAGGGATCCTTAACCTTGTCAAACCCTGTGTAAAAAAAAAAAAAAAAACTAATCCTAAAAATACACGAACCCAGCATAACCGAAACTGATGGATAACTTGTAGGTTGCCAAACTTGCTGCCTGGATAAACAAATTTTTTTTTGTGCGGTATAAAATTGCAGTTTACACGTAATACATAAATCATTAAGTACAAAAGAAAGCCACTAGCATGCACATGCATTTCGGATAATTGTCACTGGTGATTTAAACTTGACTACTATCAGATACCTCCTTTTATTTTAACATTTTTCACACAGCCGAGTTACTGGTTTTAATTTTTAAGGTTTAAATAAGATATTACAAAGACCGCAATGAAAACGAGTCACTTTTTTGGGGGTTATCCTAGGTAATTTACACTATGCAAGATAATTGTACTTGCATGTACCTGTCTCAAACTTACACCACTGAGCTATGAGGTTTAAGGAAACAGGAAAACCAACAGAAAAAGAAAAAGATATTTAGTATATGTACTTGTCAGAACTCAGCCATTGACTTGGACCTGCCTAGCATAGGCCAGTAGGCCTCCTGCAGTGCTCCTTTATGATCTTATTGGATCATTTATTAAAATACAAGCAAGCTATCTTAGGGAAAAATAGGTCCAATACCTTGGATCAAGAGAGCTTCACTGGCATTAAGGTCTCCCTTATGGGACATTTCTATTTAAAACACAAACATTAAGAATAGAACAGTGAATTCGAATTTAGTTAGGCCTACTGTAGGGCTTATACAGGTGGCAGGTTATTTAATGGGGGTTAAGTAAACAATTAAGTTAATTTAGGCACAGATACACACAAATATAATCAAGTGTTAATTACCTAGATTATAATCATGGGAGCGCTAAACCCGTAGGACTATACAGTGCACGTGTGTGGGGGGGGAGGATTATTATTATTACAATCAAGGGGGAAGCGCTAAACCCGGAGGATTATACAGCGCCTGGGGGGGGGGGATGTGGAAGGCATTCAGGCTTAATTTGGGGAACTGGAGCACAGATCCAATTCCCTAAATCAAGAGCCCCTCACCAGCATCAAGGAACCTTCCTTGAGGGGATTATCAAGGATAACCTAAAAAGTTCATCAACTAGACTGGGGTTATTAAGGCTTCATGTAACCCATTTTCACCAGACAAGAATTTTAAACCCTAAAATAGGACTTCAGGTAAAATTTCAGTATATATAGGCTGAAATACACCTCTCAGTGTATATATCCAGTGACACCAGTTTCAAAACTCGTATATTTCTCTCCCACCAGTAAAACAATCCAGAAGCACTGAAAACACTTGAAGAAAAGGAAGCAAGCAAAATATTAAGAATCAAAACACATTCTTGTAATCAGGATATTCCATTAGAATGAAAACAATATATTACTATATAAAATTGTACTTATGTGTACTTATACCTAAAGAAACTCACCAGTGAAGCACAGAGTACATCAGTAACAACACCACAGAAGGGACCAGGAGCTGAGACTCAACACCAACCACCACAAATAGAGGAGCACCTTGTGTATGATCTTTGAATTTAAATGTTAGAGAGACGCAGGCGCACTACCACCAACTATCTTCTCTTACAACTGTCTACCATAACGTCTCCTCGGCGCCCGCTGCCTCCCTCACTCCACCTTCATTAATTTATCTCTCTATTTTAATTTGATAGTTAACGCGTTTTACAATGTTTTTATGTATTTAAAATATTATATAGAATATGTGTATCCCATGGATTTATAAGGAAAATTCTTCGTGCTAGAATTTTAGGGAATTGTAAGTAGTTCTCCAGCTAAGCAATAGATGGGTCTGATGAGCCCCAAAAAATATATTCTAATAACCTTTATGTAGGCCTATTTAGGTACAGGTCCACATAGATGCAACTATCATGCATAGTAACATATACGAAAATTAACTAGAATAACTCCCCAAAAAAGTCAAAGTGACTTATTTCCAATAAATATGTAAATTAAGCTTGTGTTTTTTACACACTGTAATATTTATTTTATATAAATTCCATGTATACTGTACATGCTTAAAAAATATACACACCAATCTGGACCTCAGGAAAAATACTTATACTTGGTTTCTTCTTCTCCCCTTATTTAAATCTAAGTTAAGTGTATCTTGACATATCACAGGTTTGATTCCCAGGCTCGGCTGTAGTAGTAGTGGTAGTAGCAGCAGTCGTAGTAGCAGTAGTAGTAGTAGTAGCAGCAGTGGTAGTAGCAGTAGTAGTAGTAGTAGCAGCAGTGGTAGTAGCAGTAGTAGTAGTAGCAGCAGCAGTGGTAGTAGCAGTAGTAGTAGTAGTAGCAGCAGTGGTAGTAGCAGTAGTAGTAGTAGTAGTAGCAGCAGTGGCAGTAGCAATAGTAGTAGTAGTAGTAGCAGTGGTAGTAGCAGTAGTAGTAGTAGTAGTAGTAGTAGTAGCAGCGGTAGTAGCATTAGTAGTAGTAGTAGTAGCAGCAGTGGTAGTAGCAGTAGTAGTAGTAGTAGTAGTAGTAGTAGTAGTAGTAGCAGCAGTGGTAGTAGCAGTAGTAGTAGTAGTAGTAGTAGTAGTAGTAGTAGTAGTAGTAGCAGCAGCAGCAGTGGTAGTAGCAGTAGTAGTAGTAGCCGTGGTAGTAGCAGTAGTAGTAGTAGTAACAGTGGTAGTGGTAGTAGTAGTAGTAGTAGCAGCAGTGGTAGTAGTAGTAGTAGTAGTAGCAGTGGTAATAGTAGTAGTAGTAATAGTAGTAGTAGTAGTAGCAGTGGTAGTAGTAGTAGTAGTAGTAGTAGTAGCAGCAGCAGCAGTAGTAGTAGCAGTAGTAGTAGTAGCAGCAGTGGTAGTAGCAGTAGTAGTAGTAGTAGTAGTAGTAGTAGTAGCAGTGGTAGTAGCAGTAGTAGTAGTAGTAGTAGTAGTAGCAGCAGTGGTAGTAGTAGTAGTATTATTATTAGTAGTAGTAGTGGTAGTAGCAGCAGTGGTAGTAGTAGTAGTAGTAGTAGTAATAGTAGTAGTGGTAGTAGCAGCTAGTACCACCTAGCTACTGCCCTTGCCCACCTAGTTACTTCCCTCGTCCACCTAGCTACTGCCCTTGCCCACCTAGTTACTTCCCTCGTCCACCTAGCTACTGCCCTTGCCCACCTAGTTACTTCCCTCGTCCACCTAGCTACTGCCCTTGCCCACCTAGTTACTTCCCTCGTCCACCTAGCTACTACCCTTGCCCACCTAGTTAATGTCCTCGTCCACCTAGCTACTGCCCTTGCCCACCTAGTTACTTTCCTCATCCACCTAGCTACTACCCATGCCCACTTAGTTACTTCCCTCGTCCACCTAGCTATTGTCCTTGTCCACCTAGTTACTTCCCTCGTCCACCTAGCTACTGCCCTTCCCCACCTAGTTACTCTCCTCATCCACCTAGCTACTACCCATGCCCACCTAGTTACTTCCCTCGTCACCTAGTTACTGCCCTTGCTCACCTAGTTACTTCCCTCGCCCACCTAGCAACTACCCTTGCCCACCTAGTTACTTCCCTCGTCCACCTAGCTACTGCCCTTGCCCACCTAGTTACTTCACTCGTCCACCTAGCTACTACCCTTGCCACCTAGTTACTTGCCTCGTCCACCTAGCTACTGCCCTTGCCCCACCTAGTTACTTCCCTCGTCCACCTAGCTACTGCCTTTGCCCACCTAGTTACTTTCCTCGTCCACCTAGCTACTGCCCTTGCTCACCTAGCTACTTCCCTCGTCCACCTAGCTACTGCCCTTGCTCACATAGTTACTTGCCTCGTCCACCTAGCTACTGCCCTTGCTCACCTAGTTACTTCCCTCGTCCACCTAGCTACTGCCCTTGCCCACCTAGTTACTTCACTCGTCCACCTAGCTACTACCTTGCTCACCTAGTTACTTCCCTCGTCCACCTAGCTACTGCCCTTGCCCACCTAGTTACTTCACTCGTCCACCTAGCTACTACCCTTGCTCACCTAGTTACTTCCCTCGTCCACCTAGCTACTGCCCTTGTCCACCTAGTTACTTGCCTCGTCCACCTAGCTACTGCCCTTGCCCACCTAGTTACTTCCCTCGTCCACCTAGCTACTGCCCTTGCCCACCTAGTTACTTCCCTCGTCCACCTAGCTACTGCCCTTGCCCACCTAGTTACTTCCCTCGTCCACCTAGCTACTGCCCTTGCCCACCCTAGTTACTTCCCTCGTCCACCTAGCTACTACCCTTGCCCACCTAGTTAATGTCCTCGTCCACCTAGCTACTGCCCTTGCCCACCTAGTTACTTTCCTCATCCACCTAGCTACTACCCATGCCCACTTAGTTACTTCCCTCGTCCACCTAGCTATTGTCCTTGTCCACCTAGTTACTTCCCTCGTCCACCTAGCTACTGCCCTTCCCCACCTAGTTACTCTCCTCATCCACCTAGCTACTACCCATGCCCACCTAGTTACTTCCCTCGTCCACCTAGTTACTGCCCTTGCTCACCTAGTTACTTCCCTCGCCCACCTAGCAACTACCCTTGCCCACCTAGTTACTTCCCTCGTCCACCTAGCTACTGCCCTTGCCCACCTAGTTACTTCACTCGTCCACCTAGCTACTACCCTTGCCCACCTAGTTACTTGCCTCGTCCACCTAGCTACTGCCCTTGCCCACCTAGTTACTTCCCTCGTCCACCTAGCTACTGCCTTTGCCCACCTAGTTACTTTCCTCGTCCACCTAGCTACTGCCCTTGCTCACCTAGCTACTTCCCTCGTCCACCTAGCTACTGCCCTTGCTCACATAGTTACTTGCCTCGTCCACCTAGCTACTGCCCTTGCTCACCTAGTTACTTCCCTCGTCCACCTAGCTACTGCCCTTGCCCACCTAGTTACTTCACTCGTCCACCTAGCTACTACCCTTGCTCACCTAGTTACTTCCCTCGTCCACCTAGCTACTGCCCTTGTCCACCTAGTTACTTGCCTCGTCCACCTAGCTAGTGCCTTTCCCCACCTAGTTACTTCCCTCGTCCACCTAGCTACTGCCCTTGCCCACCTAGTTACTTTCCTCGTCCACCTAGCTACTGCCCTTGCTCACCTAGTTACTTCCCTCGTCCACCTAGCTACTGCCCTTGCTCACCTAGTTACTTCCCTCGTCCACCTAGCTACTGCCCTTGCTCACCAAGTTACTTCCCTCGTCCACCTAGCTACTGCCCTTGCCCACCTAGTTACTTCACTCGTCCACCTAGCTACTACCCTTGCCCACCTAGTTACTTGCCTCGTCCACCTAGCTACTGCCCTTGCCCACCTAGTTACTTCCCTCGTCCACCTAGCTACTGCCCTTGCCCACCTAGTTACTTCCCTCGTCCACCTAGCTACTGCCCTTGCTCACCTAGTTACTTCCCTCGTCCACCTAGCTACTGCCCTCCCCCACCTAGTTACTTCACTCGTCCACCTAGCTACTACCCTTGCCCACCTAGTTACTTGCCTCGTCCACCTAGCTACTGCCCTTGCCCACCTAGTTACTTCCCTCGTCCACCTAGCTACTGCCCTTGCCCACCTAGTTACTTTCCTCGTCCACCTAGCTACTGCCCTTGCTCACCTAGTTACTTCCCTCGTCCACCTAGCTACTGCCCTTGCTCACCTAGTTACTTCCCTCGTCCACCTAGCTGCTGCCCTTGCCCACCTAGTTACTTTCCTCGTCCACCTAGCTATTGTCCTTGTCCACCTAGCTACTGACTTTGCCCACCTAGCTATTGTCCTTGTCCACCTAAGTTTCCTTGCCACCTAGCTACTGACTCTGCCCACTTAGCTAGCACTGAAAATAGCTACACTAGTTTACTACTCAGAATAATGCCAATGTGGAAGAAAACTTCAGTTTTGTCCGAAGTCATATAGGGGACAAAATACCTTTGTGAAAAAGACACACTCGTCCTGTGAAAGGCATGTCCTGGACAAGAGATATGCTAAATTGTCAATACGAATCATGACTTCTGGAGTGTACCCGTGAAATGCGGAGTATTGAATGACTGATACAAATGCGGGTTTGTTAATCAGTCTTGAAGCAGCGTCTGTAAAATCTTTAAATTTACAAGAATAAAGTTTATTGTTAACGTGTGTACATAGTTCAATTAGGTATCTCAGAGAGGAGTGCCTTTAAATGGTTGACGGACTGAACTTATCGACTCCAGGCTGAGTCGATATATTCAGTCCATTAACCCTTGTGGCGAAACGTTTTGCTTCCTCCAAGGTTTCCGTTTATAACCAAGAATATTCGCCTCTAGTATCTACAGGTTATACGCTGGTATAGCCAGTAGATACTAGAAAACGGATGCTAGTATAACTGTAAAGACTGGAAGATATATGCTAGTATAACCAGTAGGTACTGGAAGATATATTCTTAAATAACATGTAGGTACTGGAATATATATTCTAACAACCTGTTAATACTGGAAGATATTTACTAGTCTAATCTCTAGTAATACTAATTATATTGTAATCCACAGATACTGGAAGGCACTATAACCTGTAGGTTATAGTGCTACATAAAGATATTACAAGTTGCGAATGTATACTGGAAGATGATATAACCTGTAGGTACTGGATGATATATATGCTAGAAAAACTTATAGAAATACTGGGTTTCAAGAGTTGGAAAGAAAGAATAGTCGCGAGTGATTAATGGTTTAAAAAACCAACAAGTTGAAGATCGAGACACTTATGCAACATATGGGAATCATTATTATGTTCTTAATAAAGATTCCCATGTGTTACGTGTCTCAAATGAAGGAATTCATTGATCAAACGAAGGATTCCATTGATCAAATAAGACTGGAAGAATGTAAGAAATATCGATACATTAATTAATTCTTCATATTTTAAACATAAAAGCTGGGAAATTCGCCTTGCATTATTTCCCTTAGGAATGTTGGCTTCTCTACGCTAAATAATAGGGCGTCCACCGGAAGTACTGTGCCTACAGGAAACAGTTAAAAATATCTTAAGCACTAAAAATAACCTGAGCCACCAAGGTGTGTCAGGCTATTAGTTTGTAGAGTGCATTAGTGGCCCCCTGACTCTAGTAGCGACTGACTCAGGTGCTCTCTCTCTCTCTCACACAAACATAGACCCAGAACAGTAAAGAGAGAAAATAAAAATATATATTTTTAATAAGAACGAGGCCACAGCTGTGTTAGACAGAACGAGGCTACAAACGCGTCATCAAGAGCAAAATTGTCCTAAACTCGCAAGTGGGGACGAGCGAAAACAGATATTTGTTTTTAAGCCAAATTAGGCTATACATTATTATTTTTTTTTTGTGAAGAAAAGATTTCATATTCGTAACATTTCCTTCTGAAACATTAGTGCAAAATAGTGGTGGGAATTTGGTAAGTAGAATGTTTCAAAGAAATCTGATAGATGCAGAATGTGACTGTTTGACATCAACACCTACTGATGTTTGACATCAACACCTACTGATGTTTGACATCAACATCTACTGATGTTTGACATCAACATTACCGATGTTTGACCTCAACACATACTGATGTTTGACATCAACACACCTTGATTTTTGACATGAACACACCCTGTTGATTGTCCTGAACACCTTGATGTTTGCCCTGAATACACCTTGATGTTTGCCTTGAATGCACCTTGATGTTTGCCTTGAATACACCTTGATATCTGCCCTGAACACACCTTGATATTTGCCCTGAACACACCTTGATGTTTGTCCTGAATACACATTGATGTTTGCTCTGAATACACCTTGATGTTTGACCTGAACACACCTTGATCTTTTAATAACCAGTTGATGTTCGTTCACGACAGCTTTCCTTTTTTTTAAACACTTACCATGATTAGATACACCACCATGTGCGAATTTCTTCTAGCTCGATAGCTAGTGCACTCAGATCACACACAGGTAATGGGATCGATCCCTCGGTACGACCGAAAAAATTAGGACGTGTTTCCATAAGATACCTGCTGTCCCTGTTCACCCATCAGTAAAATGGGTACCTGGGTGTTAGTCGACTGGTGTGAGTCACATCCTGGGACAAAACTGATCTAATTTGCCAAAATGCTCTGCATAACAAGGGGCTTGCTATACAGTAGTATGTCACTGATGTCAGCTAGGCCTGTATACCTTATACATGTACTTGTAGAAATAAAAATAATATTTCCAGCAGGATATGATGCTAGATGAATGGTTCAGAGAACCTACACGTTGATAAATTAGACACATGTGCAGCTCTTGAGTATCTTTGTTGAGGAAACGTTTCGCCACACAGTGGCGGCTTCATTAGCCCATACAAGGGAGAAACGTGAAGAACAGGATGAGAATGATTCTATTCAAGATTGATGGACTGACCACATCGACTCAAGGTTGAGGGACTGATTACCTCATTCTCCTCCTGTTCTTCACGTTTCTCCTTTGTATGGACTGATGAAGCCACTGTGGCGAAACGTTTCCTCAATAAAGATACTCAAGAGTTGCACATGTGTCTAATTTATCAAGGATATGATGCATGTTTTTGTTTCTCGTATTCCATCACACAGAATGGGCTGGCACTTGAGGTAATGAAATCTATCAGCTTGAGCTGGAAAACTGGTAGATATGAGAATATCGTCAAGTATCCCACTCTGGGTATAGTTACTATACAATAACTTTGTTTCCTTAAGTTGGGAAAAGGTACTCTTACGTGAAGATTTTAGGTACCATTTTGTACGGCAAAACATCACGCAAAAAGGCTAATTCAAATAAGACAAAAAGTGAGTACAATGTGAAGTAAATTTAGTTATGTACATTGACGGAAACAATCATAAGTTCCTTACCTCTCGGGGGAGAGGAGACTTATAATAAGTGGTGATTGTGAAGATTCATTTTTCTTTAATTATGTGATGTTATTTTTTAGAAAAAAAAATGTCTACTGTTAAACAGACAACTCCAACGCCAGGTTCGGAAAACACTGTTAGGAGCGTGGAGGATGGAGTGAGTAGAGTGGAGGGCGTGAAGGTGCTGGAGGAATACATGGTAAATCTCGTACCTTACAATCCCGCCTGGCTGACCAGCCCTCCACCCTGGGCCACAAACATGGCTCTCTCACACGAGGACTTGCTAGCTAAGACACAGGAGTGGCGTGAGGGAGTGCTGTGGGAGACGACCCTACAGGTGGGCGGGGGCTTGGCAGGTGTCCTGAAGGTGGGGGTGAACCCTGTTTATGGTCGGCATCTGCTAGCTGCAAGAGGCATGAAGGCAGGGGAGGTCCTGCTGGTAGAACCTCCACTGTTGTTGGCTCTCAGGGCCAAGTCTTCGCCCTACTGCTCCTCCTGCTTTAGAAGGGCTGAAACTTTTACCTGCCCTTCCTGCGGCTTTTTTCTTTGTGGTCCAGAATGTTTAACAGAGGCTCACCGGGAGGAGTGTGTAGTGCTGAGACGCTTGGGACTGGCGGACCCATCTGAGGAGGAGAGACAACAGGAGGAGAGAGTGATGTGGGAACACCTGGCTGCCATGCCCTGCGAGCAACGGGCCCAGGCGCAGGTATTGCTGCAGCAGGTGCAGACAACCTCCCGTCAGCAGAGGCGCCTACAGGTGTTACGCCAGTATACAGTGCAGCCAGCAGTACGGACTATCCTCGCCATGAATCATAGTGACTTAACCAGGAAACTTATTCTGACACTTCAAGCTAATACGGATAAAGAGTCGCAGCGTTACCGAGTCAACCAGAAGAATATCGTTGATGTTGTGGTTAACACACTGGGTGCAGCCAGCGACCTTGAGCTGGTTCACTGGGTATGTTCCGTCTGGGATACTAATGGCTTCGAGGTGCCACTGGGGTGGGGCACCAGGGTCCATGGCCTCTATCCCATGGCATCCCTGCTGACCCACGACTGCCGCGCCAACACCCAACAGTGGTTTACCAAACACGGTTACCTGGTACTCAGAGCCGTGGAAAACATCTCTGAGGGAGACATTCTCACCACCTGCTACACTGACCCCCAGTGGGCCACCATGCTACGTCAGGATCATTTGCGTGTGTCGAAGCAGTTCACCTGCACCTGCAGACGGTGCCAGGACCCAACCGAGTTGGGTACCTTCCTGGGGTCTCCGCTGTGCCCAAGGTGTGGTGGAACCCTCGTCTCTTCTGCTCCTCTCGACCCTACAGCAGACTGGGTATGCCACTCAGGATGCCCACACACTGCCCCTGCCAAGGAGGTAATGTTTTCTCTACAACATCCAAGTTATACACATTTTCATTTATCTATAATCATTCTTATTATCAACTTCATGCTAATATCTCAAATATCTCTGTCCTCTTTAGCCCACCGTCATCTATCGACAGCACTTAAATGTCGTTTTTGTATTTCTTTAATTCTGACATTGACCATGCCAACACTGAAGTTCCAGACTCTAACACACCTCAAGCCGACCACCACCAATAAAACTCGTCCTGCTTGCTGCCTACTGACACTCTCAGCTCCTGCCGCTGCCTTCGCCATCCTCTCCTAGTGAGTCAAGTACCCACATCATCCAAGCCTCTCCATCTACGCCTCCAGTACTTCGGTACCACATGTCCCAAAGTGGTTGGGCCACTTGCCTTGATTCCTCCTCTTTCCCTCCTTCCCATCCTTTTCCAGTATTTCCATCCTTCCTTATCCTTCTTCCTTCCCATCTCACGACAACTCTCGTCGTCTTCTTCGATTCGATTTAATTCTGACATTGTTACGCTAATCGTATTGATAACATATTAAAAAAACAGTTGAAATATATAGTTATATTAATGGGGTGCGTTAAACCCGTAGATTTCCTCAACACCAAATATATTAACAGTAATTCCATAAGAAAAAACCGATAGTGGTGATATTTAATGTAGAAATGTAACAGGAGCTGTCATGTCTTAAACTTAAATTACAAAACCACACCATTTCAGTACATTAAAGAACTATTTTTTGGTCACTTTTATTAGGTTTTGGTGCGAGTTATATATTTTCATCAAGAGAAGCACTAAACCTGTAAGGGTTATACAGGGCCTATTAAATGGGAGGCAATTAGGTTCGATTCAAGGAGGGAAGAATGAGTGTAGTTTATTGGAGTAAAAGCCCATCACCGGCATCAAGGAACCTCCTTAAGAGGCACAGGGAACAAATTTTTGCAGCGACAGTTGACCTTTTTTTTTTAAATTGGTCAACTAGTAATTTTTTTTTTTTTGTGAACAGGTTGCAGCTTTTGGCGCAAAGGTTGGTAAGAGTTTGCATGGGTTATCTCCAAATGATGCAGGCGCCCTAACAGCCCTAGCAGAACATTTACAAGCTGGTCTTCACCCTACACATCATGTCCTCCTCCAGCTACACGTTTCGACCCTCAAAACCATTGTCAACAAGGAGCTTAAGGGTACGTTACCAACATTTCGAAGAGGAGCTAGTGTGCAAAATTTAACTATAATGAAAAAAATATTTCTTAGATAAAGTCATTATAGGTGTAACATCATGTAGCATAGCAATACATCATAAGACATGTAGACAGACATTCTCTCTCTCTACATATACATATGTATAACTTATTTTACTGTTTCTGCAGAGATGAGTGACACGGAGATAACTACATTGGCCGCCATCGCTGACTTGGTAATGGGAGTGGTGAGGGTCTTGGAGGCCCCGCTTACCAGACTTACAGGTCGGTCAATATGCTCACATACTAAGGTCAATCTGTTTACATACTAGGGTCAGTATGCTCTTATACTAAGGTCAATATGCTCACATACTAGGGTCAGTATGCTCACATACTAGGGTCAATATGCTCACATACTAAAGCCTTCGACAAGTGTGACCATGGCGTAATAGCGCACAAAATGCGTGCTAAAGGAATAACAGGAAAAGTCGGTCGATGGATCTATAATTTCCTCACTAACAGAACACAGAGAGTAGTAGTCAACAGAGTAAAGTCCGAGGCAGCTACGGTGAAAAGCTCTGTTCCACAAGGCACAGTACTTGCTCCCATCTTGTTCCTCATCCTCATATCTGACATAGACAAGGATGTCAGCCACAGCACCGTGTCTTCCTTTGCAGATGACACCCGAATCTGCATGACAGTGTCTTCCATTGCAGACACCGCAAGGCTCCAGGCGGACATCAACCAAATCTTTCAGTGGGCTGCAGAAAACAATATGAAGTTCAACGGTGAGAAATTTCAATTACTCAGATATGGTAAAAACGAGGAAATTAAATCTTCATCAGAGTACAAAACAAATTCTGGCCACAAAATAGAGCGAAACACCAACGTCAAAGACCTGGGAGTGATCATGTCGGAGGATCTCACCTTCAAGGACCATAACATTGTATCAATCGCATCTGCTAGAAAAATGACAGGATAGATAATGAGAACCTTCAAAACTAGGGAGGCCAAGCCCATGATGACACTCTTCAGGTCACTTGTTCTATCTAGGCTGGAATATTGCTGCACACTAACAGCACCTTTCAAGGCAGGTGAAATTGCTGACCTAGAAAATGTACAGAGAACCTTCACGGCGCGCATAACGGAGATAAAACACCTCAATTACTGGGAGCGCTTGAGGTTCCTAAACCTGTATTCCCTGGAACGCAGGTGGGAGAGATACATGATTATATACACCTGGAAAATCCTAGAGGGACTAGTATCGAACTTGCACACGAAAATCACTCACTACGAAAGCAAAAGACTTGGCAGACGATGCAACATCCCCCCAATGAAAAGCAGGGGTGTCACTAGCACGTTAAGTGACCATACAATAAGTGTCAGGGGCCCTAGACTGTTCAACTGCCTCCCAGCATACATAAGGGGGATTACCAACAGACCCCTGTCAGTCTTCAAGCTGGCACTGGACAAGCACCTAAAGTCGGTTCCTGACCAGCCGGGCTGTGGCTCGTACGTTGGTTTGCGTGCAGCCAGCAGCAACAGCCTGGTTGATCAGGCTCTGATCCACCAGGAGGCCTGGTCACAGACCGGGCCGCGGGGGCGTTGACCCCCGGAATTCTCTCCAGGTAAACTCCAGGTAATACTAGGATCATTAGGCTCAAAGTCAATCTCTTCTCCAGTTATGGAAGCCAGTTTCACATAAATTGCTTTTCGTGTGCTTCTGCATGTTTAAAACGACATTGAATTCCCATAACAGCCACTCATCACTATTTAACGAACGCCACTATCTTAATTATTATAACCAAATTAAGCGCTAAACCGGTAAGGGGCATATAGCGCTGCGGAGAGGGACGTGCAAAGGCCAAGACTGAGCGAGAGGTAATGGTGATTAAAGTTTGGAATTAGTGGGACGGTTAGTGCAAATAAAACTGAAATCAAAGTTGGTGTCATAGGTTAGTCAAAGAGAGCATCTACATCAAAGGTGGGACTCTCTGCAAGGAGAGGCTGTTTAAACGTTGAAAGTGGATCCTCTGCGTGCAGTCTGTTAGACAGGACACTGTTAAGACAGTGACGTTTTACCAGGAAACTTATTGAGTGAATGATGGTGAAAGTGTTTCTTCTTTTTTTGGATCACCCTACCTCAGTGGAAGACGGCCGGTTTGTTGAAAAAAAAAAATGTTAAATGAACCATACGACCTGACAGTCCTTAAAGAGTGTTGCCAGTTGCTTCTCCATGTGTTATCCATGAGTGAGTCACTCTTGTCCAATACGCAACTGCGACTTAAGTCTCTCAAACCCAACAATGGTAAAAAAAGGGATGGCCAAAATCCTAAACGTAATTAATGGAAAACATTTTGTGGTGGCCAAATATTAGCAGACCAACGTTGTTGCTAGCGGTTACAGTCATGATGAGATTATTATTATAATCAAAAGAAGCGCTAAACCACAGTGGTGGTGAGAGCACTGAAAAATGGACCGAGTAAGGAACACCCCTGTGGGAAATCTGGAGGTCCTGAAATGCTGTCCGAAAGACTGAGTCTATACGTTCATTGTCCTGAATATCAGCGTGTCCAGGGATCCAATAAAGCACTTCTTTGTGCCTAATAGAAACATGACATAGCCAAAGCTGTATACAAGGTCGATGGGATGAGGGAAATTGAATTTATGAATAGCCTATAACAACTGCGAATGATGACATAGAGCTCCTTATAGGAGAATGGTTTAGTAAATGAAAAAGTGGTGGCAATATAATTAGTGTCGGAAAAATATCAGAGGAACCATATGGGTGGTATAGAAATCTTAGTATATATATTAATTATAAAGTTATAGCAAGATAATCGAAATAAGAAGCATTAGTAACTTTACATTTGGAAATCACATCACAGGTTATATCTGTATAATGCACTTTTTTGTGCTCTTGTGTACCCTTAAGACCGTAGAACAAAATATATTTGCACAACATTTGATTAAAACTTGCAGTGAGGATGGCTCGAGAGGAGGTGAGGCTGCAGATAGAGCTGGCCAGGAGGTCAGGTCACCCCAGCCACGACATGCCAGCCACCAGGAGTAGGTTGAAGGTCAGTCCCTGCCCTAACAGTGTGCCTGAAGATTTGCAATATATTTAAATCATAACTGTGGGTGTACTCAGCCTCACGGACAGCTTATAACTTTAGAAAACTTTAATATAACTTTACCCTAACAGGCGCTCTCTCAGCAAGTGAGGGACTGTGAGCTGGTGCTGTCATGGGATGTACGAATGCCAACCTTCTCGTCGGTGTTACGAGACTACCACGCCATGTTAGACCAGTGACATTCCACGAAATGAAGCAGCAGCCTTAGAAGAATAATGGTGCAAATCGTGTTGGTTTTGTCACGGCCTGGTGGCACCTAAAGTCGGTTCCTGACCAGCCGGGCTGTGGCTCGTACGTTGGTTTGCGTGCAGCCAGCAGTAACAGACTGGTTGATCAGGCTCTGATCCACCAGGAGGCCTGGTCACAGACCGGGCCGCGGGGGCGTTGACCCCCGGAACTCTCTCCGGGTAAACTCCGGGTAAAGCTCTCGCTTCACACGGTGAAGGTCCGGGTTCGATTCCCGGCGAAGGGGTGGAAACAGTGGACGTGTTTCCTTACACCGGTTGTCTATGTTCACCCATCAGTAAAATGGGTACCTGGGTGTTAGTGGACTGTTATGGGTCGCATTCTGGGTCAAAACTGACCCGAAATGCTCTGCATAACAAGTGGCTTTCTATATAGTAGTATATCATTGATGTCAGCTATGGTCTGTATACCTTGTACATGTACGTACTTGGTTTTGTCATGTAGGAACAGTGGTGGATTAGGCTGTACTCACCTAATTGTGGTTGCAGGGGTTAATTCACAGCTCCTGGCCCCCTAGCCTCTTCACCTGTCGCCACTAAGCCCTGCTCCATGAGCCTTATCATACACCTTGAAGCTGTGTATGGTTCCTGCCTCCATTACCTCACTTTCCAGACTGTTCGACTTCCTGACAACTTCCTAACATCCCTATGACTCATCTGAGTCTTCAATTTCCAATTGTGACCCCTTGTTACTGTATCCTATCTCTGAAACATTCTGTCCCTATCAACCTTGTCAATTCCTCTCAGAATTTTATGTCCTTATCATGTCTTCCCCCTGTCCTCCAGTTTCGTTAGGCCGATTTCCCTTAACCTCTCCTCATAAGACACGACCCCTAGCTCTGGGACTAGTCTTGTTACATTATTATTATAATCAAAAAGAAGCGCTAAGCCACAAGGACTATACAGCTAGTCTTGTTACAAACCTTTGCACTTTCTATAAGTTTTTGACATGCTTGACCAGGTGTGGGTTCCAGACTGGTGCTGCATACTCTAATATGGGCCTGACGTACACAGGCCCTTAGCGAGGTATCGGAAGGCTATTCTTAGTTTGCTAGTCGCCCATATGCTGCTGTAGCGCCTCAGGAGCCACAGCCGGGCTGTGGCTCGTACGTTGGATTGCGTGCAGCCAGCAGTAACAGCCTGGTTGATCAGGCTCTGATCCACCAGGAGGCCTGGTCACAGACCGGGCTGCTGGGGCGTTGACCCCCGGAACTCTCTCCAGGTAAATTCCAGGACCAGTAGTGGGTGTGTAGTTAAGAACAGTGGTGGAGCAGATTGTGTAATTGTCATGGAGAACATTGGTGAATTGAGTGGTTTAGTTGTCATGGAGGATGCTGTATAATTGTCATAGAGGATTATTATAACCAAAACCAAGTGCTAAACCCACCATGGCTATATAGCACTGCTGTCATAGAACATTATTATAATCATAACTTAGCACTAAACTTGTAAATTATAGAGGACCAGTGTGGTTATTTCCATTAGGGTATTAGATCCTCCAAAGATCAACTGAATTTTAGATTTGTTTATTTCTAAGTAGCAGAAGCAGTGGTCATTGAGATTTGCCCATATGCTTTGCCCTGCCCAGAATGTGCCAGGGTCTTTTCAGCTGTGAGCCAAACTACCACTGATCTATGTAGTGAAGGAACAAAATTGAATCATGATAAATGGCATAAAATACTGACAATGTAAAAATAGACACATGCAGTATAATGCAAATCTTGACTGACTTTGTTAGCCCAGTGTTTGTGACGATGAAGGCCACTGTGGGTGAAACACATTATATTTATATTTATGAGAAGCATTAAATCTATGTTGGTCATTCAGCTCAAGGATTGGAGGAGGCTTAGTGCTTTGTCCACTAATCGAAAGACTGAACTGGTTACTTTCACAGCTGGCTTCTCCAAACCAGAACAGTAGTGGAAAAAGTCATCAGTTATTATTTCAATCTTTGGAATGAATTAAATTCTTAGCAGTTTGTTATATAGCACCTGAGTTGTTCAAAAAACATCCATGTGCGGTACAAATGATTAAAATATTTATTAGTTTGCCTTATACATAATGTAACCTAACATCTAGACACTTCTCAGTTTTCCTTCATAGGTGGGGCATAAACCACTGAACAACTGAGGACCAGTTGACAGCAAAAATCATCCCCGCCAACCTGAGTCAGGCTCTTGTGTAGGTTATCTACTTGCAGATCATAATGTGTATACTTCACTGTTTTGTATGTATATTTTCAACTAAATGTAACTATAATTTTTTTAGAGATTAAAAAATGATCTCGGCTAAATTTAACAGCAGGGAGTCTTTTAGAAATGTACATTACATTAATACACATTAGGTGCATTTGTAATTTTTATAGATAAAGTCTCTATTTTTCAGTATTGTTATATCACCTCATTTATTCACTAATTTATGAATTATTGTGCTATGAATATTTGTGTGAAGACTGAACTATAGATTAACAGTAATCAGCAGCTAACCCTAAAAAATGCTGTTTACAGAACACATGAAAAAATTGGGATATTCGGTGGCACTATGTGTCCACAGATACAAAACGTGGTCAAGATGATAGTATCAAATTAATTGCTACACCTGAAAAGGTCATACAGCACTGCAGGAAGAGATGTGCTAAAGGGGGGAATATGAGGAGGTTAGATGAGAGTGATGATGCTAGAGTATGAAAGGGTTAGTGGGGAATGTGGCCAAGATCAACAGACCAAAGTTGAACTACTATATGGCTCTGAACAAGATGAGGTAAAAAATAAAAATCTCAAAACACTAAAAGTAGATACTCTTGTTGGCCAACTGAAAAATATATATATATATATGTATATAAAGTGATAAAATAATACAAAAGAATAGATAAAGAATATTTTTCAGTACTAAAAATTCAGAACAAAAAGACACAGCTGTAAATGGAAAATGGAGAAAAACAAGGTCTTTTCAAAAGGATAATACAGTGGACCCCCGGTTAACGATATTTTTTCACTCCAGAAGTATGTTCAGGTGCCAGTACTGACCGAATTTGTTCCCATAAGGAATATTGTGAAGTAGATTAGTCCATTTCAGACCCCCAAACATACACATACAAACACACTTACATAAATACACTTACATAATTGGTCGCATTCGGAGGTGATCGTTATGCGGGGGTCCACTGTATGTACTTTTTTTTTTTTGCACTTATTCACTGAAAGTGGCTATTTATTTTTTTAACACATATTCGTATTCAACTTACGATATTTTCAGTTTATGGTGGATTCGTTGGAAAAAGTGGTTTAGCGTTTCTTTTTGATTATTATAATAATAATCGTCGGAAAAAGCTATGTATGACTTTAGAGGAGTAAAAATAATTCATAATTTCATAAACAGAATGGTATATTTAGTCATATCTATATCTGTTTACACAAGAAGATGAATTTTAACAAACTGCAGTAATGTAAAGTATAAATGACTAGCTATAATATATATTACTAGAAGTAAAAATGATAATTATTAAAAATCATGATACAGTGGAACCTCAAAAATCGAACTGCTCCCAACACGACCAATTATGTAAGTGTATTTTTGTAAGTGCTTTTACAAGTGTATTTTTGAGGGTCTGAAATGGACTAATCTAATTTACATTATTCCTGATTTGAATAAATTCATTCGGTAAAGGCACTCGAACAGCCTTCTGGACCGAAGAAAGTTCAATATTTGAGGTTCCACTGTACCTGTACCTTATACTTTCTGTATAAATTTGATCATATTCAAAGGTCTGAAAACTTGCTTTGAACTACAGTAATTCAAGCTCACTGTAAATAATGAATGAAAAGTTTATTTTACATATTTTCAGTATCACCAAAACTCATACAGTATGTGAATGTCTTACATCCTCATGTAAAAGCTTTATTCAATTAAACAAGTTATAGTATAACAACAAGAACTTAAATTTTAATCAGAAAGTTTAAAGTTTAAGAGAAAATACCTTTATAACATCATTTCTCAATATGAGAAGTGGTATCTCCTTAGACATAGGAAATTTTTACATTTAAAAACATCAACATTACAGAGTATGCAATATCCTATCACCTAAAAGAATCTTAGTCCTGTAGTTCAGTAGAACACATCACTATACTATAGTTTTGTTTGATAGTCCACTGAAAATTTGGATCAATTGGGTCCAGAGGCATTCTAAACTTATGGTCTATCTGATCTAACCAACCATGAAAATCTAAGGAAAAAATCCACTATTTTAACAGTAGAGCTACACAATATACATACAGTATATCCGTTCATAAACATTGTATAATCCTTGTGGGTTTAGTGCTTATTTATGATGATGATAATAATAATAATAATCTGTTTATAACACTATTCCCATCTACATGCTATGGAATTGGTACTCATTTATTAATTAACAGAGCTAGTTTTTCGACATAAAAGTTACACATCCACCAACTTTCACTATACACTACTGTACTCATACTGGTTCTTGCAGCTTATTGGGATTAATTTTACTTCTGTCACAGCACTGAAAACCATAACTTTAAGAATACATAGTCTCTTAACCAAAGTTTAAAATATATATTGTAAACTACCTTTTTTTGTGACTGTTTAACATTTAATGAATAAGAGTTTTAATCCTTTGACCAGTATCTTATATCTGGCTGTGCCTGTCATGGTGGCTTTTTTAACACTTCCAAAATATCTAACCCTTGCACTTTGGTCACTGTTGACTAATAACTGAATGAACAGATGCTCTAGGCAACATTTGCTTTACTATTTTTACACCACTTTCAGCGCTGTATGACCCCTGTGGGTTTAGTGCTTATTTATGATTATAATAATAATTTACACCACTTTAATTCATTATAAACCTGTTTTTTGAAAGGAAACTTCATACAATGCTTTGGTCTGTACTGCTCCAAAACACTGTCTGGAGACAGGTAAATAATGAGTTGTTCTAGCCAGTGTATTGTGACTGTTATTCTTCATATCGCTGAAGCTTGCATCCTGATTCACACTTTTCTAATCAGGGGCAGGTACAAGTCAGTTCTCCCTTCAATACACTAGTACTATATCATCTTCACATTCAACCTTTAAAAGATACATGATTATCAAAATATCTGAAGCTATGGATGAATCACAAAGCCATATATTTATAAGGGCTGTTAAGTCAAGGTATTTCCATGTGCAATATGTAGGAGCTGTCCAGTCAAAGGACTAAAAAAAAATAAATTTTTTTTTTTTTTTTTTTTTTTTTTCAACAAGTCGGCCGTCTCCCACCGAGGCAGGGTGACCCAAAAAAGAAAGAAAATCCCCAAAAAGAAAATACTTTCATCATCATTCAACACTTTCACCACACTCGCACATTATCACTGTTTTTGCAGAGGTGCTCAGAATACAACAGTCTAGAAGCATAAACATATAAAGATACACAACATATCCCTCCAAACTGCCAATATCCCAAACCCCTCCTTTAAAGTGCAGGCATTGTACTTCCCATTTCCAGGACTCAAGTCCGACTATATGAAAATAACCGGTTTCCCTGAATCCCTTCACTAAATATTACCCTGCTCACACTCCAACAGATCGTCAGGTCCCAAGTACCATTCGTCTCCATTCACTCCTATCTAACACGCTCACGCACGCTTGCTGGAAGTCCAAGCCCCTTACCCACAAAACCTCCTTTACCCCCTCTCTCCAACCCTTTCGAGGACGACCCCTACCCCGCCTTCCTTCCCCTATAGATTTATATGCTTTCCATGTCATTCTACTGTGATCCATTCTCTCTAAATGACCAAACCACCTCAACAACCCCTCTTCTGCCCTCTGACTAATACTTTTATTAACTCCACACCTTCTCCTAATTTCCACACTCCGAATTTTCTGCATAATATTTACACCACACATTGCCCTTAAACAGGACATCTCCGCTGCCTCCAACCGTCTCCTCGCTGCTGCATTTACCACCCAAGCTTCACACCCATATAAGAGTGTTGGTACTACTATACTTTCATACATTCCCTTCTTTGCCTCCATAGATAACGTTTTTTGACTCCACATATACCTCAACGCACCATTTCACCTTTTTTCCCTCATCAATTCTATGATTAACCTCATCCTTCATAAATCCATCCGCCGACACGTCAACTCCCAAGTATCTGAAAACATTCACTTCTTCCATACTCCTCCTCCCCAATTTGATATCCAATTTTTCTTTATCTAAATCATTTGACACCCTCATCACCTTACTCTTTTCTATGTTCACTTTCAACTTTCTACCTTTACACACATTCCCAAACCTCATCCACTAACCTTTGCAATTTTTCTTTAGAATCTCCCATAAGCACAGTATCATCAGCAAAAAGTAACTGTGTCAATTCCCATTTTGAATTTGATTCCCCATAATTTAATCCCACCCCTCTCCCAAACACCCTAGCATTTACTTCCTTTACAAACCCCATCTATAAATATATTAAACAACCATGGTGACATTACACATCCCTGTCTAAGACCTACTTTTTACCGGGAAGTAGTCTCCCTCTCTTCTACACACCCTAACCTGAGCCTCACTATCCTCATAAAAACTCTTTACAGCATTTAATAACTTACCACCTATTCCATATACTTGCAACATCTGCCACATTGCTCCTCTATCCACTCTATCATATGCCTTTTCTAAATCCATAAATGCAATAAAAACTTCCCTATCTTTATCTAAATACTGTTCACATATATGCTTCAATGTAAACACCTGATCTACACATCCCCTACCCACTCTAAAACCTCCTTGCTCATCCGCAATCCTACATTCTGTCTTACCTCTAATTCTTTCAATTATAACCCTACCGTACACTTTTCCTGGTATACTCAGTAAGCTTATTCCTCTATAATTTTTACAGTCTCTTTTGTCCCCTTTCCCTTTATATAAAGGGACTATACATGCTCTCTGCCAATCCCTAGGTACCTTCCCCTCTTTCATACATTTATTAAACAAAAGTACCAACCACTCCAACACTATATCCCCCCCTGCTTTTAACATTTCTGTCATGATCCCATCAGTTCCAGCTGCTTTACCCCCTTTCATTTTACGTAATGCCTCACGTACCTCCCCCACACTTACATTCTGCTCTTCTTCACTCCTAAAAGATGGTATACCTCCCTGACCAGTGCATGAAATTACTGCCTCCCTTTCTTCCTTAACATTTAAAAGTTCCTCAAAATATTCTCGCCATCTACCCAATACCTCCATCTCCCCATCTACTAACTCCCCTACTCTGTTTTTAACTGACAAATCCATATTTTCCCTAGGCTTTCTTAACTTGTTTAACTCACTCCAAAATTTTTTCTTATTTTCATTAAAATTTCTTGACAGTGCCTCTCCCACTCTATCATCTGCTCTCCTTTTGCACTCTCTCACCACTCTCTTTACCTTTCTTTTACTCTCCATATACTCTGCTCTTCTTATAACACTTCTGCTTTGTAAAAAACCTCTCATAAGCTACCTTTTTCTCTTTTATCACACCCTTTACTTCATCATTCCACCAATCACTCCTCTTTCCTCCTGCCCCCACCCTCCTATAACCACAAACTTCTGCCCCACATTCTAATACTGCATTTTTAAAACTATTCCAACCCTCTTCAACCCCCCCACTACTCATCTTTGCACTAGCCCACCTTTCTGCCAATAGTCGCTTATATCTCACCCGAACTTCCTCCTCCCTTAGTTTATACACTTTCACTTCCCTCTTACTTTGTTGTTGCCACCTTCCTCTTTTCCCATCTACCTCTTACTCTAACTGTAGCTACAACTAAATAATGATCCGATATATCAGTTGCCCCTCTATAAACATGTACATCCTGGAGCCTACCCATCAACCTTTTATCCACCAATACATAATCTAATAAACTACTTTCATTACGTGCTACATCATACCTTGTATATTTATTTATCCTCTTTTTCATAAAATATGTATTACTTATTACCAAAATTTCTTTCTACACATAGCTCAATTAAAGGCTCCCCATTTACATTTACCCCTGGCACCCCAAATTTACCTACTACTCCCTCCATAACATTTTTACCCACTTTAGCATTAAAATCCCCAACCACCATTACTCTCACACTTGATTCAAAACTCCCCACGCATTCACTCAACATTTCCCAAAATCTCTCTCTCTCCTCTACACTTCTCTCTTCTCCAGGTGCATACACGCTTATTATAACCCACTTTTCACATCCAATCTTTATTTTACTCCACATAATCCTTGAATTAATACATTTATAGTCCCTCTTTTCCTGCCATAGCTTATCCTTCAACATTATTGCTACTCCTTCTTTAGCTCTAACTCTATTTGAAACCCCTGACCTAATCTCATTTATTCCTCTCCACTGAAACTCTCCCACCCCTTCAGCTTTGTTTCACTTAAAGCCAGGACATCCAGCTTCTTCTCATTCATAACATCCACAATCATCTCTTTCTTATCATCTGCACAACATCCACGCACATTCAGACTTCCCACTTTGACAATTTTCTTCTTCTTATTCTTTTAGTAATCTTTACAGGAAAAGGGGTTACTAGCCCATTGTTCCCGGCATTTTAGTTGACTTTTACAACACGCATGGCTTACGGAGGAAAGATTCTTTTTCCACTTCCCCATGGATATAAAAGGAAAATTAATAAGACCAAGAACTATTAAGATAAAATCAAAGAAAACTCAGATGAGTGTGTATAAATAAATGTGTACATGTATGTGTAGTGTGACCTAAGTGTAAGTAGAAGTAGCAAGACATGCCTGTAATCTTGCATATTTATGAGACAGACAAAAGACATCAGCAATCCTACCATCATGTAAAACAATCACAGGCTTCGTTTTACACTCACTTGGCAGGACGGTAGTACCTCCCTGGGTGGTTGCTGTCTACCAACCTACTACTAATAAATACTAATAAATACTAATAAATAATAAATAATAAATAATAAATACTAATAAATACCTGTACGAAAAACTGTATATTGTGACTATATGAAATCTCTACAACACTATATAAATAAATTACTTAAATGTATGCATTGTGTGTCTGTTTTGTACAGTGTCTCACCAAATATAAACTACACTAAACATAGTTAACTGTATGAATGCGCACACAGATGTATGTACAGTACCTAAATAATGCACCATATTCTTTTCCTTTAAGGAAGGAAGACAATTTTTTTGTGAATCCTCTAATACCAATTTTCAACTTGTTTGTGAAATAATACACTTTTAATGGAACATCTTGAGAAAACTTGCTATTTACTAAAATAAAAAAAAAATTATATATATGCACAAAGTAAAATGTTGCATACACTTTATTAGCAAGCAATGGATACAACTGGTTGCAATTCTTCTTTCAACACTCTGACTGTATCCCACTGAGGCGGGGTGGCCCAAAAGGAAAAACGAAAGTTTCTCCTTTTACATTTAGTAATATATACAGGAGAAGGGGTTACTAGACCCTTGCTCTTGGCATTTTAGTCGCCTCTTACAACACGCATGGCTTACGGAGGAAGAACTCTGTTCCACTTCCCCATGGAGGTAAGAGGAAATAAACAAGAACAAGAACTAGTAAGAAAATAGAAGAAAACCCAGAGGGGTGTGTATATATATATGCTTATACATGTATGTGTAGTGTGACCTAAGTGTAAGTAGAAGTAGCAAGATGTACCTGAAACCTTGCATGTTTTTTTTTTTTTTTTTTTTTTTTTTTCAACAAGTCGGCCGTCTCCCACCGAGGCAGGGTGACCCAAAAAAAAAAGAAAGAAAATCCCCAAAAAGAAAATACTTTCATCATCATTCAACACTTTCACCACACTCACACATTATCACTGCTTTTGCAGAGGTGCTCAGAATACAACAGTTTAGAAGCATATATGTATAGAGATACACAACATATCCCTCCAAACTGCCAATATCCCAAACCCCTCCTTTAAAGTGCAGGCATTGTACTTCCCATTTCCAGACTCAAGTCCGACTATATGAAAATAACCGGTTTCCCTGAATCCCTTCACTAAATATTACCCTGCTCACACTCCAACAGATCGTCAGGTCCCAAGTATCATTCGTCTCCATTCACTCCTATCTAACACGCTCACGCACGCTTGCTGGAAGTCCAAGCCCCTCACCCACAAAACCTCCTTTACCCCCTCTTTCCAACCCTTTCGAGGACGACCCCTACCCCTCTTTCCTTCCCCTATAGATTTATATGCTTTCCATGTCATTCTACTTTGATCCATTCTCTCTAAATGACCAAACCACCTCAACAACCCCTCTTCTGCCCTCTGACTAATGCTTTTATTAACTCCACACCTTCTCCTAATTTCCACACTCCGAATTTTCTGCATAATATTTACACCACACATTGCCCTTAGACAGGACATCTCCACTGCCTCCAACCGTTTCCTCGCTGCTGCATTTACCACCCAAGCTTCACATCCATATTAAGAGTGTTGGTACTACTATACTTTCATACATTCCCTTCTTTGCCTCCATAGATAACGTTTTTTGACTCCACATATACCTCAACGCACCACTCACCTTTTTTCCCTCATCAATTCTATGATTAACCTCATCCTTCATAAATCCATCCGCCGACACGTCAACTCCCAAGTATCTGAAAACATTCACTTCTTCCATACTCCTCCTCCCCAATTTGATATCCAATTTTTCTTTATCTAAATCATTTGATACCCTCATCACCTTACTCTTTTCTATGTTCACTTTCAACTTTCTACCTTTACACACATTCTCAAACTCATCCACTAACCTTTGTAATTTTTCTTTAGAATCTCCCATAAGCACAGTATCATCAGCAAAAAGTAACTGTGTCAATTCCCATTTTGAATTTGATTCCCCATGCATGTTTATGAGACAGAAAAATGGACACCAGCAATCCTACCATCATGTAAAACAATTACAGGCTTTCGTTTTACACTCACTTGGCAGGACGGTAGTACCTCCCTGGGCGGTTGCTGTCTACCAACCTACTACCTATATGTATATAAACATCTATGACCAAAAAAAACAATCACTAGACAGCATGTGTGACTTCTGCATAACTAAAGTTATTCAAATGGACTGTACAATATCTACCATTGTACTATCTCTGAAATATAGGAGAGTTCACAGAGAATTCCATATAAATTCAAAGTACTGTATCATTCACTTTGTACACTGTATGGTCAGCATTATGTGCCAAACTATCCTCAATATTTATCATACTCCCTTTATTTTTCATTTTTATGTTAACTTTCTGATATTAACTGCTCCTTTTCTCTTTCCCCATTCCATATATCATTCCCATGACCACTCACTTAAACTTTTGCATACCTTAAGAAACATAGCTGCCACCTTTGTAGCAAGGTCTGTATGACAATGTGAAATTCAAATGATAAAATGGCAAAAACAGCACAGTACATTACTAACATTAGGGTAATTTGTGATCCAGTATAGAAAAATCTGGCAAACTTCTATGGCACATTCTTGTCTATGGAAATGACAAGCTACTTTAAGTTCATTATGTCTAAATTAGTGAATGAAATGCAGGAGGGTCCCACATACATGTACACAGTGGCACCTATTTTCAGTGTTCAACGTTTTTGTTGGCTTTCAATTGAGCCATTGTTCCATCTGCCGGTGATAGTCATCAGCAGGTGGAACACAATGAACAATGGCTCATTCTGAATCCAATGAAAACATGAACACCGAAAAGATGGTGCTGTATACGTGGTAGTTAATTCTGTGGTGCATGAGGAAAATTTGGGATAACCGGGTGTTTGATGAATATGAATGACTTAAGATAGCCTGCTCAGAGCTACCAATAATGACTAGCAATTTAATTGAATTGGCAAGTATAAAAAATTATAAGTATACAATAAATATTTTTATGTCATGCCTAGCCTATTTCAAAATTGACAGGTAAACTACACAAATATTTGTAATTACAGATTTAATGCAATTTATGTTCATAAAATATCTTAAAACTGTTCAGAAATTAGACAATATAACTTAGTGTATTTTGTACTTCCAGCCAATCAGAGCAGCCTTGGTTTGAAGGGTATTCACTTGAGTGGCAGGAGTAATTACTAACAATAATATTTTATTTGGTCTTGGGGCGAACACTTTTCTCTTCGGTTTGCACAGACCAATCCAGACCATCATAAGGCAGAGGGGAAGATAATGTTGGGAACACCCATGTCAAATACCATCGCTCTCCCAGAGTCACCTGTAATACAGAATTCAAGTGTTTTAATCATATTTTAATAATGTGCTTATGTGCTTTAGAAATACAAAATATGGTTTCTGTATCTGCTATAAGCACAATCAACATTACTAGGAGGAAAATTAGTTGTGTTCATTTGTGACATGAAATTACTGTTATTATATTCGTGGGGATGTAATCAGGCTTGATCCAAGGAAAAGGAGAGTAAGTAATTCCTTGGATCAAAAGCCCTTCATTGGCATCCAGGTACCCCCCTTCCCTTGAATTTTGGTAACAACGAAACAACTTATAAGGTACAATAATAGAAGAACCATCAAAGAACATTAGTCTTACCTTAATGTTATGCTCTCTTCCATAATTATAACTTTGTCCTTTAGGATTATTATTTTCACGGGTGGTTGTGTTTGTCACCAGCAGTCCTGTGTAGTAGTACATAAGGACGGACATGAAGAGGAAGCCAATAACATTTATGGAGAACAGAAAAGCATACAGAGTATCCAGTGATGGTTCCAACATTAGCCATACACCAGGCAACACCAGACGTACCAAAGCCCACAGGTTGAATCCACCTGTAAAATGGTTAATGGTAGTTATACAGAAACTGAATGTATGTAATGCATCCACCTATATGTGGTTGTAGGGGTTGAGTCTTAGCTCCTGGCCCTGCCCTCTCACTGTGCTAATTGCCAGGTTTGTTCCCTCCTAGCCTCATGGACCTCACTGTACCTGTTCTTAAAGCTGTATAGAGCCTATTTCCACCACTTCTTCAATATCAATCCATTACCAATCACTTCTTGACATCCCTGTGGCTCATCTGTGTCTTCAACTTCCAGTTTTGTCCCTCAGCACATGGTTCTTGCCTCTCAAACAGCCTTTCCCTGCCTACTCTATAAATTTTTCTTGGGTATTTTGTATGAATGCATGCATGTGTGCAAGTGTGCATGCGTGCATATGTATGTATGTATGAATGCATTTATGTATGAAAAAAAGGTATATCTCTGGTGCTCCAACTAATTTTTAACATCAATCTTTCTTCCTAGAAATGATGTGTGCAAAGGATAGTTATGTTTCACCCATGTTCACAACTGTTGATCAGCTATTGTAAAAATAAGAATGTACAGTAGATTTTAAATAATTCAGCTATCTTGGGTAAGAGGTGTGCCGGATTTGCAATAACAGCAGACTATTATGGCATATTTTATGGTCTCATTTTTGCTGTACATTCCTTCTTTTAGCATTACTTGTTTAATTGCTGGATTAAACAAGACCGATGAATAACAACTAATGCCAAATAACTGTCAGATGACCAGTGATCTATCATATCATTATGTTCTGTCATGATCCTCCTGAGGGTCACGAGGTCCTATGGCTGGCCAGTATAGGTCACAGAAAAAAAAAAAAAGCTGAAAACCCCTGGTGAGACCATGACTAATTACTGCTCTGCAATCTTTACACAGTAGTTTTTTCATTGCAAATGTTTCAAATTTTGAATGCTATGAAGAAATAATATTTTCTTTTAATTTTCACATATATACAGTATCTTCTTTCCTTTCATATTTTCTTTAATAATCAAGAATTTCTAATTTCTGATGTGTATAACTTTTCAAAAATTAAAAACAATATTTGCTTCTTATATGGCAAACCAGGTAAATTTATTACTATTTTTGATGTCAGTTAAAATCATTATTATTTTTTTTTTTTCAACAAGTCGGCCGTCTCCCACCGAGGCAGGGTGACCCGAAAAAGAAAGAAAATCCCCAAAAAGAAAATACAGTACTTTTATCATCATTCAACACTTTCACCACACTCACACATTATCACTGTTTTTGCAGAGGTGCTCAGAATACAACAGTCTAGAAGCATACACATATAAAGATACACAACATATCCCTCCAAACTGCCAATATCCCAAACCCCTCCTTTAAAGTGCAGGCATTGTACTTCCCATTTCCAGGACTCAAGTCCGACTATATGAAATAAACCGGTTTCCCTGAATCCCTTCACTAAATATTACCCTGCTCACACTCCAACAGATCGTCAGGTCCCAAGTACCATTCGTCTCCATTCACTCCTATCTAACACGCTCACGCACGCTTGCTGGAAGTCCAAGCCCCTTGCCCACAAAACCTCCTTTACCCCCTCTCTCCAACCCTTTTGAGGACGACCCCTACCCCGCCTTCCTTTCCCTATAGATTTATATGCTTTCCATGTCATTCTACTTTGATCCATTCTCTCTAAATGACCAAACCACCTCAACAACCCCTCTTCTGCCTTCTGACTAATACTTTTATTACTCCACACCTTTTCCTAATTTCCACACTCCGAATTTTCTGCATAATATTTACACCACACATTGCCCTTAGACAGGATATCTCCACTGCCTCCAACCATCTCCTCACTGCTGCATTTACCACCCAAGCTTCACACCCATATAAGAGTGTTGGTACTACTATACTTTCATACATTCCCTTCTTTGCCTCCATAGATAAAGTTTTTTGACTCCACATATACCTCAACGCACCACTCACCTTTTTTCCCTCATCAATTCTATGATTAACCTCATCCTTCATAAATCCATCCGCCAACACGTCAACTCCCAAGTATCTGAAAACATTCACTTCTTCCATACTCCTCCTCCCCAATTTGATCATTATATCATAATAAATGTTTTAACTCACCTACATATGGCCAGATGAAACAGGCATTGAGACAGGAGCAATACATTGTTGATACCCACATAAGCAAGAGGAACATGTAGAAATATCTGTGATTTCCAAGCCCAACGCAACACCCAGCAAAAACACAATGATGCTCTTTTTTCAAAACACACATATTACAGGTGATGCAGTGGCGTGAGCGGGGAGGTGCTGTGCTCTCACAAATAGCGCACACATGCCATCCAGGAGGTACCTGTAAAATGTATATTTCATTAACTAAATTCACAAATACCCTCACGTAGATGCTTATGACGACGTTTCAGTCTGACTTGGACCATTTACAAGTCACACTATTACAATGTGACTTGTAAATGGTCCAAGTCAGATTGAAACATCGTCACAGGTTTCTCTCTATGTGCGAGTTATGTGTGTGCATTGTGCCTTTTTCTTCTTCATTAACTAAATTCACTATACAGCCTGATGAGGAAATAAAACTTTTAATAAAAATCCCTGTGCAGGGAAATCATGAGCCATTGACTTCCTGCCACACAAGATACAGCAAACCTCTATATTCGTTAAATTTTTTGTCAAAATTATGATGTCTGAAATTAATAAAAGAGCTTCCATAACATTCACTTAGTTGCAGATATGATTTACAAACCTGTGATGGTAATAGCAGTCCTTGTGTAGATGTGTCCACAGCAATAATTGCCATAAAATTCCCAATAATGTTAATGACAAAATATGTTCCAAGAATAGTATGAAGAATATTGAGAATCCAGTTATATACTGTGGGAGCCACGACATAGATCTGGATAAAGAAAAAAAAAGGTTATTCTGTAATCTTCCTGGCCTATATATACATTTGTCTGTATATTCTATCCATTCTTTTACAGGATTTCATGAATGTATTTTAACTAAAGTAAATCATAAGCCACTGCAAATCCTCACATTCTTTGTAATATATAAGGCCCTAGGGAGCATAACTAAAAATATTGTTGTAGTTCATTTTCAAGCTTTTGTCAATGAGAATTATGGCAACCACCAAGGTTTGTGAAATCCTAGCTAGCCTTGTAATATTCTCTATGTCAACTACCAAGCTTTGTGAAATTTTGTCCAACCCTTTATAGCCTAAGAGTTAAAGTGACAAGTCATAAATTTTATGAAAGCTAATATCACATATACAATACACAAGTGTAACTGAAATTATTACACTTCACAGGTGTTCACTACTGATGGCACTGGGAGGTTCTCTTCAGAGTTTTAAGAGAAAAGCACAATTTATGGTTTCACTGAACATGTAAAATAATTCTTTTTTTAGAGACATGTTCCACATTTTAATGGGAAGAACTGCAGACAGTGTCTAGATATGTGAAACAGTTATTTTCTTCATGCATTGTATGAACTAGGTAAGTATTATACATATACCATACAGCAGTAACAGCCTGATTTATCAGACCCTGATACACCATGAGGCCTGGTCTCAGACCCAGCTGCAGGGGTACTGACCCACGAAACCCTCTTCAGGTATACTTCATGTATACAACTCGCCATACAGTAAGGCACTCCATGCACATTTCTTAGAAACTCACATGCATTAGGCTAATATACTTTTTGTGAATAATATATGTAGTTCAGTATTATACAGTATAGTGCTGTAGCACATAATTTAAGAATGAATGTTTAATATTTCTGTCTCAAAAAATTCTCCTCTTTCAGGTTAAAAAAAAAATGCAAACTTGTGCTTCCCATATTAAGAATTCTTTTCACTTTAACACTGCCCTTCATTATATTACATGTCCAATAATGAAAGACTACAATAATATTGGTCTCACTTTGGCAGTGTATTAAACTTGTGCTACTGGACAATAAATACTGCCATCTAGAGTTTTAAGAAAAAGTCTACCAGAGCAGAATCCTAGTATCCATGGTCAATAGGCTCTCAAATTCAATATACTGTACTCACATACACAAAGCTTTACTGCACATACCTCAAACCAATACACAGCAGGAATAGCCAATGACATGAACACCATGGCACTCAGGTCCGTTAAAGTGCGAGGCATTAATCTTTTCCTGAATCTTATGTTATACATCTTGGCCACCTAAGTAAAGTGATAAAAAAGATCAGATCAATATGGTTTTAAAACATTGTAAAATGCTGCTGTAGATAATATAAGAAAAGTTAATAATAGAGATAAATCTAGTAAAATCTATTACATCACACAAAATTACACCATAAGCAACCTTTTTTTTTTTTTTTTTTGAGATCAAATAACTTGGTATACAGACAGTAAACCAACATCTGAACCTGTAGGTCCACAGGCAGTATATCCCAGCCTCACCTGTTTGTATCTAACAATGTTACTGAAGATATGATCTCTATGTTACAGAGAAGGAAAAATGAGTGAAGCAAAGGTTGAAGATAATCACTGATAAAGAGATACTGGATACTGACAAGACTACCACCCTGGGAGCCTCCTAACATTATTAGTACAATAGCATATATTCAATGATTTTTATTTAGTTTCTGTATGCTGTAAATATAAGATAACTTGCAGTTTAGCATTAACATTTACATAATGTACAATAATGACATTTATACTACAGTGGGGATGTTGCAGTTCAGTGATTCACTTGCACTGTGATGTCTGTGCATTTCTTGAATAACAACTAGAAAATGAGCAACAGTGAATGCATTTCCATTTTTTCAGGGTAACCTACACTGGTGAGAAACACCTGATGTGTTAATAAATATATTATTTTAGGGTAAATAAAACATTTCAATCCCATATTATGCTCGAGGAAGCTAGCAAGATTAGCTTTGGGTGAGTGACTCATGTGGCAGTAAATTAGATAAGGATGTAGTAAAATTCATCTGGTTACACCACAAAATTAAACTTAGTTGAGGTACATAGTGATTTGCTTGAGGGAACTCATGGCTTGGTTGACAGCATCCTCGGCTCATACACTGAGGGTTCGGAATCAATCCCTGGCACTGGTGAAATGTTAGGCATGTACACCTGCTGCCTCTGTTCACCTAGCACAACCAGTGTGTTGACTATATATATGCCAATGATGTCAGATAGGTCTGTACATGCTGTATCATGTACCTGTAGAAATAAAGATTATTATTATTATGATTATTATTATTGTTAGGTAGTGAAAGCTAATAATGAAACTCAGTAATGTTATGTTACAAACTTACTGAGTGGTACAAATTTTCATGAATAAAAAACTCCTTTGCTATATAATAATGTGAGAATTATATGAGTACAAACTACATAGTATCTGCACATACAGTATATGCATACACTGTGTTTATTCTGTTAGTGGGTTGGATTTGTGAAGGACCTGCTTAGTATGGGCCAACAGGCCTATTGCAGTGTTCCTCCTTTCTTATGTTCTTATGTCTTATAAATTCTAAATCCATTTCCATATAATTTCCATTCAAATATTTACCTTTCTCCATAAAAAATACAAAATATTTGCTGTTGTCTAAAATAAGATTTCAGTACACAACACATTAATTTTTTTTCATTTCCCTTTGTAATACCTAATGTTATACTGTGCATATATATTAATACATGTATAGGTATGTGTTTCATATATTCTGCATGCACATTTTAATTGTAATCTGGGTCTGCCATTCTTTGTTCATGTAAGGATATCACAAGGACCCCAATGGAAATATGTCACTGACTTTTTTTTCGGGTTATCCTAAGTAATTTACACATGTTACTATTGTAACATACTGCCTCCCAGCATGCATAAGGGGGATTACCAATACACCCCTGGCTGTCTTCAAGAGCGCTGGACAGGCACCTAAAGTCAGTACCTCACCAGCCGGGCTGTGGCTCGTACGTCAGTTTGTGTGTGGCTAGCAGTAACAGCATGATTGATCAGATCCTGATCCACCACGAGGCCTGGTCTCAGACCAGGCCGGGGGGCATTGACCCCTAAAACCCCTCTCCAGGTATGCCTGATAATTATATTTATGTGTACCTGTGCCTAAATAAACTTACATATATCCTTAATTATTATAATCATAACTTAGTGCTAAACCAATAAGCACCTCAGCATGATATGTTTGTAGTTCGATCACTAATGCACTCAGAGCGTCAGGAAACATTTGTCCTGTTTCCTGCCGAACCTTACCTAACCTAACCTAACTAAGGTCTGGAGTTCAAATCCCTGGTACGGTTGGAAAACATTAGGGATGTGTTTCCATAAGACACCTGCTGTCCGTGTTCACCCATCAGTATAAAATAGGTACCTGGGTGTTAGTGGACTGGTGTGGGTCGCATCCTGGGACAAAACTGACCTAACTTGCTGGAAATGCTCAGCATAACAAGCGGCTTTCTATATAGTAGTATGTCATTGATGTCAGCTATGGTCTGTATACCTTGTACATGTACTTGTAGTAAATAATTATTATTACTATTATTATTATTATTAAAGGAGTATAACAATTGGGTGTAGAAGCCAAAAGCCCCTTTCTATGCACAGCATTTCTGACAAACATAAGGGTACTTATAACCTAAATATTCCACAACTTTGCCTTCAAGGGATGGGCAGAATAGTAACTGCTTGCAAAAAATAATATAGTAAGTTCAATTAAGTACAGGTACACACAAGTACAAATATTATATAGTGTAAATTACCTAGGATAACCCCTAAAAATAAATTAGTGACTTATTTCAACTAAAGGTTATTTTATTGACACACATGTAGTTTACACAATGCTGCTTCAAATTTCGACAAAAGGTGTATTATAATCAAGGGGAAGCGCTAAATCCTTAGGGTTGATTGCATTAAGCAAGTTATTTTAGAGCAAAGGTGGTGATGAAGACTATAATTCCACTGAGAAATGGAAATAAGTCAAATGTCAAGAGTATTTGGTGTTTTGTGATACCATGGTGTTTTTTATTTTAATCAAGAGAAGCGTTAAACCCGTATGGGTCCTACAGCGCCTGGGGAATGATAGGCATTCAACTGCAGAGGCAGAATAAGTCCAGTTCCCTGAAACAAGAGCCTCTAACTAACATCAAGGTACCTCTCCTGAGAGTAGACTCCGGTAGCTGTAGCAGATAAAGAAGACTGGTAATGTGACAATGGTTATATTCTCTGTGGCTACGGTTATCAGTTATCACTCAGTGTTGAGTCTCAGTTATCACTCAGTGTTGTGTCTCAGTTATCACTCAGTGTTGTCTCAGTTATCACTCAGTGTTGTCTCAGTTATCACTCAGTGTTGAGTCTCAGTTATCACTCAGTGTTGAGTCTCAGTTATCACTCAGTGTTGAGTCTCAGTTATCACTCAGTGTTGAGTCTCAGTTATCACTCAGTGTTGTGTCTCAGTTATCACTCAGTGTTGTGTCTCAGTTATCAGTGTTGTGCCTCAGTTATCACTCAGTGTTGTCTCAGTTATCACTCAGTGTTGTCTCAGTTATCACTCAGTGTTGTGTCTCAGTTATCACTCAGTGTTGTCTCAGTTATCACTCAGTGTTGTGTCTCAGTTATCACTGTGTTGAGACTCAGTTATCACTCAGTGCTCTCTCAGTTATCACTCAGTTTTGTCTCAGTTATCACTCAGTGTTGTGCCTCAGTTATCACTCAGTGTTGTGTCTCAGTTATCACTCAGTGTTGTGTCTCAGTTATCACTCAGTGTTGAGACAGTTATCACTCAGTTTTGTCTCAGTTATCACTCAGTGTTGTGCCTCAGTTATCACTCAGTGTTGTGTCTCAGTTATCACTCAGTGTTGTCTCAGTTATCACTCAGTGTTGTGTCTCAGTTATCCCTCAGTGTTGTGTCTCAGTTATCACTCAGTGTTGAGACAGTTATCACTCAGTGTTGTGTCTCAGTTATCCCTCAGTGTTGTGTCTCAGTTATCACTCAGTGTTGAGACAGTTATCACTCAGAGTTGTGTCTCAGTTATCACTCAGTGTTGTCTCAGTTATCACTCTGTTGTCTCAGTTATCACTCAGTGTTGTCTCAGTTATCACTCAGTGTTGTCTCAGTTATCACTCAGTGTTGTCTCAGTTATCACTCATTGTTGTCTCGGTTATCACTCAGTGTTGTCTCGGTTATCACTCAGTGTTGTCTCAGTTATCACTCAGTGTTGCCTCAGTTATCACTCAGTGTTGTCTCAGTTATCACTCAGTGTTGTGCCTCAGTTATCACTCAGTGTTGTGCCTCAGTTATCACTTAGTGTTGCCTCAGTTATCACTCAGTGTTGCCTCAGTTATCACTCAGTGTTGTCTCAGTTATCACTCATTGTTGTCTCGGTTATCACTCAGTGTTGTCTCGGTTATCACTCAGTGTTGTCTCAGTTATCACTCAGTGTTGTCTCAGTTATCACTCAGTGTTGTCTCAGTTATCACTCATTGTTGTCTCGGTTATCACTCAGTGTTGTCTCAATTATCACTCAGTGTTGTGCCTCAGTTATCACTGTTGTCTCAGTTATCACTCAGTGTTGTGCCTCAGTTATCACTCAGTGTTGCCTCAGTTATCACTCAGTGTTGCCTCAGTTATCACTCAGTGTTGTGCCTCAGTTATCACTCAGTGTTGCCTCAGTTATCACTCAGTGTTGTCTCAGTTATCACTCAGTGTTGTGCCTCAGTTATCACTCAGTGTTGCCTCAGTTATCACTCAGTGTTGTCTCAATTATCACTCAGTGTTGTGCCTCAGTTATCACTGTGTTGTCTCAGTTATCACTCAGTGTTGTGCCTCAGTTATCACTCAGTGTTGCCTCAGTTATCACTCAGTGTTGTCTCAGTTATCACTCAGTGTTGTCTCAGTTATCACTCAGTGTTGTCTCAGTTATCACTCAGTGCTGTCTCAGTTATCACTCAGTGTTGTCTCAGTTATCACTCAGTGTTGTCTCAGTTATCACTCAGTGTTATCTCAGTTATCACTCAGTGTTGCCTCAGTTATCACTCAGTGTTGTCTCAGTTATCACTCAGTGTTATCTCAGTTATCACTCAGTGTTGCCTCAGTTATCACTCAGTGTTGTCTCAGTTATCACTCAGTGTTGTGTCTCAGCTTCATCAATACTCCACCTCCTCCCCCCCCGGCCGTCTTCAGGGGTATAAGGGACATTCCAGGTTGAGTCGTCTTCTGGTGTCCAGTCCCTCCACTCATTATTTACCTCTTTAATCCTTTGACTACCCTCCACAGGATGGCTATAATAATAATATAATATCTTTATTTCTGCATGTACATGTAGAAGGTATACAGGCCTAGCTAACATCAGTGACATACTACTATGTAGAAAGCCTGCAATGGAAAGGACCCAAATGGAAATGTCACTTTGTCTGACTTTTTGGGGGGTTATCCTTGGTTCTCTACACATATAATGCTATGTATGATAATCTGTGTAACTGTATTTGTGTATACCTGAATAAACTTACTTATGCAGAGAATTTCGGGCAAATTAGGCCAGTTTTGTCCCAGGATGCGACCCACACCAGTCCACTAACACCTAGGTACCTATTTTAC